AATTTCAAGCATTCTCTAGCTCATCCTTACACTCCGTCTTCTGAGACTTTACAAAGTGGCAAATCGCCGAAGCTTAATTTAGGTAAACCAGGCGGTGAGTTTTCCCTGCTGTAAAACTTGGCCAAATACCAATGAACAGGACCCTAGCCCTACTTTCCTCTGAAAGTTTATTGGCATTTCACTGACCGATCTACACAGAGTCTCGATTCTTCGCTATCAAATCATACAGTGAGCACAATGTGGAGGTGTGTATGAATGATGTGAGTTTGGGTGAATACGACTGGCCAACTTCTCGGCTTTACCATGCACTTACATCTTGCCTTCAAGCTAGACGTCTGTCATTGACTTATGCTTATTAGGGTCTATGGGTCACTCAAACTGTGAACAGCGAAATCTTCGCCAGTGCGTTTGCAAAATGCAAAAACGTCATCCTCATCTTTTCCGTCAACAAAAGCAAAGCATTCCAAGGTTATGTGAGTATGGTATTGTTCAGGAAACTCTCCATTCGAACTTTGGGTTCAATTCTATCCACTTGCGATCTGATACGATTGTGTTGCTGACCAAAACTCGTGTCACGTCACAGGCCCGAATGGTGACAGTACCTTCGCCTTATTCTTCCAAGCCTAAGTGGCTGGAACACTGCAACTTTCACTCGTCAGATCCCTTCCGAGTCGAGTGGTTCTGTAAGACGGAGATGCCGTTCTCCGTCATTCATCACCTCCGAAACAGTCTGAACGAAAACGCATCTGTGATTGTCGGCAAGGATGGCCAAGAAATTGAAGAAGGCTGTGGGCGTGAGCTCATCAAGGAGATGGACAAGCGCGAAGCAGAGAAGAAGGAACACACGGAACACAAGTACGAGAATGAGAAAGGATACAATGGCTGGGGTTGGGATGGTGGCAGGCTGACTCCACCTTTCTTCCCTCCTTCTGGTCGGGGTGCTTACCGTGGGCGCGGCAGTCGTGGAAGCCCCAGGGGTAGAGGACGGCCACATGTCAAACGGGAGTGGCAATACTAAGCTGTCGATTGTGTTGAAGATTTTTGTGATGGCAATGATGATGATGATGATTTGCTACCCTGGGCCTTCAGTGCGGCCCGGGACAAAAGCAGTGGACAGAAATAAAATAGTGAGCAGAGTGACCCTATGTGGCTACTTAATAGAGTAAACAAATAGATGCTGTTATGAAATCCAAAATTTGCCTTGCTGACGTTGAAGCTTGATCATGTGCCTTGCGATCCAGTCTTGCAATGTTTGACGGTTGTAAAAAGAAAATGAAGACTCAGTGAGCACACGAAATATTCTTGATAGTAAGCTTGAGGGAATCAAGGGATGCAAGAGAGGCCCAAAAAATAAAAAATAAAAAAAATTGATGATAATACCAACGGTGCATATTCAGGTAACTCTGGGCGGGTTGGGAACTGAACCCGAGTCCTCTGGGCTATTTTCTGCTCTCCAGGCCACTACACCACCGATGTTGATATTATGTTATTGACGAGTAGTCACCTTAATCACATTTATATGGTTTGTGCACTTTGGGGGTGGTTGCTTGTTGGTGCCTAAGGAGGTAGGCAGAAGCTTTCGGACGAGCGTGCGTCTGGGACTCGCATCCCCCGCTGTCTGTCTACGCGGCGTCTATCACCCTCCGAAGATCTGAGTTGAGCTTGATAGGCAGGCTATTAACTTGTCTCTTAAGTACTTTATAGATTGGGAATCCCGCCGATTTAAATGATTGGTGTCCAAATTCCAGTTTGTGTGTATACCAGTGCCTGCCTAACCGCCCGCCCACTGCATGTTGACCAGATAAAAAGCCCTCACTCTGTCTAGATCATAGTAGCTGATCAATTTCGCGCTCATAGCAGGAGCCTGTATACGTAATGTCTTCGCAAGTCTTTTGTGTTTGGTAGAGTCGACATTGCGGTCAGGGGTAAGCGCTCCCCGCGCGAATGATACCCTGTTGGTGGTCATGAACGCGCGTGTTGGCTTCAGTTCGTAGCACAGTGACTAGTAGAGCCTCAAGATCAATATATCCCATTGGCTTGTATATGAATTTCAAGCACAGAGACCCGTTGTAATCAAATGCCTTCAGTTTCAGGTCCTGGTCGGTTTCCAGGCCTCAAGGAACCAACAGCAACAGAACCATCACCGCAATGCCGTCAAGTTATCGAGCGATTCAACGTATAAATGTGGACGGATCTCTAACCGCTATGTGCATCTGTTTTTTACTTACAAAGAATATTGCTCACCTAATCATTGTCATTGAACTCTGTGTACATTATCATCGAAAGATGGGAGGCTGCTGCAGCGCTGAGCAAGATGGAGGTAGCAACCACGAACTATCACAGTGGAGTCCTTTGAATTTTGTCAATGATGAATCATGGATTCGCAAACCTGAGCGTCAAGTATCCCAGGTACATTTCGTCGCTGTTACACGTCTCCAGACGGGTGGGGATCACTGGAACATGCACCTTCAAGTTGGCAACGAGTCCGTCAGAATTGACATGGAGCCTGGCGCATGGCCTGGTCCCTTTGGACAAGGTTACCTCGGGCGACTCGATATCAGCCATCAGATGGATCCTATCACTAGGAACTGCGAACATCGGATCACCATTCCCGCGCGGCCTGGTGTGGCTGCCATGCATTTCATCACCGCGATCGTCAATGCTGACAATCATCGGTATGAGTTCACGCAGGCAGGGAGGGGATGCACAGGGTGGATGGGTGACCAATACCTCCTGTTTGTTCAACAGGGCCTTCTGCAGCCTGGGTATGAGAGGCAGGTAGAGGAGGCGATGAACCAAGAGTGGGAAGGTGGCCGTGCGACGCGCTCGTGGCCAGCTACCAGTGGCTATTATCTGAGAGATCTGAACAGAAGCCGTCGTAGACGGCGGTAACGTTGGGAGAAGTGGCTGTACACTGCAAGGCCCAACCTTGGGCATGGTCAGCAAAGTCTGTGGTATAATGAGGTGATACAGTATGGAACCGGAAGACAACGCCTTTCTTGACTATATAGCTTTAACTTCAACTACTAGAGCAGTGCAGCGGTAGATAGACAATATGAAATGGCTAGATATTGTTTCCACAATCCCTCCTGTCGATCAGATAGCTTCGAGAGCACCATCTTGAGAAATACCTTATTCTTAGACTGGTTGGACAGGGCGACCTGCTCGAACCCGCGTGGATAAACCCCCGCACAACCCCAATCAACCAGCCATACCTTCCCTTGGGCGTCAAGAAGGAGATTCCAAGGCGCGATATCCTGGTGCGTAAAGGCATGATCGTGGAATTGAAATTTAGTGTCTAGCAGTATTTGATGGGAGCACAGACAGATGTCGATCTTATGATTGCACCAATTCTCGAGATCCTGGATTGTCGAGAATAGTCCCGCTCTTTAGTCCGTGAACCAGGGTCCCTCAAATGCCTTGCCACCACTCCCTGCGAGTGAAACAGACGGTAAGTTGTTCGGTGGCCTTGATTGCATGGTCTTGATCATACTGGCAACTTGCACAGCTACAGATTCTCGCTCCTCATGCGTAAGAGAAGGCCAGCAGTCCTCGATAGTCGGTCCAGATACGTAGTCCGTGACGATGAAGTGATTGAGCACAGCCTCCCCCCGTCGTCGGGATTGCTGGCCCCGAATGTATGATAGACCTTAGGCACCGGCGAATGGAGCGATTGAGCAGCGAGTATCATGTTCTCTCCCTCGCCCGGGGATGCGTTCCCCCCGCCTTTTATTACGAGAGACTTTGCGATATGTACGATTCTCACGCCAACATGATGGTGAACTCTGGGTCTGGTTAGAAAGAGCTCTACGAGTCTGTCATTTGTTACCGGCGCGAGCTCCAAGTGATCCAGTGGAAACACAACTTGATCATCTCTCGCTATCGGCTACATCGAATAAGTCAATAAGGTCTCTTATTGACTTATATGTCACCACTTACATCTCGATATGGCCGGCCGAACGTAGGGCCATCTGCCTCATTCTCATCTTCAGGGACCGGTACGGTTTGTGAAGCTGGTGAGATTGGCGGGTATATAGTAGTTTCTGTGGCCTTTCGGTCTCTCAAGTTCTTCGACAACGATGACCCCAGGCTTGAAGAGGCCTTCAATAGGATGAAGAAGATTCCATTGCCGGGCAAGCGAAGTGAGGACTAATTCGATGGGTCAGACATGTGCTGGTCTTCAAACTGATCCGTAACCATGTATCTCAATTCAACAAGTCTACCTGGCCTTGATGACTCTATCAAGAAGCTGTAATGCAGCATATACAATCATACGAAATACTTAAATTTTAGAGAACATAAACTGCTGAAAGAAAAGAGTCGCTCACGGAATGAAGCTCATGCCATTAGTGCAGTGTAGCTGTCAAAGCACGTGAGCAGTCACAATCGGGCAGCTGCTTGATGTGCTCCACCAAAAAACGGGTGAGCACAGACCAAGGGCTATAGGGCAAGGGAAGATAGATAGGGAGGGATGATGGAGCACAGACCCCTCCTCGCACCTTACCTTTCTGCCTTATTGCATGCTGGGCGCTATCTTACAGTGCTGACCTTGCCTTACACAATCTTCGGCAAAAAAGCCAGGCTAGCCAAAGTGAGCCCTGACCCGCCTGTCTGCCCGTCGTTCCTTCCTGCTTAGCGGTTGGACATTGGACCGCTTCTTCACTTACCGTACCTCAGGTTTCCCATCCCACGTTCCGCTCCTCATTCCTCAACGTGCCTCTACCTAGACAGTGAGGGCATAGCGCCGCTTCAACATCGACTACATTTTCTTCCAACGGCATTTCGTACTTTGATTGCCTGTCTAACTACCTATCGGTGTTTCTTCCGTGCTGCCCGCCCTTGACGATCAGGACCACGCAGACCGCACAACTGCCCTTGTCAAATCTGCCGACGATACTTCACTTATCTCTCGACTCACCTGCCGAACGTCTACCCCCTACCGATCGCACTTGGGTGCTCTACCTCAGGAGAATCGGCCCAAGATGATGCCCAATCCACACATGTACAGCCAGCATCACTACAACCCTCAGGGCGACTCGGCCGCGTGGATGCACCAGCCGAGTCACCACCAGCATGCCCAGCAAGCAGCAGCTGCCGCCGCCGCCGCCTCCGTTGCGCAGCAGGCTCACTACAACCGCATCGCCGGATCCCACAATAACGCGAGTGCTCTGACGGCAGCTCATGCTCAGGATGGCAATATTGAGACCTCGGTGTCTGAGGACAATCGTAGAACATTGGCCTACATCGCCGACTTGCTCAACGAGAACACTCGGGAGGCTGCTTTGCTGGAGCTCAGCAAGAAGCGCGAGCAAGTCCCAGAATTGGCTCTGATCCTGTGGCATTCTTTTGGTACGTGACCGGCTGAGCTCAGTCTCTGAAGACAAGCAAGCCCATTGCTGTTGATATCGGCAACATGCTAAAATGCTAGCAGGCGTCATGACCTCCCTGCTGCAGGAGATCATTTCTGTATATACGCTCCTTAACCCGTCTCAGCTCACTGCCGCTGCTTCCAACCGCGTCTGCAACGCCCTCGCGCTTCTTCAGTGCGTTGCATCTCACAACGAGACTCGGACATTGTTCCTGAATGGTGAGACATTCCTCGTGTTACTTTTGCTGTCATACACACTGACTCCTTTCAGCGCATATTCCGCTATACCTGTATCCCTTCCTCAACACCACCTCGAAATCGCGACCCTTCGAATATCTTCGTCTTACAAGCCTCGGAGTCATTGGTGCTCTGGTTAAGAACGACTCCTCCGAAGTTATCAATTTTCTCTTGACTACAGAGATCATTCCTCTTTGTCTCAGAATCATGGAAACCGGCTCCGAATTGAGCAAGACCGTGGCCATATTCATTGTACAGAAGATTCTGTTGGATGACAATGGTCTCAATTATATCTGCGCTACCTACGAGCGGTTTTACGCCGTCGGTACGGTCCTCAGCAACATGGTCGCCCAATTGGTGGAGCAGCAGACCGCTCGTCTCCTTAAGCATGTCGTGCGCTGCTTCCTTCGGTGAGTTGAAGTCCTTGAATGCATGATATACGATGACTTTGCATTCCGCGGACCTCGTCATGTGTCGTTTATCGGAAGGGTACTAATATTTCAACAGCCTTAGTGACAATGCACGCGCCCGCGAAGCCCTTAGGCAGTGCCTCCCGGAGCCGCTGCGTGACGCGACCTTCTCCTCGGTCCTTCGTGACGACGCCGCAACTAAGAGATGCCTGGCCCAGTTGCTCATCAACCTGTCCGACAACGTTGTGGAACCAGGCAGCGGCAACCCAGGCCTTTAGAAACGGCAATTCTCGAATTCCAAATTCGCTATAACGAATACTCCTTCGACTTGAACAAACCCATGGTACAATAATATAAATGGGGCAAATGTAGTTACGATATCAGCATGGCACGCATCTTCACGGCGATCGGAATTATCTTCTGATCTTCTTCGCCCCGGACAAAAGCACAAATTTCCTGATACCCGGTTTCCTTCTTTTAGACATTGTCGGACTGGATGTGTACTATGAGTGTCACAGTACTTTGAGGGAAAAGCAAGGAAAAGTTTCCGGTTTTGTCTACCATTTGACGGACGTTTTGTCTTCTTCCCTTCGTTTCTTGCATCGGCATTAGGTGCTGCGTCGCTATGGGCCTTCCTGTCTGGGAGTGGCTCTGGTTACGATTTTTATAAATGATTCGCTAGAGTATGGTCTGATACGTTCTGGTATCTGACAAGGATAGGAGGTGGACACTTTCTTGATCACAAACTTGCATATGGTTCGGGATACGGACCTTCTTAGATGGTATACCCGTGGCGTTCTCTGGATCGGCGTTTCTTAGGACGATGAACAAGGAATGAGGTCGGCAGCATCAGTGTGAGATAGGGTAGACAAGAGTGTTTTTCTCTAATTGTAGATAGTACATGTAACAATGACACTGCGTTGTATTCTAGACTATTTTTGCTGCAGAACCATGGCATTCCTCCCCGAAGACTTGACGAAGCTATCGGACGAGCTTGCATGCACCTTTTCGATCAATGGGAGAGACTGGAAGGATCCAAGGCCACTTGATATCCGTCAGCTCCCCTCATTGGCGATCTAGGCCTAGTTATTGGTCACTATCGAAGCTCGTGAAGAGCAAAGTAATATAGACGTACCGGAATTGGGCGGGACGATGCTTGATAGCGGGCGGTAGGGGGATGGAGCTCTTCGGCGACATAACAACATAGCGTCCGAGTCGAGGATGGAGACAGATAAGCGGAAGGAGGCGTTGTCGCGTTTCCGGCGCCGAGTTGCCCCTCCAGCTCGTTTAGCACCGCGTGAAGTCGACTTACGCACTGGTCTTGGGCGTTGTTTCACGTGCCGGGCGATCGTCATCACGTTGTATCGACGAGTGCAAGATTTAAGATTTGGACCAGGGCAGAAGGGCCTGTCGCAGTCGCACATTTCAATGTCAACGGACATGGCTGAGTTGTGATATTGAATACCTCTAATAGGAGAGCGCGGCTATGGTGTATCTGGTGAAGATGAGGGTTCTGATGGGATAGTAGGGGTGGTTTGAATAGCAGCTCCATTATCTCACAGCAAGGTCAGAGAGGACCTAATATAATTAAGGCTTGAAGCTATTCAGGTGTTGATTCTCAGTCGCAAATTACTGTTTTCAGACTCCAATTTTCAGACCCTCTAGAGTCTGAAAATCCCTCTCTTCTCCCCTGCACACCTACTCCTAATCCCCCGTTGCCCCGTTCCTGCTTTCTGTTGCCTGCTAGCTTACAGCTTGCCGTTTGCCGTTTTCTGTTTTCTGTTTGTAGAAAGCTTTCTCAAGACTCGAACCAACGTAGAAGTAATTGGTTGCCCTGGAGCGCTGGGGTAGTTGTCGCGGGCCCAGCAGACGCTTGTCTGACCAATGCGCATCTAAAGTCAAGCGCTCGTCATTCCCATCCACATTGACAGCTTGGCTGTTTTCTCAATCGAGAACAGTATACAGTGAGGATAGGAGATCTCCTTCACCTGCTTACTGAGTGTTGTTCCTCTTCGTTTCGCCCCATTACAGTCAATGAACACCATTAGTCACTCTCCTTCAAGATCCTGGAGAGTGTGGGGAGTTGAATGTTGTTATCCCCTCTTTGAGATCCGGGAAAGTCATAGGTCAGCGATCAAAACCGCCATTTGTAAGATCAAGCCTAAACATGCATCTTCAACAAATTCGAATCGTAGAGAACAGTCTCAGCTTCCAAGATAAAAGACGCTGCTCCCTCAACTGCAGTTTCGTTGTTGGCAGTCGTGATGTACCAGGTAGGTAGGTAGGTCCCTTAGTCATTACAACCCATGGTCTTTGACAGTTCAGATGGTGATCCCAGACAGTCAGCTAGTCACCCCATAGGAGGGGGGTGTGTGTCGTCGCTGATTTGGCGGTTGGGGAACACGCGGACAGGCCTTGTCGTGCTGGCCTGACCACCCTGATATCGTTAGTCCATGCCTACACTACTGCAGACCGTTGTCGGGACCCTTGGAATATCTCCGTTGCGCAGTATCTTCCACGGCTTGCGTCATGTTGCATTATCACATCGCCGAGCAGAGCTTTGGATAACAGGGAAGGCATGTAGGTAAACACTTAGAATGTCTGGATATAGTTGCGCTTGAGGCGGGATATGGAGCACTCCTGGATATCCTTTGCTTGGCTTGACAAGAAACTGCGATCCGCTCACGTCAGGTAGTACACTTTGGTGAGCCAAAGAGGTGTGCTACCCTGAATTAGAAGGCTTGCATGTTCTGTAAGGCTAGGGACGGGCGGCTTGAGCGCTAATTCAATCACCTTCACCTTGAGCTGGTTTTTGGAACAACAAATCTGAATCAGAATTACATTCCAGACAGACTATAGACCTTGGTGAGCTGGGTAAAAAGGGTGCCATGAGTCTATGAAGCAGTGGAAGCAGCAGCGTGCATGTGGCTGGCCGTGCAGTCTCATGATGCAGTCAGGAAGAAAGCGCCCAAGCCGCCCAGAGACGGTTGAAGGAGGTGAAGAGAGGCAGCCAGACAGGCAGGCGGGGTGGTGGTGGGCACCGTGGGATGGGGTCAGGCGTTGAGAACGGCATTTAGCGGCATGGATCCACTGCTGTGGAACGGTCATACGGATAACAATACGGTGAAGGAAAGCGCGTGTCAGTCGCTGGCGCCTTTTGCAGCTTGGGGCTCTTTGCTCCGCAGATAACCTGCTCAATCCATGTGAAAGTGAAGGGAAGGAACGCAGGCCGAGAGACGGCCCCGGCTTGGCCTTGGGGCTGGTTGGTACAGGGTAGTCTGCTGAGCTGATCTGCCCTTTCCCAGTTTCCTTCCATACGAGGAGCTGAGGAGGTTATTAAGGTTCTTGCTCACTTGAAATTGCCAACTCGACCCGACTCGGCCGTTCTTTCTTTGTCTTGTGTCAAAGTGAAGAGGAGTCGAAGCCCTCCAATTGAGACCGATTGGAGGTGTTTGTTTTGGTGCTGAGCTGCCAAGCGAGTTCCTTCCCTTCGAGTCAAGAGAGACAGGCCGTTCCTTCTCCACATCCCACTCCTTCCTCCCCCGCGTGTGCGTGCGCGCTGGCCCTAAAGACTCGTCCATCCTCCGCCTGCCGGATTACCCGTCCTCTCCCCCATTCACCGAACGCGCGCGCCGAATCATCGCATCGTGACGGCCCCTCCTCCTCCAATCCGACCTTGCCCGGATCTTCCGAGACCTCGGACTTGTATGCGGGGCTCCGTGTGCCATCGCCCGCATTGAAGACTCCCCCCGAGTGATCTTCCCTAACGGCCGCCGGTCCAATCGATTCGGGCCCGTTGTCCGGCACATTGCCGTTGCCGTTGCTATTGCTATTGCTTTGCCTTGCTTGTATCTGATTCGACCCGATTTCATCTGTGTTGCGCCGTCGCGTCACCTTAAACATGGCTACTGTCACTGCTACCGTGACCGACTTCGTCGTATCCACGGTCACAAAGGCGGCTGCGGCTGCCAGTACGACCTCGGGCAACCGCGCTGCACCTCAGGCCGGTGTCCTTGAGGGTGCGAGTCCCGTAGCATGGAGCAAGTCTAATCCCATCCAACTGTTTATTGTTCAGGTCAGTCATTTCCATTCGCTTGTTCTCCAGCGCCCGCCTCGCATCCTAAATGCTGCTCCCTCGGACTTTCACTACACGTCGGCGTCAATTGGTCGGCCTCTTAACCCTATAGGAGGGTTCCATGCTGGCATCCGTACATCTGCTATCTTGACGGGGCATACTGTGTAGTGCACGGGACTACAGGACCATACTTTTCATGGCATGTTCAATATGCTAACTTTCATTAGGCTGTCATCATTATCGTCTTCTGTCGCCTGCTTCACTATCCGCTGTCTCTGCTTGGCCAGCCTCGGGTCATTGCAGAGGTCATTGGCGGCATTCTGCTTGGTCCATCTGTGATGATGCGCATACCGCACTTCCAGTCCACCATCTTTGTCACCGATTCCATGCCCGTTCTCAGCAATGTTGCCAACTTGGGTCTAATCATCTTCCTCTTTCTTGTCGCCCTCGAGGTGGACATTCGACTCTTCACCCATAATTGGCGGATAGCCCTGAGCGTCGGCCTGGCTGGCATGATTATACCTTTTGGCCTTGGATTTGCTATTGCTTGGGGCTTGTACCACCAGTTCCATGAGGAACCTGACACTGTTCCCATCAGCTTCGGGGTCTACGGCCTATTCATAGGCACAGCTTTGGCTATCACTGCTTTCCCCGTTCTCTGCCGAATCTTAACGGAGCTCAAGCTCTTGGGCACAGGTGTAGGTGTGACGGTCTTGGCCGCGGGTATCGGCAATGATGTTGTTGGTTGGATTCTCTTGGCTCTCTGCGTTGCTCTCGTCAATAACTCCAGTGGACTGGCAGCCCTATACGCATTGCTTTGCGTTATTGGCTGGGCGCTGTTTCTGGTCTTCCTTGTTCGACCCGGTTTCATGTGGTGCCTGAGAAAGACTAATAGTATCCAAAATGGTCCTACCCAAGGCATTGTAGCGCTAACAATGCTGATGGTGCTGATTTCAGCATGGTTCACAGGTGAGATACCCCAAATGCGTGCCATTGTAGCCGCTGCATAATACTAATCTAGTGTAGGTATCATTGGCGTCCATCCCATCTTCGGGGCGTTCCTTATCGGTCTCATTTGTCCCCACGATGGCGGTTTCGCTATTAAATTGACCGAGAAGATTGAAGATCTCATCTCTGTGGTGTTTTTGCCCCTATACTTCGCCCTCTCAGGTCTAAGCACGGATTTGGGGCTGCTGAACGATGGCATCGCTTGGGCCTACGTTGTCGGCGTCATAGCCTGCGCGTTCGCTGGCAAAATCATCGGCGGTACTTTGGCAGCACGTTTGAACAAACTGGAATGGAGGGAAAGTTTCACTATCGGCTGTTTGATGAGTTGCAAAGGTCTTGTAGAGCTTATCGTGCTGGTTTGTCTTACTGGTCAAAGATTCCGTGAGGGTGGCAGCTAACAAGAATACAGAACATTGGTTTGAATGCCAAGATTTTGTCTCAAAAGACGTTCACGATTTTCGTGGTAATGGCGCTGGTAATAATAGGACATGTTCATCATTAGTAATTGCGGTACTGACGTAATACTAGGTCACAACAGTCTCTACAACGCCTCTCACAAAGTGGCTGTATCCGCCGTCATATCAAAAGAAGATTGAGCTGTGGAGGAAGGGCGAGACGGACAAGGACGGCAATCCCATACACTCACCGGCCTCTTCCCAGCGAGAGTCTATTGAGAAGCTGAACGCTGGCCAAATCCGCCGGCTTCTCGTCTACCTTCGTCTTGACAGCCTTCCAAGTGTCTTCACTTTCGTTGCACTGCTTGGCGGGGAGTCGAAGCCGACACCACAGCTTTCAGCGGACACGGCCGATCATTCAGGGACCTCAATTGAGGATCAGCCATCTACTCCCATCATCCAGAAGCGACCCCTCGAAGTACATGCCCTGCGTGTCCTCGAACTCACAGAACGTACTTCGTCTGTCATGCAAGTGACGGAGGGCGAAGACTATTACGCTCAGCGAGATCCCGTCGTGAATGCCTTCCGGACTTTCTCACGGCTGAATGATGTTGCTGTGTCCGGAAAGGTTGCTGTTGTTCCTACCTCTTCTTATGCCGAAGTCGTCACGAATCAAGCCGCAGATATTGCCTCGGATTTTGTTCTTGTCCCTTGGAGCGAATATGGCAGTGTGACTGAGGACCAGTCAGTCCCCTTCACCATTTCTGCCAATGACCGGTACCAAGGCAAGACTCACCTCGATTTCATTCAACAAACCTTGGCAAAGGCGGTTTGTAACACGGGTATCTTTGTGAACAAGGGCTTTGGAGGCTTAGAGATGGGTGGTCGTCCCCAGCTTACAAGGAGTATCAGTGCTATGTCTATGCGCAGCCATCGCGACAAAGCAGCCATGCCAGTCAAGAACAAGTCTCACCAGATTTTCCTTCCGTTCTTCGGCGGCGTCGACGACCGGGTTGCTCTGCGCCTCGTCCTGCAGCTGGCTAAAAATCCTAACGTTTCTGCAATTATCGCCCATTTCAGCCTGCCTTCAGATGATGGGTACGAGATTGCAGTTCCACAACAAGCTGCGGTTGCCGGTGGCAGTCACGATGAGCATGGAAAGTCGGAAGCTGCCGACAAGACTCTGGTTGTTGAAGACATTTCGGCGTCAGATCTTGCACTTTTGTCGACACTTCAGTCATCACTTCCACCCGAGTTGGTTGGACGTGTGACTTTTATGGAGATACCAGTCACATCCAGCACAGTCATGCCACAGATCTTAAGCAAGGCCAAGGAGTACGTCGGAAACACCCCTTCAAATGCCGGCGATATCATCGTCGTCGGACGAAAGCACCTGCGCCTTGGCGACGGCAGCATCGAAATCGGGGGTGGCTCCTTGAAGAACACGGTTGGTGTTGTTGGCGAACAGGTCATCGTGAGCGGAGTCAAGGCTAGCGTTCTGGTCGTCCAGGCCGGAGGGCGTGGTTTGGAGATGTAAGCATGAATGGATACTATCATCATTACAAGTTATGTGGAGTCTGGATGTTTGTTTTCACTTCTGCATCTTGGCGTTAATAGTTGCATGTATGTTGTACATGTGTCCTCAGGGTACTATTATCTGAGGTTTCTAGATGGACCTGGATGGTGCATATTAAGTAGCCACTACATTGTTCTGCCTTACAATGCCATTCCACCCTTAACGATTCATCTCCTGAGCATCAAATTACATAAGATGAATGTTTCACAAAAATGCAGGACCAAAATCTTGCCAGCAGATGTGGTTATCTGTGCACTCAATCAGGTGAGATGAAGCCAGTGAAGTCGACGTTGAGGCGAAAACGGCATTTCCACGGAGGCTGATTTTAGGTGTTTTCTCGGGACCATTTCGGATTCAATACTCTGGTACTAAGAGGACAAGACCAGTTTCGATTAGCCTCCTGTCACCGCGACATGGGGACGTAGACACCTGGGTCACAGCTAACAATGTTGATAGCTAATGAACTGAACCTAGAGAGTTTACATGATTACTGACAAAGTAGTGAAGCAATAAATCTGATGGCGCGCTGGTCCTATTACAGGAAAACGGGGGGGACTAGGTTGTGATCTAAAGTAATCGCAGTCCAGTTGGCGATGAGCAGCCCGGAGATCCTTGAGTGAAGGCCGGAACTTACCTAAGCAACGGACCACGCAGTCATTGGCCATCCATTAGCCCATCGCACTATCAACATGCTTAGCCCACTCGGCCCCTGTCCGAGGGCTCTTCTCCGCGGCTCATCAGAAAACATCGCAGCTAATCAGATCGCCTGCCATTGGTCAACTGGCCTTATCTTCGATGTCTTATCAAGATCTGCTTGACATTGTAGCTTCCACTGCAGGACGGCGTCACGAAGAGACTGCAATGGACCGTGGGCATGTTGTAACAGGATGTTTTTGCCCCCCTTCGGGACGTGCCACAGAGACCCCAGAATTGACCTTCTCCGCTCAGTGGTCCGGCCATGACGGAATGCCAGTACATAAGTGCTCCGAGCCATTTGCTGGGCGCGCTACCAAGCACGCACGACGGAGATGCACATCTCCAGTCTTGGCCCTCCCGGCGGATCGAGGCTTTTTCATGTATCTAGACCATTCTCCATGGCATAGACGACGGTCGCACATTCAGAATATGAGCCCATTGCGATCGTGCCAACCATTTTCTCCTTTTCCTTTCCAAACTCACTTCGCTTCTTGATTATAGATTATTGTGATGTCTGTTCTACGTGCTTTCTAGTGTACTTCGCACCGTGATACCCGGCTTGTCGCCAACCCGACCGCCGCTCCGATTGGGCGTGCACCCTTGAGCAAGCCCTAACTTACTTTCATCGCAGCAGACATGGCGGCTGGTCACAGAAAGAAGCTCGTGGTGGTCGGCTTGGGAATGGTGGGAATCAGCTTCATGTGAGTGGTATAAGTTCTATGACAGTACGCAAGCAAAGACTAACAAGGCACCTTGCAGAGAGAAGTTGCTCAAGCTCGACGCCCGAGCTAGAGAATGGGATATTGTTGTCATCGGCGAGGAGGCGCACCTGGCCTACAACCGCGTTGGCCTGACGAGCTTCTTCGAGCACAGGAAAGTCGAGAACCTGTACCTGAATCCCCTGGAATGGTATGAGGGTATTCTGGACAACGCCCTCGGTTGGCACCTGAACAAGAAGGTCACCGAGATCCATCCGGATCGAAAGATTGTCACATGTGCGGACGGCACTGAGGTCTCGTATGACACCTTGGTGCTGGCCACGGGCTCAGACGCCGTGCTACCCCGGCACACTCCAGGCCATGATGCCAACGGAGTGTTCGTCTACCGGAACATCGAGGATCTGGAGCGGCTAATCGCCTTCTCTGCCACGAAGAAAGACACCTACGGGGCGGTTGTGGGCGGTGGTCTCCTCGGCTTGGAGGCGGCCAAGGCGATGATGGACCTCGAAACATTCAAGCAGGTCAAAGTCATTGAGCGCAATCGCTGGGTGCTCAGCAGGCAGCTGGACAGCGACGCGGGCGCCATGGTGGTTGAGCAGGTGCGCGCGCTCGGTGTCGATGTGATGCTCAGCAGGCGGGTGGGAAAGATCGACACGGACGGCAACAACAACGTCGTAGGCGTGCACTTCGAGGATGGCGAGTACATGCCCTGCTCGACGGTCTGCTTCGCCATCGGCGTGCGGCCGCGCGACGAGCTTGCAAGATCGGCGGGCATTCGATGTGCAGACCGAGGCGGTGGCATTGTTGTCAATGATGATCTGAGCACGAGCGAGCCGCACATCTACGCCATTGGAGAGTGTGCGAGCTGGCAGAGTCAGACGTTTGGGCTGATTGCGCCGGGCGTGGAGATGGCTGATGTCTTGTCATTCAATCTTACTCAAGCGAAACTTCACCAACCTCGGCTTTATAAGAGGCCGGATCTGAGTACGAAACTAAAGTTGCTGGGCGTTGAAGTTGCCAGCTTTGGAGACTTCTTCGCTGATCGTGATGGGCCTAAATACCTGCCGGCTCGAGCAGCGAGGAAGAAGAAAGCGGAAGACAAAGCGCACGATGTGAAAATACTGACGAATGGCCTTCCGCCGCCGGATGTCAAGGCTTTGACGTACAAGGACCCCTTCCAAAATGTGTACAAAAAGTACATCTTCACCACGGATGGCAAGTATCTACTGGGTGGGATGATGATTGGTGACACAAAGGACTACGTGAAGCTAGTGCCGCTTGTTAAGCAGCAGAAGGAGCTTGACATTCCGCCGAGCGAGCTTATCCTCGGCGCGAAGAAGGACGGAGACGACGATGGTGATGATTTGGAAGATGACACTCAGATATGCTCGTGTCACAATGTGACAAAGGGCGACGTCGTCAACGTCGTCAAAGACGGCACGTGTAAGTCTCTCGGCGATATCAAGTCGTGCACGAAGGCCGGTACGGGGTGCGGCGGATGCATGCCGCTAGTGACCTCCATCTTCAACAAGACGATGATATCGATGGGCAACGAGGTCAAGAATAATCTATGCCCGCACTTCAACTACAGCCGAGCAGACCTCTACAATATCGTTTTCGTCAAGCGCCTACGCACCTTGCCCGAAGTAATGCGCGAGGCGGGCGTCGACCCAGATAGCTTAGGTTGTGAGGTGTGCAAGCCGGCTGTGGCAAGCATTTTTGCGAGCTTGTGGAATAAACATGTTATGGATAAGACGCACCACGGCCTGCAAGACACGAACGATCGCTTCTTGGGCAATATCCAGCGCAATGGCACGTTTAGTGTTGTCCCGCGAGTTTCGGGCGGCGAGATCACGCCGGACAAGATGATTGTCATGGGCCAGGTTGCCAAGCAGTATGGCCTATACACCAAGATCACTGGTGGCCAGCGTATCGACATGTTTGGTGCTAAGAAGCAGGACTTGCTGGAGATCTGGAAGACGCTTGTCGATGCTGGAATGGAGAGCGGTCATGCGTATGCCAAGTCACTACGTACGGTTAAGAGCTGTGTGGGCACGACGTGGTGCCGTTTTGGTATCGGTGACAGCGTGGGCATGGCTGTACGTCTGGAGGAGCGGTACAAGAGCATTCGAAGTCCGCACAAGATCAAGGGTGGTGTTAGCGGTTGTGTGCGTGAGTGTGCTGAGGCGCAAAACAAAGAGTGAGTTGTATCTTGGCTGTCTTACCCCTGACCCCTTTTCTGCAGTAAGCTAACACATCTTTCTGCAGTTTTGGCCTAATAGCAACCGAGAAAGGTTTCAACATATTCGTCGGCGGCAATGGAGGTGCCAAGCCCAGACATTCGGAAATTTTGGCCAAGGACGTTCCTCCGGCTGAGGTGATTCCCATATTGGACCGATATCTGATGTTCTACATTCGCACAGCAGACAAGCTACAGCGGACAGCGCGCTGGCTTGAGGGCCTGCCGGGTGGCATCAAATATCTACAAGAGGTAATTCTCGAAGACAAGCTAGGCATCAACGCCTCACTGGAGGCACAGATGAAGGAGCTCGTGGACAGCTACTTTGATGAGTGGGCCGAAGCCATCAAGAACCCGGCCATAGCTGCCAAGTTCAAGCAATTCAACAACACAGAGGAAACCGTTGAGACAGTGGAGGTAGAAAAAGACCGCGACCAACCCCGCCCTGTGTTCTGGGCAAAGGAATCTGCCAAGGAGGATTTCCAGGGCCTGCGCAGCAAGTGGTCATTCACCACATGGCAACCTGTTATCGAAGCGAGTCACTTCGCAGGAGCGGACTCTTCTCCGAATGGCGTGAGTGCCACGATCAAACGGGGTGACACGCAGTTGGCGTTATGGCGCGTCCGCGGGCGTTACTTTGCCACACAGCAAATGTGTCCACACAAGCGAGCCTTTGTGCTGTCGGACGGTCTCATAGGAGAAGACACGCCAGCCACAGATGAGAAGGGCGAATCCAAGGGCGACGCTTCCGACAAGGTCAAGCCGGGTGCGCCGTGGGTATCGTGTCCGTATCACAAGCGCAACTATGACCTATCAAGCGGTAGCTGCAAGAACGACTCGGAGTTGAGCATTGCGACCTTCGAGGCCGAGGAGAGGGCAGACGGTTTTGTGTATATCAAGCTGCCGCCCGTCGAAGAATTGGACGCTGAGCTAGGCACCAAGAAGTGGATGGTCAAGAAAGGGGAGACTAAGAGCCAGTTTGAGGAGCTCGACCGCAAGATCAAGTTCATCGGGCAGCGGGCAAAGAAGCCCGGCGTAAAACCCCATGTCGAACTGCCGATGCGCAAGCCGGTTGAGCTTATGGCTGGTGGTGGATGTGGAGCCGCGCCGGACTGGTAAATCTTAGAGTATGAGTCCATCAGTCTGAAATATCTCAGTGTTGACATGGATTATTTGTCAGGGGAGCTGCGAGTACTTGGAGCAAATCTGGCTGTGGCAAGACGAGGTAAAATTGGAAGAAGGATCACCCGAGACTCATTTGGCTGCTATCTAGTTAACCGTATATAACATATATTCAATGACATACAGAATCTCAATCCCACTGACTAGCTACCGTAAAGCAAGAGATCTAACGAGAGATATTCTCTGTTAGTAAGATCGCTTCTCTCGAAATATGCTTTGCTTGCTCGATCGACCAATCAATCAGCCAGCCACTGAGCCGGACTCCCGTAAGCCCGGGTGAGCGATAATTGTGGGACTCTTCGGCGGAAGTAGAAGTGGGGCTTCGGGGGAAAGACCGGTGGAGTTAATAGCTGTATGCCCTTTGTTCTCCTTTCTTGCAGCCCTTGCTAGACGAAAACTGCCCATATCAAAGTCTGCATCTTAGAAAGCATAAAAGCCGCTGAGACCCTACCCTCTCATATGACCTGGTACGCATCTGTACTCCTACTTTTCTTGAAAACAACCATGACTACTTACACAAAACGTCCCGTCCGGCAGCTGGGCAAGAATGGGCCGCTGGTTCCTCGTCTGGGATTGGGAATGATGGGTCTCAGCGGAGTATATGGCCTTCCGGCTCCTGACCATGAGCGCCTGGCCTTTTTGGACAAGGCTTTCGCGACTGGAGAGACATTCTGGGACACAGGTGCGGACCATGGTGTCCTGATATACTTTCAAGGCTAATCTGTGATTATGAAGCCGATGAGTACGGCGACTCCGAAGATCTGATTGGAAAATGGCTCGCCGCAAACCCCGATAAACGCAAGGATCTCTTTCTTGCCACCAAGTTCGGCATCAAGTCCAAGCCCGAAGAACACCTGCAGATCGACTCATCCCCTGAATACTGCCGTAAGGCTTTAGAAAAGTCACTCAAACGATTGGGTCAGTCATATGTCGACCTATATTACATACACCGCCTTGACAAGGTGACTCCCATTGAGAAGACTGTTGAGACATTGGTCGAGCTCAAGAACGAGGGAAAGATCAAGCATATAGGTTTGAGCGAGTGCAGTGCTGAATCCTTGCGTCGAGCGTATGCCGTTCACCCAATAGCATGTGTACAAGTTGAGTACAGTGCCTTTTGTCTTGCCATTGAGTCACCCGAGATTCGCCTGCTTGAGACAGCTCGCGAACTTGGTGTGGCAGTAGTGGCATATAGCCCTATTGGCAATGGCTTTCTCACCGGCAAAATCCGCAAGCAAGAGGATTTCACTCAGCCTGGTGATCTCCGTGCTAGCATACCATGGTTCAAGCCAGAGAATTTGGACAATAATGTGGCCGTTATCGATAAAATGGTTGGCATTGCCCACGCAAAAGGAGTCAGCCCTGCCCAATTAGCCCTAGCTTGGGTCCTTGCTCAGGGAGATGATATTTTCGCGGTTCCTGGCACGTCAAAGATTACTCGTCTAGAAGAAAATTTGGAGAGCATGTCGATCTCTTTGACGTCTGATGAGGAAAAGACGATTCGCAAGTTATCGGCGGAGATAGTGGGTGGCCGTGTTCAAAGCCTGATGGGGCACACATTCGCCGATACTCCTCCGTTGCATTAGAAAACCCGAAAGGCGTACTTGACGTAACAAACTCTAAGCTAGTCCCAAGGTCACATATTGACAAAACCTTATAGAATCCCGAGCAACTGTTTCTGGAAAATTCCCAACTTTACATGGGTCCCTCGTGCGGTGATGGTAAACCTCCGCACTATTCACGTGTTGCGAATAGACACATGTGAGAGCACATTTTCTGGTTGCTTTAGGTTATCGGTCCCCCTGTGACGCCGAAATTGCAGTAAACATGACTGTTGACAGTTCTTCGTCAGTGATGACAATTTTCTGAGCAAAGGGCATGCAACAGTTGTACATTTGGTGCAGTGGAGTATGCACTGGCATGCTTCGCACGCACTAGTAGTCTCTTATAAGGCGAAGGGTAAAAAATACCTGCACTGAAAACAGTCAGATCCAGGCTCTGGCTGAATTCTATCAATCCAGCTCCTTGGCTAATCTGTAAGAACTCATGAGAGACCAAAGCTACCAGTAAAGAGTTTTAAACACAAAGAAACTAAGTGGATGATCTCCTGACTATAGCAGAGCATGCCTGAATGAGATCAGGCGGCAACCCGCTGTAATAGCTTAAACCAAAATTTGGGCGATAATTATATTATTACTGACAGTCTATGAGGATATATAGTCGGTATAGTCCCCTACCCTAGACAAATAGTGAGAATGAGATATTCTAAGAAGCCTGGAAGAAATTAAGGTTGCCAGTGGGCAGCTCCTAGGAAGAATGACAGTTTAAGGCCATTAGGATACCAATGGGCTTGCAACGCACAGTAGGCGTTCTATGCCCGGCTCGAAGACCATGCAATAAGGTAGGTGGGTACGAGGTCTCAGGGGCTGTCACCAGGTACAGGTAATTCGGAGGTGCCGGCTGGGCGCCGGGCTGTCAGCGCGCTAACGGTCGGGCCGTCAAGACCTAGCTTCTTGCCGCAATACAAAACATGTCAACCACTAGTTCCTCTATTCTTTAATTTAAGCATCAATGATCACAATGTCGTCGTCACAACCTCTTCTTAGACGGCGCAAACTCCGGAAGGGAACATTCAGTTGCTTGGAGTGTAAACACCGCAAGACTCGGTGTGTCTTCAGGCCTGGGGACTCGATTTGTGAGTTGTGTCGACATCGCGGCGTCTCGTGCCTGAGCCAGGACTTTGAAGCCGAGAGCAACGCTGAGCTGACCGAGAGGCGCGTTGTTCACATAGAGGAGCTGGTCGGCCAATTAGTGCGGCAGAGGAATGGAGAGAAGGCGGATATGGTAGAGCAAAGGGCGTTTCTCATAGCACCAGATCCGTCATCAGAATGTTCAGTGAGCAGCTACTTGTACTCAATCTTCCCATCCGCCTCCACAGCTGCAATGATACAAGAACGTGGCATATCCCGGAGCATGCTTGCTTGTCTAGGACCAGGTCGGGATCAGCCGTGGCAAATCTTGGAACGGCCGCCTTCATCATCTCATCCAATCCACTTTGCGCGCAAACTCGTACAGCTTGCACTTTGTTTACAACAACAAAAAGACCCGACGAATGATGCTGCTCGATATATTGGTATTGTGTCGCGCCTTGTTACGTCTCAAGACATGCTCTTGGACTCCATCGATGGAATCGAGACGCTGATGTTGGAAGCAATGTATCATATGAATGATGATAATACTCGTGCTGCGTGGCTCCTATTCCGCCGGGCCTTGGCAATTGCCCAGATGCTGGGTCTCGACTCTATGCAAGACAGCCAACGTGCCTGCGTCGTCTGGTTCTGGCTGATTCGCGGGGATCGCTATTTCTCCTTGGACCTGGGATTGCCAGTGGCTTTGACGGACAACAGTTTCGCCGACTTGCATAGCGATCCGCGATCAGATCTAGAGAACGCTCATGCTGTCATAGCAGGTCGCATCATTGAACGGAATCAGCGACTGCAGAAATATCGTGACTCTGAATACGAAGAAACTCTAGATATCGACTCCTCGCTGAAACTCGCGGCAAACTCTTATCCGCCAGCCTGGTGGACGTTTCGCGTGTCTCAAAGCCTAGAAGACGAGAAAGTCATAGAGTTGGCAGCAAAACTTTTGACACAAATGCATCATTACTGTTTGGTACTCACTCTGCACCAGCCTTACCTCAGGCTTGAACTATGCTCGCCCGAAAGTAACGCGAGCTTTTCATATAGCAAAATGGTCATACCTCCAGCGAGTCGCGAGGTGCTTCTCCGTTTTCTGGTATTGCGGAGCTTTCACCATGGTATCCCATACCGGGCAATCGAAGTTAAAGCCTACAAAGCCTCAATAGCACTTCTTCTTGCTCATATTGATGGACATCGTCTGGGACGGGCGAATATTTTGGAACACATGCGGCCACGAGACTTGGGCGTTATTGATGACGTGATTAACCTAATCGATGAGGTAGGTGGAGGCAATAATATGGTGCGTAAAATGAAGGAACTTGTGAAGATTGAATCAGAAGTTGCAAACGGAGCCACTTATGAATGGTTAGAGGGAAACGGATCCGGCCCTCAGTTTGAATTACCATTCTTTGGGGCGTTACGTGCCATCCCGAGGAGTTCACAAGGAGCACTTTTGGACCAAGATATAGATTCTTCTCTGAACCTAACCACGCAAGGCCGGATGCCAGGTTATGAAGACTTGAATTATGGGAACTATTTGCCTCTGGTTGACCGAAATCCAGATGCATATAACTGGGAGTAGAACGCACTAGGTGTAGACATTGCTGCCTAGTTTCAGGATGAGGAAGTACTCTGGCCCGAAATACGCAGGCATTGAGATAGATGGAGAATTTGGTGACTTTTTTGATTGGTCAGGAAACTTTCAAGAGCGCGCACTCATCACTACACACCTAAGTAGAGTCCGATTTCACCTTTCTATATAGATGATTAAGCTATCCAACAGCACCATTGGTTGAGATAAGCAGTCCCTCCTCATCTATCGGCACATGTCTAGTCATGCATTGATGATACTGAATGCTGCCCGCTATTCTGACTTGATACGGGCTTCACTATCTAGTCGTGCATAGGCATCTAGCACGAAGTTTAATGCGGCAGGAGTTATCTTGAGGCTGCTTTGTTCTTCGGTTAGTCTTGGTCTCCATTCGTAAAATAACGCCAGGCCACTTTGAAGGTGAAGGTCCGCCTCTGAATGTAACCCTAAAAGAGTGCACAGATAGATGAACAGTTGATTGGTAATCAGGACGACAACTTTCTCGATCTGAGTGCAGCCTTTTGCTTTGCCGCCAAGACATTGCTGTAATATCGCTATGGATTTGGTGTATTGTGCCAAAGAATATTCATTACCAGCATGGTTCCTGTCCTCTCTGTGCTGAGGCAAGAGAGAGATGTGATGTGCCGCTGCCAATGCCTCGACAGCGAGTCTCACGGGGCTATAGGCTTTAGCAAATTGGAGCAGATCGGAGCTCCAGAAGTCAGCCTCATCCTCAGAGCCAATGAGCAATGCGATATTCGTTCGAAACATGCACAGTGTGTTGTGCTGTGCAGGTATCAACTGGGAGGATGGACTAGATGACGGCCCGGTCGCTTGCATGGTATCTGGCACATAGCCGTCGCATCTTCGCCCCGTTGAAGTACAACGATAGCATAATGGGCGTGTTTCATCACATTTGATTCTCCGGATTCTGGATCCATGTCATTAGTGCGCCATAGGAAGGCATTCTGAAGGCGCTGCTGCTTCGACAAGCCCCTTACTTACCTACATGTGATGCACCCCGTCCTGACTCGGTTAGAAAACCTCTTCTTGCGGGGACGGCGGGTCGCCGTGCCACCTGCCCTCCTAGTATTCTCCCTATTCCCTCCAATTGTAGAGCGCATTGCTTGGGGAAGGCATATGTTGTGACGGATCGTACTTTAGAAGCAGGATATGTGATGTTTGGTGACAAGAAGTTGTCCACAGATCCTCGAGACCTTAGCCTAGATCTGTTAGTGAAACATCCTGGTCAGATGGATGAATGCTATTGGCCTGTTCGTCTAAAACCCCATGCATCTCCCACAACCTCAATCGACGACCCACTCAGGGTGTATAGTAGCATCCAACTTGCGGCGACGAGAATCCCGAAATATCCACTGTCTTTGGCGTCATCTCTGGACACAGATACGGAATGCCAGTGAGTGCTTGGTAATCCCCCGAAAGGTCTGATCTAGCCAATGTACTGTACAAGAGCACTTGCCCTTAGGGCAAGTATGAAGAACTGCCGCCAATATAAATTCCATCTTTACATACCTTTGACCCCCTTTCTTTCCTTTCTTTGAAAGACTTGTTTGATCTATCCTGATGGAGGTCATTTTCATATAGACAACATGACACCGCCACCGCCATCTTCTGCGCTTCCAGCACAAGATGTCCCCACAGGAACACCCACAGATAATGACGGAGCTGTTCCAACAGTTTTCACACCTATACAGGTTCGGGGCCTTGAGCTTCAGAATCGTTTCGTCGTCTCGCCCATGGGTACGTGGAGTGCGATTGACGGCCACTTGACCGATTTCCACGTCGTACACTACGGTGCCTTTGCTCTTCGAGGAGCTGCCCTAAGCGTTGTGGAGGCTACTGCCGTAGCTGCAAATGGCCGTACCTCTCCTCAAGACTCTGGATTGTGGAGCGACAGTCAAATACAGCCGCTGAGACGTGTCTTTGACTTCGTCCATGCACAAGGCCAGAAGGCTGGTATACAGCTCAACCATGGCGGACGCAAGAGTAGCACTTTGGCGCCACGGTTTGCTCCAGGGGGCAAGGTAACAATAGCCACTGAGAAAGACGGTGGATGGCCACAAGATGTATGGGCTCCAAGTGCAATTCCTCACAGCAAGGAATATGTGACACCGCATGCTTTGACAATGGAGGTAATTAATGCACTCGTTGAGAGCTTCGGGAGCTCAGCCAGGCGGGCAGTTCAGGCTGGCGCAGGTAAGCACTAAGACCGATTTACTTATAGGCTCATAGCTAAGTTGAACACACAGATTTTATAGAGATTCATGGGGCCCACGGATACCTTATACATCAATTTTTGTCTCCGATAACAAATCATCGCTCAGACGAGTATGGTGGTAGCTTCGAGAACCGCATCCGCTTTCTCCTCCGAGTACTCCACACTGTACGAAGTGAGATGCCTGATTCCATGCCTCTATCCCTTCGCATCTCGGCGGTTGAATGGATGGAATGGAGTGGCCGACCGTCTTGGGACTTTGAACAAACTCTCAAGCTCGTCCCGCTGCTGCCAGAAGCTGGAGTGGATATACTGGATGTCTCATCGGCTGGCATCACTCCAGAGCAGAAGATCCCTGCTGATCCCCGCTATCAAAGTGATCTTGCTGGCATCATTCGGGGTTTTGTACATGAGCACAAAATTCCGCTCCTTATCGGTACAGTGGGTTACATCACTAGTCCTGAGATCGCCATGGGTCTTCTGCAAGACGGAAGAGTAGTAGAAAACGTTGACGATCACTCCGCAGCCCCCACGCCGCAAGCAGATCTGGCATTCATTGGGAGACAATTCCTTCGAGAGCCCGAGTTTGTGCTAAGTAGTGCACGGAAACTAGGTGTCAGAGTGCAATGGCCTTTTCAATATGAAAAAGCGAATCTTAGCGATGCTTAATTCAATTTGGTATACTCTATCATATCATATGTATTGGTACACGTGATCTCGTTTCGTATGCATAGAAGAGCATGAAGAGACTCGCGAGGTCGTGATCTCTTATGTGCGTACTTCTTGTAAGCAGTTTATATCCCGGAGAATTATCACGATCCCCTGCAAGCCACACTCGAGCTGCATTAGCTGACATCTTCCAACAATCAAGACAAGGGTGATCATTGGTTCTTCGGCGTGAGGAAGAGTTTTCATTTCACTGCAATTTTAGCACCAACACAGATCGAAACCATTAGCCTGCCTGAGGTAGTTGGGCGCAGGGCGCCGATGCCGGAAGACCTCTACTAACGATGTTCAAGGGATGCTATAGTTTCGTGAGTATACACAGTGTTTTGTTTGCGCGTAAGGACCAGGCATGAAGAAATCACGTGAAGTTAGCAAGCCCTGCAATTTCAGCCTCATCCGGAGGCTGACACGCGGTTCACTGCAAATTTAGCCTCCTCGGACGGCGTACATTGACTCCAGTCTCCTGGTCGACAAGCATTAGTCGATACGCTGGATTGGTGCCTTCAGAGCGTAGCACATGACTTCACCGATTGCTCCAGTCTCAGTCAAGGCACCATCTAGAAGTCACAGAAAATTTGAGTCTCTTGAAAAGAGAAAAGGTTTAGTAGTGATGATTGATATATAGCAGATGCAGATAACAAATCAGACAACACAAGTTCGCAGCTTTTCGCATGAAACTCATACACCACATCCTCCGACTTGAACTCTCAAACTCCTCCCATTGCCTGTACCAAAAGCTGACGGATCTATCTCGTCCTTCCATGCCACCCGATAATCGCCGTAATCCATCTTTTAGTCTTGAACGCCATTAAGCCTGATGATAATGATAATGTTGACAACCGCCCTGAGAGCTGCCCAGCTGCTAGTGTTCCAGGAGTATAGGTAGAGAAGGAGAAATAAGTATGCTGTTGAGACCAGAATTATCGAGAAATATTAGAGAAATGCAACCGTCGGGATAGTCATACGTCGTGTGCGGGCTGCGAAAGGAAATAGACCCCTACGCCATGCTAGGGCCACAGAAAGAGTAGTTCAGCAGCTACCCTCTTCGCTGTCGCATTCGCTCATGGTACCATACCCTAGGTCCTCTTCCATGCCAACCACGCTCTTGGTGATGCTCAAACATCGCTCAACTACCTTACGGCGGATCTCTTGGTCCAAACCAGGTCTATCTCCCTCGGGGCTACCGACCCATATCCTTAGCGTGCCTGCCAGCCTCTCAAGTGACTTTGCGCATGACTCGGCGGCAACTGGGTGGCCATGGAGACGATCCATGAGATGGACAGCAGCGGTGCAACCTAGCAGGGTCATACCATCAGGTGCACCTGGTAAGATTCCCTTGATAATAGACAGAGCACTCGGTGGGGGTACCTCGAAGCGTTGGAGATGGGCAATGGCCATTGCGCAGCGCAGGGCCATCTGCACATCGGCATCGGGGAGGATGGATGAAATAGGAGAATCGATCAGCGGCGGGACGCCTCTGCTGTAAAGCGGGTGTTTGTCGGGGTTCGCGCTTGGTTCTAGGGCCTGGAGAGCTAGAGCAATATTGGCACCACGCTTGCCGTCGACCAACACTGCCTTGGCAACCAGTGCGCGCACCTGAGCGCTTGAGCCAATTGGAGCGACCTTGATGGCGAGATTAAGCTCCTCGTCAATAAGAGCTGCCAGCTCATCGGTCTTCTCCTTTTCTACCAGGCAGGTCGATAGTACACGTTGAAGGGTGAGGCTAGACCACCATGCAGCGACAGCATCCATTGGTGACCTCACGGCGGGGTCCTCCACAACAGCATTCATCCCATCCACATCCACGACGACTTCGTGAGTTGTTGGTCGGTTCCAGGCTAGGTTGTTAGCTCGCTGAACGATGTCACCGTTGAGAACATCATCGCAATCTTGCTCGAGAAGCATAGCGAGATGATCTGGGAGCTCGTCGTCAGCTGACTTCTCTCCTTGGCGCAGCTGATTCAGCATCCGATTGAGATATCTAGCATCGCTCCACTTCTTCCTCGCAAGCTTGGCGGCAAGCATGTTATGCACACCATGCTTGCCTAATTGCCATAGTAGAACTCGGATGTGAAGAGCTTTGAGCATCAGTCGCTGCGGTGTGTCGGGCAATGTTCCTGATGCCAGCAATGTCAAAGTAAGTCTGCTCTTGTTTATCTCAACATCACCACCAGCCAGCTGCGCGTCCAGAGCAATTGTCCATGCCTTCACTCTAGCAGTTTCCTGCTCTTCAGTTAGGCCAGTGAGAGCTTGGTAACCGTGCATGCCTATCGTGTTTCTTAGACTGAGCTTCATCGTCTTGAGGATCAGTGCAGCGGCCTCCAGGAAGAAGTTGTGATGCGGAACCCAGACAGTCTGAATTGCGGTGAGCCAGGCTTGTCTCCTGACATGGATGGGAGAGGCCAAGGATGGCACTTCCTGAAGCGAGGCATTAATTTGTTGAGGTTTCTGAGACTTTGGTGGCCTGGGTGTGAAGATTGAGGGTACAAAGGCCCACAACAAGGCTCCAAAGAGAAGGAGCATCTTTAGTGTGGCAATGGTCTGGACCATCGAGAATTGATAGCCAGCGACACTGAAATGGCTTGCAGAAGCCAGAGAGCCCAGTAAATGCAGGGGCAGGGCGAACAATCCACGTCCCTCGGGTGATTCGTTGCTCACTTCGTTTTCCCGCACAGCCTCGATAATCATGAGACCAGCTAGAGACCCCACCATCAGCTTGCCGAAGTAGGGCCCAGCGTTCTGCCAGCGATTTGCTTGCATCTGTTGCTGCTGCTGTATTTGTTGTTGTCTAAGCAAGGCTGGGTTTTGCTGGAACTGTTGAGGGGGGACTGGATATGGTCGTCCAGCTGCCATCTGTGCACTAATGATGCGTTTCATATCATCCGGAACCTGGATCATTCCCTGCGGATCCGGACCTCTTGGAGTGCCAATCGGAGTTCCCATGAATTGGGACGCGTCTTGGGGATATTGCATCGGCGTCGGCGGTTGCTGCATGGGGCTCATCGCGCCATTCATCGCACCAGCCATGAAAAGCTTTTCGAATGCGGAGATTCTCTGCTGCATGGTGCTGTTCTCGTCCAAAAGACGGTTATTTCGCTTTTCCAAATGTCTGATATATTCCGTCGCTTTGCTCAGGACCTAGAGAGTTGGTTAGCCTAGGCTATTTTTGCGACTTTGCAATAAACCTACAGTAGCTTTGTTCAATTTGTGCGCAGGAGTCAAGCCGTGTAATTCTTCTCTATCCTCCGTGGTGTCTTCTCCTCTTGCACTCTTGGACATAATACGTAGACTTGGAACGCTGTCACGCAAGGCGGCGATCTTGTCGTTAAGATTTGTCCGATACCTTTTCTCGATCATGTTATGGGCGGTCTTCTTCACGGGCTGATCTTCATCGTCGTCGTCGTCATCATCCTCGTCATCGGCGGAGGACTTGCGCTTTCGGCTGCTGGCTTTGGACATGTCCGCGCCGTCGGGCGACACAGGCCCGCCATGCTTACCCTCGCTTGACTGTGGGCTCGGCTCGCTCTTCGGCGAGTGATACTGGAGATGGGCCGGCATGGCAATGCTCTTCAGCTTCTCCTGTTGAGCAGGAGTCAAAGAGTTCATGAGGCCGGGAGTTGCGATCGGACGAATTAGGTTCTCGCTCGACGGAGAAATTGCAGATGAGTTGCTCGACAACCCAGCATAGAGGGAGGCCTGGTTGAGGTCCACCGGGCTTTGAGATGGATGGGCCGACTGAACCCGCTGTTGCTGTTGCTGCTGCTGCTGCTGTTGTTGCTGGACGTAGGGTCGGAAGTTGAGAGCCTGCTCGGGGAAAGACGCGTTGGGCACGTTCCAGGTAGGGAAGAAGTTAAGAGACTCAAAGGGGTTCACAGTCTCCTGAGAGTCATATGGGGGTGTCGACTGAGGGAGCCCCCAATTGGAGTCAGGTGAGAAAAAGTTCTGGGAAGTGTCTAGGAGGCCGTCATTGGTAGGAGACAGCGACTCGTTCTTTGGGACAGAGGCGGACGTCCTCTGAGCACGGCGTCCTGAGGCAGAGGCAGAGTCGAGGGTGGGATTGACGCTGCTGCTGCGAGTGCCGTAGTCGTCGGTGAGATTGACATTAACGGCGGCCTGAACGCTGGAGTCGTCGAGGCCAGCGAACAAGGCCGGGTCAGAGCCCTGATCGGTCATTATGTTGAGCAGCACGCTCTGGCATGCAACAATGGGCTGATACCAGCTCGCTGGGTGGGATGACTGGCAGACTCGGTAGACCGGGATCCAAGATCCAAGGGCAGTATGCGCGCTGCCCGCAGCCGGCCAACGAGGAGTCGAGTCGAGTCAAGGCAAGGCCACCAAAGGGCGGGCGGCTCGCGGTGCTAGGCCGGCGGCCGTGAGATTTTGCCAGAAGCGAAGCTCTCCGCTAGGACTGGAAGGCAGAGGATGCGGAGGCTCAGAGCGCTCGAGAACCGGTCGAGAGCTCAATTGGCGATGGGCCGATGGTAGTATCGTACGAGGTCCAGGGATGAGGCACAAATTGAGGTGAAAGGGAATTGCGAGACTTTGGGGGGTCTATCGTACGATCTTGCTTCAGACAGTGTCCTGTCCACCCGGAAAGGACCGGCGTCTCAGCCTAAGCCGCTTTAGGCCCTCCCCTCACACGTGATCCCGCCGGCACCTATTCTCTCCCTCTTTCTGGGCTAGTTATCGGGCTATTGGGCTTGTTGTGCTGGGCATCCGTCTCAAGTGTGTGTGAGCTGGGCGGCGTGGTCGCCCTCCTACTCGCTATTGGGGATTTCCGCTATTATCTTTGTGGGCAGAAAAAGCAAGAATATCTAAAACATACATACAATACGCACATGCATTCATTTTACTTTAACAGCCCGACGTGCGACCCAATTTTCCGGCGTTGAAATGCGGTTGGGATCCTCGCCCAAACTGCCCTCCCACTGGGCGTCGTAAAGCAGAAGGCTGGTGGAGCATTACCTTTCTACCTAGCCCGGGCTACCTAACCCGACTGCTAAAGGATGCACTCACTGCACTACTCACGTCTCTCCCTTGGTACCTACTGTAGCATGTGTGATGTCATGCTGCTGTGATCCACCCTCCAGCTGAACTGCATCCGCTACCCCGAGGCTGCTACGGCTGAGGAAGGCTGAGACTATTTGCAATACTTTATCTTGCCAGTTACCTCGTCTTTGTGGTACAATTGATGCTAAACTAAATGTTCCTTCCAGCCGTGATACTCGTCGGATGTCGACAGCTCACTGACGGCAATGCAGCTTTGTTCCGAGGGGTTGGCCGTCCTCGATAACTCCGAGCCGCCATGTTGACAGACATCGCACTTGATGACTTACCGGCATGGTATACAAGAAAAAGTTCCTGCGGCGATTAAGAACTGTACTGTGCAAGATCGATCGTGTGACTTTCCATCGAAACGTGCCTCCATTACGCCGAGGCTTCCTTCGGCGGCGCCCTCAGTACAGACGAGCATACACCCTCTCCGACCCCGTGCTTTACCCGATGGATCATTTACCAATTTGCGACAAGTCTCCAACCGACTGTTCTCGGTGGGATGGTGGCAGTTTCATCTATCTGGGTAGGCATAAGATGCAGCCGTTCTCAGAGACACGTACATGGTCTTCGTCACCTGAGGTCCCGTTGCAGTTGAAGCTCGAACTATAGATTCGGCGACCCGACTTTTCAGTCTTGCTCAAACGGGCAGGTCTCTCTCCAAAAGTCGTCCAGGGCTTGTTTCACTCACCTAGCCATTCTACACAACCCTCGAGGGTATTGGGAAGATCCGCCGCCTCGAAATGGATAGCGACCCTGAAGGACGACCGCTTGCTCCAGAATGCCAGCCCGCCCTTGACTCAGGCCCTACAGACGAGACTTTCCCAGACATATCGAGACCGGTGGAGCTGTGCCTTCCATGCTCGAATAATCGACACATGGGTGCTTGGTAAGAGGAAGCCTCCGTATCCTCGCTACTGAGACATCGACGGATACTTGTGATGTGGCCCTCCACGAAGTCTCCAAGCAGCCATCGAAGGTGAAAGGCAGTAATTCGTAAGTTAAATTGAAGAATAGCATGAAATCAATTGAGTTATTGACCAAGATGTAATCGGGGGATACACTCACGCTGTAGACGAATAGGCCTCACCAACCTTGACTAATTCTGAAGAGGATATATATATTTGAGTATACTAGTTGGTCACCCGTCTAGAAATGAAATAAATATGTAGCCAAGATCAGGCATGACTTTCGTTGAGACCTTGATAAAGTAGGTTTGCGTAGGCACCAATCACTTCTCTTAGGCTTATTACGGCAAATCTGAGTAGTAAGAAGATGTGAATTGGAATGCCTCAATATCTTCAACATACTTCATTCTACACAATCATCTTTGCCCGGTCTTGTAAGTCCAGTCAGTAGCTACCATGAAGATAATTAGGGCTAATACTTTTCATTTCCTTCCGTGTCGAAACAATTTTACTGCCCGCTCCTGCATCGCAGATCTCAAAGTCTATTGAGTTTTCACTGGCTTACTGCTTCCGGTTTGCTGCTTCTTCAGAAGCGCCATCATTTGCGCCACGACCTCCCAATTGCAATAAGTAGAGCCCGCCCTCAGGGGTGGCCAGAGAGCATCAATCTTGGCTGCCGTCTCCGCACTCAGTGGGCCCTTCTGGATGGCCACCAGATTACTCTTCCACTGTTCCGTAGTTGAGGCGCCAATGATTATCGCGTCACCCAAATCACCGTCCAACACAGAGTTGTGGACAACCCAGCGGTACGCCATCTCCACAGGCGCGATACCCTCGGCCGCAGCAATCTCGTGCCACTTGTCCAGCGCCTCCAGGGCTTCCGGCTTATTATACATCTGCTGATAGCACTTGCCGAGGAATTTATCCTTGCGCCAGCGGCCCTCGAAGGACTGATCCCGGAATTGCTGTGTTGTCTTGGTGAGGAATCCACCCGCAATAGGGCTGTACGCCCAGAAGGAGATGTTGTTTTTCCGAAGAATGGAGAGTAACTTGTCCTCTGCCAAACGAGCGACGGCGTTGTAGCTGCCTTCGAAGACGGATGGGAGAACGAACCCCTTCTTCTTGCAGACCTCAATCACCTCTTCAACTTGTTCAGGGAAATAATTGGAGAGGCCAAAACGCTTGATAGTGCCCTCCTTGTAGAGGGCATCGATTCCAGAGAGCGTCTCCTCAACGGGCACTCTGTTGTCCGGAGTATGCATAAATAGGACATCAAGCCATCAAGAAGTGTCAGTCACGAAACTGTGAGCTTGAATGCCGACGGGATAAATTAAAATACCTGCTCCATATGCAATTTGCTCAATCGTTCCTTGGTTTGAGCAATGACAGTCTCCTTCGTCGATAGCTGATCTGGTCGGGCCTCTCCTGGTAGCTTGGTGCCAATGGCGAAATGCGACCCGAACCTGAGTTGGCCCAAGAAGTCCTCAGACAACCCATAGAGGGACGAGGTATCAATTCCGCTGACGAGATCCTTGGTCTCCAAAAGTACATCAAGCCATGGCTGGGCATCTTCGGCGGACTTGATATCAAAGTCTGGAACGAAAGAGCCGGCACCGAAGATGAGCTGGGCTGGGGCCATGGTAACTTTACAGCTGATGATATGAAGACAGTATATCGCTTTTTCAGCTTATTTCTCGATCACTCTTCAGCAAGGGCAGGTGTGGCAGCCTACTATTCAACGAAAGGATCATGTTGAACATTGGAAGAGAGACAAGCTTAAATAGATATCTAAATACAACCAGATGCTCAGCATTGAGGCCTTTATAGTGTTTGTACATTTTTATTGGTTAGTCAGGTTGTATACGTCAGAGTTCGTCTTCCTAATACAACATATCTGACAAGCTTTCTCAACGCTGAAGGCCCTTATGGGGGGTTTGGACAACTTTATCGTCTGGCTTGCCTATTTGAGTCTGAATTCAAGATGTATTCACCAAGCAATCTCAGTAGTAAAGACTCTTATATGACGCTTGTGCAACTTTATCGTCTAGCTATCTTGTTTGGGCCTGAATTCGTCTGCTACAATGCGGCACATTCGACCAATGACTTCAGCTTTGCGAAAGCCAGCACGCTGTAGTTTTTCCTAACAAGGGTTATGGCCCATTTTACGGCCCAGAAAGACCAGTATAAAACAAGGGGCTCAGTTTTAGTCATGCCACTTGTGCCGCTGGTGGACTTAAGTGCGCGGCACATGAGGGTCCAGCAAGCGCTAATAGAACACAAACTGATGGCAGGGTGTTAACTCGCGAAATGTTTCTGGTTGAAGCGTCCTTCGTCGCAAGAGACTATATATTGAAAAACATGGTCGCAACACAACTTGTCACGAAGATTTGAGTCCAAATGATTCACTGTTGAGCAAAATCTTCATTTCCCTGGATAACCTGTGACAACTATATAGCAAGAGCTCTAATATAATATCGTATTGGCCTTTTTTAATCACTTTTTGTATAACAACCCCTGTGATATTCGTAATCTTTCTTTCAATCGAGATGATTTAATTAGGTCATACAAGTTTGATTCGTTTGAATTTTTGGATTTATATAAAGTTGTTCAAAACGTACAACAGATTCTATCAAGGGCGAGTAGGGCAAACACAGGCTCACAAAGGTCACAGTACCAAGGTGAAAGTCAACCTATCTGTCCTGGGTGGTGAAGCAAATGTGTGCTGTGTGCCTGGATTAGTCTCTCCCTCCTGGAGATGTAGAAAGGGACAAGTAGGTAAGATAGTAGGTCATGTGGCGCCATGGATTCTATAGTTTGTGTTCTTGAGACTCTCAACGTGCAGCAGTGAGATTGTTGGCACTTTGCCCCATTTGCTGTAGTAGCACTCGATGGTTATACCTTTCAAAAAAATTGTAAACACAATGAATCACTGTACGGTTATGTGTATTCATATATAGAAACAGAGAAGAACCCCATCCGCAGAGGAAAGCAACCTCGTTTCAAATAAGTCATCATCATGTGACCAACACCACCCAAACCGATGCGCGACATATAAGCAGCATCAATGGGAGCAATGGGTCGGTCTCCACATTATAGATACAAGGGCGACAGCAAGCACCTTGACCCAAGAGTATAAGGTTTAAAAAGAATTGTCTAATATGAACCCGGCCTGATATAGGAAAAGGAAAATACAAGCAGGTTGTGGTATCTACCAAATATCATCGTCGCTCCTGACCATCTCCATCGTCGGCGTCTTGGGCACCATCTTCTTCATCCTCTTCCTGTCCTCCTTGGTCACAAGGCTCGGCGTCATGGGTATCACGGGGGAGAAGGGCTGGTACGGGGTGTAGGGCACGGCGGCACCGGTGTAGGGTGTGCGCGCGGTACCGAGGCCCGGGGAGAGGGGCGCTCGCTCGAAGACGGTCTGCTTCATCTGCCTGTCGTACGAGTTAGGCGACAGCAGCGCGGGCTCGTACGCTCGGAGAGGCAGTGCACCTCCCGTGCGGACGGCAGACGGAGCGTTGGGCCGTGAGAATGTGGCACCGGGCTTCGGAGACGAGGGCAGTGAGGCCAGTGATGGGAAGCGGTTGACTCCGGGCTTTGGTGATGATGGTAAGCCGACTAGTGGTGTTGTGGACGTGTCCGTGGCCGCGGATATCGGGTCAGGTTCGGTCTGTCCTGACGTGTTCCGTGTGTGTGTGGTATCCATAGACAGCTTGACACCGATTCTCTCGTCGATGCTCTGCGTGCTATCGGGAGAGATGCCCGTCGGAGTTACAGGCGACACCGGGGATACTGGTGAAACAAGGCCGTTGAGCTGCCTCGTACCATACGGCATCTGATGTGTGGGGATTGGTGGTGGCTTTGCTGGTGCATATTGCCGCGGTGGGATGGCGTTCATCTCCTCGCCGTTTTGTGGTGGGAAAGTTCCAGACATTGGCGTCATAATCGGCGAGGAAATGCTGATGCCTTGCATCTTCTTCTTTCTCGGCGACTTGAGCGCAGAGAGAATGGAAGAAGTACGCGACTGCGTCTTCTCCGCCTTTACCTCGCCGAGATTCAAGTTGGCGGGCTTGACTCTTTCCTTTTTGACCAGTGTCGAGGTCGACTTATTCGCCTGATGGGTCGACATTGGTGTAGCAAGAACCGGTGACTGGTACTCGACACCGGCCTCCTTGGCCGCTTCCTGCTCCATCACGTACTTGTACATCTCCTCTAGCTGAGCTTGCGCCATGATTCTGTCTTGGTAAACGACGTGCTGATCGACTTGTGGCGCTACTCCTGGGGCACCGCGAAGTGTTGCGGTTGGAGAGGGGAAGATGTATGGCTTGTGTTCTAGAGCGCTAGTTGGGGATGAAGGATGTGAAAAGTTGCGATACGGGCTCTTTGGCAACTCAGTAGGATACGGATAAGGCTGTTCTTGTTGCTCGAACTGCTGATACTGTTGGAACTGCTGAATCTCCTCTTGGGACTGAAAGCCAGGTAGAGGGAAAAAGTTTGGCTCTTCCCAGATTTCCTCGCCGCCGTTTAGGTGTTCTCGTCGCTTCTTGGCAAGTGAGAGCAAGATAATGGCGACCAGCACCAGCGAAAGTGCGTATGATCCAACAATGCCACCGATCTGGGCCGGGAGGTAGGCAGGGTCTCGAAGTGCGTTGCGGGCGCCAGGAGGACCGTCTTCCGGCGACGGCGCGGGTCCCCAGTTGATGTTGAGCGGGTTGTTGTTTCTCTTGACCTCTTCACTTGAGGGTGCGGCGACGACCGAGTGAGCAAAGACTGTAAGGACTGAAAGAAAGACGAGGACGCGGGCCAAGAAGTTGAGACTGTGACTGGAGATTCCAGCGGGCATGGTGGTGAGGCCAGGACGGAATGCTTAAGTAGGGTCGGCCCTCATCACTCAGGAGGTGTACTATCTCACGAGTCGAAACGCATATTGATGGAGAACCAGCATGGAAATGCAGGAAAGATCAACCGGCAAGGAGATATGACTGGGTATATAGCGGCTGGTGATACTGTGATGCTGCGAAAAGAGGGCGACGGCTGTGTCGAGTGGGCCGGCAGCACCAATACCGGCCGGCGCACATTGGCGGAGGTGTGAAATGGCCGCTTACTTGTCGATGCCATTTCAGGCACATGTGGCACCTGCGGAACCTGCATGATGGCCACACGAATAGCGCCCAGCAGAGATGACCGCCCATCGCGGCCCTCGCAGTTGTAGCGTGCAGGAAGAACGGGAGGTGAGGAAGCCAGAGCGCGATGTGGTTGGGCAGATCGACAAGATGGCAGGGTCCTGTAAGCGCCGAGGTCGCCAGCAGCCGTGGTGATTGGGCCAGCGCCCTTTTCCCTGGGTTTCCCCGCCATCCATTCGGATCATTGTGCTGTGCAGCTGGCCGTGAGTCTACTGGGGGCTCGATGGGCTAGTCGCCCGGAACCCTGTCCTTATGTGCCTCTTTACGGATTCGGTTCTGCTTCCCTCTGCGAAGTTGGAGGTGGGAGGTGAAAGGTGTGTGGGTGGGTGGATGGAAGTTGAGTAGACTGCATAGACTCTGGCAGTTGAGAATTCCATCTGCAATTCTCTTCACATACATACATACGTGCATCCACACTCACTGCCGTAGCGACCGCCCCTTGAACCTGCGTAGACTATCCGCTGGGACGGTGCAGAATGCAGCAATGGCATCGCGAATGGCAGCCTTCGTGACGGTCTGCTGGATCTCGCTGATGGTGGGGTATAAGCATTCTCGCGATGTGCGCAACCCTGGCAAGCTCAGTCAGAGTGAGAGTCGCTTGCAGGAAAATGTGATAACGAGTCCCGGCTGCCCTGTCAGGTTCAGCATCCCAAGTCTCGCCCGCACAGACTCGCCAGTGATTGCGCAAAGCAGATCATCATCCATGCACTCGCTGATTTGCCTGCCGAGCGATCCAGTCGCGAAAGTGACGAGAAACAACACCCACCATCTGTTCTCTTCTTGTCACCATCACTGTGATTGTAATGTGACGAACCGGCACTCGCAATCATTAGTCCCAACTCGCGATGGAAACAACAGATCTCAGAGTCGTCGTTGAGCGAATCTGTTGGGCGCCAATGGACACACTCCTTTTTGAGCGCTTCCAGCGGAGAGAAAGGGAGGGACGGGAGCTGCCCGAGCAACCCGTCCGTTTCTTAGCGGACCGGGAGAAGCCTTCCTGCTAGTAAGTCCATTGGAGCAATTGCTGGAAGGAAACAATTGTCCAGTGACAATGGGGACTTTCTGTCTGCTCTCGGACTTCCAGTTCGTCAGCATCTCAATCCTACCAATCAATCCCACACCCCGCCGTCGATTCTGTGCCACGTTAGCGCCCACCACCAGGGACGGCCCGTGCGCGTGAGAGAAACGCCTATCCTTATCGTGTGTTATCGTTCTCATTTCTTCCACGTGCCGCATCACCTGCACTCGAGTAACAGTCGCGTAGAGGCCTGTGCTCGTTTTGGCCCATGCTCAGTGTTGCTCCCCATGTCGAGAAGACCCATTCCACGCGACGCGACTTGCAAGGCGAGGTATATCGATGCCTTGATGTCAAACTGCGATTGCATATTCTCGGCTCCTATGTGAATTTCTTGCTTTGCAAGGTCCTGCCACAAGGTCGAGAAAGTGTGCGTTCAACGCGTCAACACCGGGGAATACGCACCATGTCGACCGGGCTATATGACAACCCCATCTTGAAGACGCTCAATAAGGCGCAATGCAGAGCTGTGTGCTCCAACGCCGCCACCGTTGCCATCCTGGCTGGTCCGGGAAGCGGCAAGACTCATACGCTGACATCCCGCGTGGTATGGCTTGTTGACACGGTGGGATACCTGCCTGAGAATGTCATCGTTGCGACTTTTACAGTGAAAGCCGCCCGTGAGATGAAAGAGCGTATCGGGAAGGCTCTTGGACATGACCGGGCAAACAAGCTCATCCTGGGCACTTTCCACAGCATCTCTCGCCGCTACCTGGCTGCATACGGCAAGAAGATTGGCCTGAACCAAAAATTCGGCATTGCAGATGACTCGGACTCGCGAGCAATCATAGGACGTATCTGCAAACGTCTACAGCTAGCTGTGGACCCGGTAATTGCCCGTGGATGGATCAGTAAGAAGAAGGCAAAGGGACTAGAGGGAGACAAGCCTACCAAACGACAGGGAAGCAATCAGGGGCCGAGCTCCAAGGACCTTGAGACATGCTACCAGGAATATCAAAGCCACCTCGAAAAGTCAAATCTTCTCGACTACGATGACTTGTTGGTTCGCTGTGTCGACTTACTCCAGCAGTTTCCGTCGTGCGTTTCCAACGTGCAAACAGTCCTTATCGACGAATACCAGGATACCAATGGAGTCCAGTATGATCTGATGAAGCTCTTTGCCCAGAAGCAGAAGAGTATCACCGTTGTTGGTGACCCTGATCAGAGCATTTACGGTTGGCGATCGGCAGAAATTAGAAATCTCTATCGATTACTTCACGATTATCCCGGCACAGAAGAAGTCTCCCTGGAGGAGAATTATCGGTCATCGCAATCTATATTAGACACATCACTCCAAGTAATTCAGCAAGATACGAAGCGATATCAGAAGGTATTACTACCGGTGCACAACAGAGGCACCCGCCCAGTCCTTCGAAAATTGAGGAGCTCCTCTGCGGAGGGTGAATGGATCGCGTCAGAGGTCAGAAGACTCTCCTCCATGTCTGGGAAGATGTTGGGATACGATGATGTCGCCATACTGCTGCGTTCCGCCGCACTTTCGCGACATATTGAAAGCGCCCTCGGAAAGGCAGGCATCGCATACAAAATGGTTGGTGGGTTCAAGTTCTACGAACGAGCGGAGATCAAAATCATTCTCGAATATCTGAGAGTGATCCATCAACCCGAAAACAACGATGCTCTAGCCAGAATTATCAACGTGCCCAAACGAGGCGTTGGAGATGTTACGATCAAGGCGTTATTGGAGGAGGCGGAAAGATCGAAACTCAGCATGTGGAACCTCCTGATCAAACACTGTCGAGGAGACCGCTCTGCAAAGACAAACATAACGAAGCAGGCCGAACAGAAAATAAGTGGCGAGCTGATACGCCTTATCATGGGAACAAGGAAGCGCTTGGAGAATCAAGAAGATGGCAAGCCGTTCGGCCTTGTGGAGATGATAGAGCATCTTCTTACCCAGCTAAAGTTTCAGAAATTCCTCGAAGACTCGCATTCCGAGGATCACGAACAGAGGTGGGCAAACGTGCAAGAGTTCTTGGCTCTTGCATCGGACTTCATGAAGGAACTGGAACAGGGGCCCGATGAAGCTTTGCCCGAAATTGACGGCTTAGAACAGGTCAAAGAAACGGATGCACTTGCTCGATTTCTCGCCAATGTTTCGCTGGCCTCGGATGCCCAAACCAACAATCAAGACCAGGAGGCCAAGCCGATGGTCACTATTTCCACGATACACGCAGCGAAGGGCTTGGAATGGCCCATAGTCTTTGTTCCGGCGGCTTATAATGGCTCCATACCACATATGCGTTCTGAAGATGGCGACGAGGAACGGCGGCTGCTCTACGTCGCAATGACCCGCGCTAAAGCGCTTCTATACTTGAGCTGTCCGTTGTACAGCTCTCAGAACAGTGGCGAGAAGCTTGAACTGTCCCCTTTTCTCACACCAATTGCGTCTTCATTTGCAAAGAAAGGGCCTTCCATTGAACGCACAAAGTTGAACGATATCGCCGGGATACTTCGAAGAAAAGCCCCATCTGACGAGTCAATATACAAGGATTTACCATCCATGGCGAGCCTGGAGGATGATCTATATCCGGTAGATCCCGAGAGCACATACCAGCAGACTGGGAGGAATGATATGCGCTCAGGCGCTGAACAATTCGGAGACAGATCGAGGTCAAAACGTCCGAGGTTGCACGTACCCTCAGCTGGAACGAATGAAAACGAAGATGCTCCCTGGCGCAAGGATTACGGGACAACAATGGAGCAAGCTTCAACTTTTACAGTAGCGTCTCTTCCTGGATTTATGTCTGCAGGAGCTCATCAAGTCGCTATTTCTGCTGCGGTCGATGCTGCGGAGAGCGCAACCAGAGATGATAAAAAGGGGACCAGGAAGACGATCAATAAACGTCCTGCGGATCAGGGCACTCTTACAGGATTCGTTCAAAGAGATACGAAGTCCCAGAGCATGGCACAGCCTGCAAAGGCGTTGAATCGCAGCAGCGGCTTAGACAATCGAGGTTTGAATGGCTTCGCAGGCAAGGGTGCACATGGCTCTGCTATCAAGGAGAAATCAGCAATCGACCCAGCTCTTTCGAACCGTAAACTAGGGTCTGGAAAATTGCTCACGCGACCGCCTCAATCTAGAAGAGATGACACGGCGTCGAGGACGACCAAGCAATATGCTCAGTTCTCGAGCTCGCCGCCACGGCCAGTCCGGCCAGATGTCAATCCAGCGGCACAAGATCCCGCTACGGAAGACGTTGAGCCTGCACCGGAGCCGACACGGACCGCTGCATGTTTACATAGTACCACTGTCACCATGCCGAATGGCTTTGGAGGGTTTAAGAGACCTGCTGGACTAAGACGTGATGGGATCGCGCCAATAGATCGACTACGGAAGCCCTTCAAGCCACTGACGATTAATAGATCTTGAAAGTAGCTCAATCGTAATGTCCGATCATACAAACTAATGAGAACAACAATTTTGAATTCATTTGCCCTGTAGCCACGTGATGTCAAGAATTATCCTCTTCGATGTTAGTTTGTCGGGTCAAGTCGGGATTCCTTTAAAAGCCATTACAGGAATTACGCCCGCCAAGATGGCCCGTGTAAGCGTCCTTACGAGTTAGCATAACCCGCCAAAGGGCGTATTTAATTCAGCTCCGTCGTGAGTCAACAGCAAGAACAAAATCTCTCTTCAATCCCAGAACCGATTGCAAAGGAAGTTCTCATCATTCAGCTTATAGAGACCGCCTTCACTCACTGTTCTAAGTATGGCCTCACAAATCATCGCCCGCCACTTCGCCCGCGCCGCCGCACCACGATTCATGCTCCGCGCCACCAGGCCGGCGGCCGTGCAGCGCTCCGCGTTCTCCACCACCCAGCCGGCGCTCAACGGCAAGCCCGCCGCCGAAGCCTCCGGTAACCCTGAGCTGCCCAAGTTCAGCTTGAAGCACCTCAGCGCGAACCCCAGAACGCGATTCTGGATCGGGGCCAGCATTTTTGTGCTCGGCTGCATCGAGGGAGCAACATGGGTCAAGTTCTGGCCAAAGATCACTGGCAAGAAGGAGGAAGTGTCTGAGTCATCATGAAGACGAAATCTTAAAGACTAAGGAGACATCGTAGGGGTTGACCTGGGAGAGAATTTAAAGGATAGGAATGACATCGCAACTACTTTGGGTTTGTGCTTTCGGATTGTGGCGTTATGGTTATGGTGGAAAGGAAGGATCTCTCCTACATTGGATTACACAGTTGTCTAGATTAAGTTCTGACACTCGAGTTGTAACACGGTAGTCTCTGCGTGAAAGTTTACTGTGAAAAGGATATCACCACAATAGGATAGAATTGAACTCTTCCTCAAAGATATCGCATCTCGTCAGGATATAGAATGCTGTGAAGTTTCACTGGCGACAATGTAGTATCATGCGAGAAACCGATGGAAGAACTATGCAATGAATGCGGCAGGAAAGCTGGGTCCATGCGGACACATCGTTGACCCTGGCTTTCTTACAACATCGACATCTTCGTGTTATTAGGTGTTCGACTCGCTATGAGCTGGCAATAAACCTATCAGAGCAATCATATCTGGCGTTAGTCACAAGGGTGCTTCTTCCGGTGTAGCTTGGAGAGCTAATTGACGCCGGCGTAATTGTTGACAGACAGCCTTACTGCAACTTCCTTGATTTGAAGTTCCCCAATTTTGATAGCTGCAATTGTCACAATATCAGTCGGCGGGTTGCCGAGGTCCAAGAGTCTTGAGTCGATATTGAGATAAGGCAAAAGACTTTTTCGTCGAGATAGGAGAGATACGGACGACTCTATCCACATCCACATCGCGTATCTATCTACTGTTCTGTAGAGATATGCGAGGCAGCTACGCAATCCAGGCGAAACTGAGTCTTGTCAACGCAGAGGTTGACCAGCCCGGAGGAGGGGGATCGGCCGTTAGGCTGGATTGAGGAAGGTCGCAGCGAAACTACCGCTGCGGCCCAGATCAAGCCCCGCTCCCGCGGGCTCCGTTGCGTCGTATCGATCTTCTAAGTTCTCAGAGATCATCAGGGAAACAATCGTGAACTTTTGTTGATCTGCAGGTGGTGGGTGTGCTGCTCGCGTACAAGCCATAGGAGTCTGGAGCTGGTGTTGAAGTTGTGGTTGTGCTGTGGCAAGCAGACGTCAGACGCGGTCCAACATCTTTGTAGAGTTTGGACTTTTTTCTTCTTCCTGTTGTCCTTCAAAATAAGAGATTACAAGTGTCGAATTATAGGAGATTGACAGGGTGAGTAAAAGGAGATCATTTGGCAGATAACAACGGTCCGGCGGTGAGGTCCAATGACAGGGAGCAGAGACAAGTACAACCCCCGCAGTGTATCTGTCTTAGCCAAATGCAACCGCCAGCAGCCCTCCCAATAACCTTGCATCACGCCTTGTCGCTCCGTGCTTCTGCTACCCTCCATCAGACCTCTGCCGCGGCCGGAGCCCAATGAACCAGTCTGGCGACCTTAGACTGACCTCATATGCCATGTGATGCGAAATTGGCATACACGCTGGCCGGAAATCAAGCTCGCGATGATCGTTACTCCGTCGATACCCTTCACCTAGGCACCGCCTCCCCATTGGCGGACATGCTACCTCGAGGTATAGCTGATTGCTCTTTAGGTAGGTCATCGGCCTCCCGACTGGCTGCATCTCGTCTGCCAGCAGCCGAATGGTAGCCACACACGATGCGCGAGTGCGTCAAAAGTGTCTCTGGCGGCCAGGTAACGAGGCAAAGGACAAGCGTCCCCACGCCTCCTCGCCTGCCCAGATCGCGGACCTGCTTTTCAGGCCGCGCCGTTTGTTCTCGTCCTGCTTGCACCGCTCGGGGTTGCATCCATAAGAGGGGAAGTGTGTCCCCGAATCCTGATGATCAACCATGGCACTTGCCCCGATACTGCCACCAGATACGGCACGCGGCAAGCTCTCCACTGCACCTGCTTGCTTTCTTGCTTGCTTGCTTGTTGCACGAGAGAGCCAAGAGAAAGGTTAAAAGAGGTGAGGGCGCCCCGGTCCAGAAGGTATTCGTGTCGATCACTTCCCTCGCCGCGCGTCGAAACGCTGGATCGCATCGTGAAAGCTGCTTCGAAGGTGAATAGCTTCATCTTAACATGGCTCCACCATCCTCGGCCAAAGGTGCTGCCGCACCACGACGCGGCATCTTCACCGTCTTTGCCGCGTTGTCGTTTCTGACTCTTGCCCTGCTTGCCCTGTCTGTCCTAAGGGAGTCCCCTCGGGATGCCGTGCCCGAAGTGGAACGTGTCGACGAGCCGGAACGGCCTCTCTTGGCGAACACTAGAGCTGCGCCGACCGGAGACAAGTACCTCATTGGAGTCGGCAAGGCGGACATCACGGGCCCCGTGGTGGAGATCAACTTTGCCGGCTATGCTGCCCTGGCCCAGACAGGCACCGGACTACGCCAGCGCCTCTACTCGAGGGCTTTCATCGTTGGCGATGTGAATAATCCTGACGACCGGTTCGTGTATCTGATCCTAGACACGCAGTCTGGCGACACGGCTGTGAGATATGGCATCCTGGAGGGTCTCACTGCTCTGGGTTCTGGCTACTCCATGTACGGCCAGTCGAACGTGGCTGTGACTGGCACCCATTCTCACAGCGGCCCTGGAGCCTGGTTCAATTATCTCCTACCCCAGGTAACCAGTCTCGGCTTTGACAAGCAGAGTTATCAGGCGATTGTCGATGGCGCCCTGCTCTCGATCAAGAGAGCGCATGAGTCACTCACCACGGTCAGCCCCTAGCATTTCGCCGTGGCTAGCCTCCTATTTGACTAACACGGTTCTTATTTAGGGGTATCTCGACTTTGGCACAGTCAACGTGACGGATGGCAATCTCAGCCGTAGTCTATACGCCTACCTTGCTAACCCGGCTTCCGAGCGTGCTCAATACAGCGACTCAACCGACAAAACCCTGACGCTGTTGCGCTTCCAGCGCGAGTCGGATCTCAAGAATATCGGCGTGTTGACATGGTATCCCGTTCACGGCACATCCATGCTTGAGAATAATACACATGTGTCCGGAGACAACAAGGGTGTGGCGGCATACCTGTTCGAGCAGGCTGTGGCATCAGATGACAGTGCTGATTCGGGCTTCGTGGCGGGCTTCTCGCAAGCCAATGTTGGTGATACGACGCCGAACGTTCTGGGTGCTTACTGTGATGATGGTTCAGGTCAGATGTGTAGCTTTGAGAACAGCACTTGCGCAGATGGCAAGTCGCAGTCTTGCCATGGCCGTGGGCCCTTGTTCTATAACCTTGATTTGGGCGTGACGAGCTGCTACGAAATTGGGCGAAGGCAATATGCCGGCGCAAAATCTCTCTATGTATGTTGTTGACCCCTATTCTCCCTGAACATAGATGCTGACAGAATCTCATAGGACTCCCTCGATACCGTCTCAACAGCGGTAGTCGGTTCAACTGTCAAGTCATTTCATTTCTACCACGACATGTCGTTCTGGGACTTCCAGCTCCCCAATGGAACGGCAGCGAAGACTTGTCCCGCAGCGTTGGGCTATTCATTCGCTGCTGGCACATCTGACGGCCCAGGCGCCTTCGATTTCACCCAGGCAGACTCGGGCTCGCCCGATGCCAATCCACTTTGGGCAGTTGTGAGCAGCCTTCTCAAGGCTCCCACCGCAGAGCAGAAGGCGTGCCAAGAGCCCAAACCTGTACTTCTTGATGTCGGCGAGATGAGCACTCCCTATGCTTGGAGTCCGAATATTGTCGATGTGCAGACCCTTCGCGTCGGCCAGTTCGTCATCATCATCAGTCCCTCTGAGGCAACGACCATGAGCGGACGCCGTTGGCGCAACGCTGTCAAGGCCGCCGCGCAGTCTCTCAAGCTGTCACCGACTGCCGAGCCGATGGTCGTGCTGGGCGGACCCGCCAACACGTATGCGCACTACGTCGCCACGACCGAGGAGTATGGCATCCAGCGTTACGAGGGCGCCAGCACGCTGTACGGCCCGCATGAACTGGACGCCTACATCAACCTGACCGTGAGCAACCTGCAGTACCTCGCGCCGACCGCGACCGGCGCCCCGGCGCCAGGCCCTAGCCCGCCTGACAACCGCAACAGCAGCCTGAGCTTCATCACGGGCGTGGTGCAGGACGCGGCGCCGCTTGGCAAGTCGTTCGGGCAGTGCACCGGGCAGCCAAACGCCACATATACACGCGGCGCCGTCGTCAACGCAACGTTCGTGGGCGCCAATCCGCGCAACAACCTGCGGCTAGAGGGCACGTACGCGGCGGTCGAGAAGCTGGGCGCAGACGGCTCGACGTGGACGCAGGTGCGCAGCGACTACGACTGGTTCCTGGTGTACACGTGGACGCGCACCAACTGGCTGCTTGGGTACAGCGAGGTGGTCATCAGCTGGGAGACGGAGGACTACGCGGAGCCGGGGACGTACCGGATTCGGTACAATGGCGATTATAAGCCGCTGATTGGGAGCGTGACGGCGTTTACGGGGACGAGTAACACGTTCACGCTGACATGAGGCCGTTCAGGTTGTTGAGTGATGTAGTGGGTGTCTAAATTTGATGTTAATTGCTAATTGCGCGTGTTTTGCATATGAGATCATGACTGTTACAGAGTGATCAGCCTGTACATATGGTGAGATGTACATACAGATGGGTAGCGAGGCGACGAGGATTTGGAATCTATATATGAGAAATGTTGTGCATATAATGATCATGGCGATTAAGCAACTCATACTTCAAAATGACTTGGCAATCAGATGTGTTCTATCAGTGTGAATGTTTTATTATTATCCTACGTGAGCTTTACCCCTATGTCCGTGCTATCCCATCTACACCACGGTCAACGTCGTATTGGCCCTAAAATCAGCACTCGAGCTGCCAATGAAGATGGTGAAGTTGCCCGGCTCGACGACATAGTTGTACTTGATGTCCCAAAGGCCGAGATCGGCCACCTTGAGGTCGAGCTTGACCGTCTCGGTGGCGCCCGCAGCGATGGGTATCTTGGCGAAGCCCTTGAGCTGCTTATTGGGCACGACAACGCTGCTGACCAGGTCCTTGACGTACAGTTGCACGACTTCAGTGCCGTCACGTGTGGAGTTGTTAGTTACGTCTACGGACACTGTCACGGTGTCGGAGGACGATGCGGTGCTCTTGGATAGAGTGATCTCGGAATAGGAGAAGGTGCTGTAGGATTTGCCATATCCGAACTATAAATCTCTATCAGCATTTCCGTGTGGGCTTCTGAGATGAACTGGTAAACTCACGTCGTAGAGTGGTAGAGGAGTGTTCAAGACATAGTTGCTGCCAAATACTAATGTGCCATTGGGGTACGCATGACCGGGGTTGGGCCAGGCTCGCGCAGAGTTGAGGTAATCGTAGTAGATTGGTGTTGTCCCAACATCATACGGAAAGCTGACGCTCAGCCTACCACTGGGGTTGTAATCACCGAACAGCACATCAGCGAGCGCATTGCCACCCTGCTCAGAGGGATAGAACTGCTGAACGAGAGCGCTGGCGTTGGTGCTGATCCAGGGCTCGGTGACTGGCTTTCCGCTGCTGAAGACGACAACGGTAGGCTTGCCTGTGTTGATGATTGCGGAGACAAGTCGAGGCATGGCGCCAACGAGATTCAGCGATGCCACGTCGATATGCTCACCGGTGGTTGCATTGAGGTTCTGCCACAGCTCACCCTGGTCGCGGGACCAGGTACCGACAACGACAACAGCGACATCAGCGCCCTCGGCGGCAGCAATGGCTTCAGGGAAGCCCGATTCGTCGTTGGACCAGCGCTCACAGCCCTGAGCATAAGACACGCTGCTTTCGTCATCAACGGCTGCCCGTATGCCATCGAGAGGGGTGACACCCCGGTATTGTGATCGGTATGGAACATAATCACCGTACTGAGGATGGTCGTTAACAATAGTATTCACAAAGATCGTTCGTCCACTAGGGGGTACTCACGTTCATATAGCCGTGTGCCATAGGGCCAATTACAGCAATCTTTGCAGACTTCTTCAGAGGCAGGAGGTCCTCGTGGTTCTCCAATAGAACAATAGACTCGGTATCAAGCTGGCGTGCAAGTTCTATCGTTTCCTTAGTATTGATATATTTCGATGCCTCATCCTCCGCGACGCCTTGGTACGGCTTCTCAAACAGGCCCATCTCGAACTTGACCCTCAAAACACGGGACACAGCCTGATCAACGAGCTTCTCATCCAGCTTGCCAGCTGCGACCATCTCAGGGATCTTCTGGAAATTGTATGATCCACCGCCCATTTCAACATCGTTGCCGGATGGGAGGACCATGGACGTGACTGCTTCAGAGTCAATGGGGCTAGCCTCACACATGCCGAAGGAGTTGCAAAGACGGTCAGTGCCGCCAGCATCAGACATGACAAAGTATTTGAAGCCCCAGCTGTCTCTCAGGATCTCGGTGAGCACGTGGTAGTCCGCAACGGCAGGGACGCCATCATAGCAGTGGTACGCAGACATGATGGTGTAAGCGCCAGCATCGATAATAGCTCGCTTGTAGGATGGCAAGTAGGTTGTGAGAAGCTCGCGCTCGCCTCCGTGCACGGGCGCGGTGTTGACTCCCTGCTCAGGGGTAGCAAAGGCAGCGAAGTGCTTCACCATGGCTGCGACGTTTCCAGACTGCAAGCCCTTGACGTACGAGTAGGCCATCTCGCCGCTCAGATATCCGTCCTCACCATACGTCTCCTCAACTCGACCGAATCGTAACTCACGCGCCAGATCACCGAGCGGGGCGAATAGGTTGTTGACGCCTAGAGCAAGAGACTCCTGAGCAATGGCCTTGCCCATCTTCTCGACCAGTTCGGGATTCCAAGAGCAAGCTTGAGCGATAGGAGAGTTGAAAATTGTCGCATTGGGGATCAGGAAGCCGTGAATACCCTCGCTTTGAACAAGCGCCGGAATACCCAAAGTCGTGTTGTGAACTAGATAGTCTTGAGCGATCTTGACGCCATTGCTGATCGTGCTCCAGTTCGTAGGATAGCCGACGTAGAACATGCTGGCCCGATACTTCATGTTCCACTCCAAACCCGTCGCGTTGAAGGTGCCATCGGTCGTGTTAATCCAATTGGAGATATCACCCTGAATCAGCTGGGCAGTCTTGTCCTCGATGGTCATGCGCTTGAGCAAATCCGCGATCCTATCGTCTACCGTGGCATTGGGATTCTTGTAGACAGGAACACAGTCCGCCCCAGCAGCAATTGCGACGCTGGCGAGTGCCAGGGAGGCGAAGGTCGAGTAGATTCCCTTCATTGTCGAGGAGGAGTTTGCTCTGGGTCAGACAAACCGCGGTTGAGGACTACGGAACAGCTCCAGTAGAAGAAGTGAGCGAGGGCATTGCCATTATATGGAGTACCCAGAGTAGTGACACCACCACACGGGTCGTCCGGGTTGGAGCAGTAGCTACTCCACGATGATGGCCCAGCCCATGTCGAAAAGAGGACCTTCTCCGCAGAAGATCATGATGAGCATGGGGAAACCGGGCAAGGTAATCTTGGATAGTCGGGGTGGAAGTTCCCAAGTTTCTGGAAATGCAGAGGCGAATGCAAGAAACCCCTGGCTTTCTGCAGGTCTAACGGAATCATGTTGATCGGTTCCGTTAGGTTCGATGGAGGGTAGCGACGGGGAAGGCTGCTAGAGTACCGGTCAATGTTGTAAGCCATGGCAGAGAGCGTCTTCTGATGAGAGGAGACGCAAGTAGCACATGTTTGCTGCAGGTCTTCCCCATAGTATATCACCTCAGTAGTGACAAGAGGTCAACATAGCCTGAAGTCTGCAGTAGCCCAAGCGAGATGATGTCGTGAGGAGAAGCTTTGCTCGATTGCAGCCGGCAGTGGCGGTGGTGGTGCATGCGGAGATTTGGGGAAGCCGTTGAAGCCAGCCAGGGGACTCGGCAGCTACTTCTCGTGGAAAATGGTAGGTTATGGGGAAATCGAGGCCGCTAAGCAGTTTACATGAAGGGCGGGGTCGATTGCTCCGGCTGCCGACGGCGATGAAGCTATCATCATCATGGGGTTGTGACATGGTACTTGGACTTATAAGCGCAACGGCTGCAGCCCGCTCACTGGCGGGAGAAAATGACCCGTCGGTTATAAAACCCGCTCCAACCCAACGACCGTCCGCTCCACTCTACTCCGGTCTGGCCTCACACACTGAGGACGTTCCCCGCCAGTCCACTCACTCTATTCACCGCAGTCGCAACTCATGGCAGATTCTCGGGGAATACTCACGTCGCTCAGCATGGATTGCTGCAGTAGATTCGTCTTGGACGAATCCACTACTGATTTCTTCCTCTTACTCCTGACGCCTCTCGGCCCGCAACACCGTCCCAATCGGCATTATCGACGAAGTGAATATTGGGGAAAAGCCAAGACATGGAGAAAACCCAGAGCAGAGGGGTAGCTCGAGCTCTCGAGCTCTTCTCAGAGGTAGGATCGTCGTAGGTTTTCGCTGTGGTCTCAACAGTTGAGACTTTGACGTCTCATAAATTCGCATTGAGCATCTTTTCAATTCCTTAACGAACGCAGTCAAGTTTGCAACAAGTGTTGTGCCGTCCATTTTTGAGCAATTAATCGGCTTGGTCGCAAATCTACGTCATGAAGTTTCGCGATGGCATGTGGCTGGTGGCCGAGGGTATGAGGGTAGAATATGCCGAGGATGTGCACAATATCAGGAAAACAGATAGGGGCCTGAGCTTGCTGTGTCCCACCAAGAAGATCATGAGACGAGGTGACACGCTGAACCTCAGCACTCTGACCATCGTAAGGTTACCCAATTGCTTTACTGTAAGCCTTATGCTAAAGAACGGCACAGGACATCGAGGCCCAGACCGATGGCATCATCTCCGTCGAGACGACCCATTGGGATGGTGCTATCAATAGGGGGCCACACTTTGAGCTCTTCCCGGGTGGTGAGCAGAAGATCGAGCCCAAGGTCACTGAGAGCAGCGGCAAGGGGACGACCCTAAGCTCTGGTGCTCTGTCAGCTACGATTCATCCGGATGAGCACACGTTCGACATTCGCTTCCACAGTGCCGATGGCTCGAAGGAGCTCACATCACTCCTCAGCCGCAGCGTCGGCCTCGCGTACAATCCGGCACCCAGCAACCCCCAACAAACGGGGGACATGAGGGACTTCAAACACTACATCTTCACACAAACCAGCTTAGCTGTTGGAGAGTCTGTCCACGGTCTTGGGGAGCGTTTTGGAGCATTCAACAAAATTGGCCAGTCTGTGTCTTTATGGAACGCGGACGGGGGGACGTCAAGCGATCAAGCGTATAAGAACGTGTCCTTCTGGCTGAGCTCGCGCGGCTACGGCATTTTCATCGACCATGCTGGCAAGGTGGATCTCGAGATTGGCAGTGAGAGAACTACACGTGTGCAGACCAGCATAGAGGGCCAGCGACTCAAGTGGTACATCATCTATGGGCCAACACCCAAGGATGTGCTACGCCGGTATTCAATTCTCACTGGAAAGCCAGGAACAGTCCCCAGCTGGAGTTTTGGATTATGGCTGAGCACAAGCTTCACGACCAACTATGATGAGACCACGGTTAGTTCCTTCCTGGAAGGCATGCGCGACCGCGATACCCCGGTGGACGTCTTCCATTATGACTGCTTCTGGATGAAGGCATTTACATGGACGGATTTCGTCTTTGATTCTGAGAAATTTCCTGACCCGAAAGGTCAAATAGCCCGCCTGAAAGCATCCGGCTTGTGTAAGAAGGTATGTGTGTGGATCAACCCGTACATTGCGCAATATGGCGCAGCCTTCAAGGAGGCAGCCGAGAAGGGGTATCTCCTCAAGCGCAAGAACGGCGACATTTTCCAATGGGACATGTGGCAGGCGGGCATGGGCATTGTCGACTTCACGAACCCGGCTGCAGTCGAGTGGTATGTCAGCTGCTTGAACGGCTTGTTCGACCAAGGCGTAGACGCCATCAAGACGGACTTTGGCGAACGCATTCCGTCTGCCGATGTAGTCTGGCACGACTCGAGTCTCGACCCGGAGAAGATGCACAACTATTACGCCTTCCTATATAACAAAGTAGTGTACGAGGCCTTGCAAAAGCGCTACGGAGCCGACGAGGCTGTTTTGTTCGCCAGAAGCGCGTGTGCCGGCACTCAGAGGTTCCCGCTGCAATGGGGTGGAGATTGCGAGTCGACGCCCGAGGCCATGGCCGAATCGGTGCGCGGTGGACTCTCCCTCGGTCTTTCAGGATTCGCCTTCTGGTCTGTAGACATTGGCGGCTTCGAGGGCTATCCACCACCCTGGATCTACAAGCGGTGGGTTGCATTCGGCCTGCTATGCTCGCACAGCCGTTTGCATGGTAGCAGCAGCTATCGGGTGCCGTGGACCATCGATGACGACGACAAAACCGACGAGGGGTGCTCCAAGACACTCGCCAGGTGGACAAAGCTGAAGAACAGGCTCATGCCTTACTTATACGCACAGGCCAAACAATCGATTGCCAACGGTGTGCCACTCAGCTTGCGGGCGATGTGCCTCGAGTTTCCTGACGACCCTACGAGTTGGTTCCTCGATCGCCAGTTCATGATCGGTGACAGCCTACTCGCAGCGCCGATCTTCCAGGAGTCTGGCGAGGTGCAATTCTACTTACCCAAAGGCCGTTGGACGTCGTACTTCACCAATGAAGTGAAGACTGGCCCGGGATGGTTTACAGAGAAGCATGGATTTGGCACGTTGCCTTTATATGTGCGAGAAAACTCGATCTTGCTGCTCGGCAGCGAGTCTGTAAAGGGCGCTGTGTATGACTATGCGGAAGATCTCGAGGTATGTCTCTATGAGGCAAGTGAAGGCGCGAAGGCCTCTCTCGTAGATAGCACCGGGAAAGATCTCGGAAATGTAGAGCTTGGGGGTGACGGTAAGTTGAAAGACGACAGCATGCTGAAGGGCAGATGGTCTCTCAGCGAAAAGGGGCGCAAGGTGGATGAGAACGCCTCGAAGGCAATTGAATCTCTCACATGACATTTTGGATGGTTGGACTCGGCGCGGAAGGAAACTCTAGAATCATAGATTGATGGTCAACATACTGTTTGCACAGGGAATTCTGAATGAAAATAACTACTTCAAGAACATGGACATCGCTGACGTCTTTGTCTATTTCTATGATACATCTTATCGTAAATCGTAAATATTCTAATATGGTGTCATAGTATCAATCTTCTGTGGTATGATGCTCTTTTCTAGGTTGTGTTCCAACTTTTAAGCTGCCTCATCAAATGGTATCTAACTCCTCTACAGTCTCAAACATAACATTACCCATCTAAGATTTTGCGCTTATGCAGAATAAGCGGGCACCGGCGACCCTGTCGAAGCAGGGGAGAATGGCTCATCTTTCTCGAAGACCCGGGTTCCAAACTTCCAGACCTCATCGACCACTAGACGGGGGCTGCCGGTCTTGGTCTCTTCCTCAGTGAAGATCACAAAATCTGCGTCAGCGCCCGGCTCAAGAGAGCCCTTGACGCCTTGAAGACCCAGCATGGCCGCAGGTGTAGAGGTCACCGCCTTGAGAGCCTGGGGAATCGAAGCCCCAGTCCATTCCATGAAGTTGTTGACACATTCGATCAGAACGATGGAGCTATCGACAAGTCAGAAGCTGGTTATAGTGGCACTGCTCGAGAACGACCTACCTTCCAGCAATAGTATCTGAACCCTCCTGAGTGACCAGGAAGCCCTGTTTCAGGAGACGGAAGCCTGCTTCTCCATTCGTCCACTCATAACTGCCATCCGGCAGACCGACAATATGCATTGCATCGGTAACAAGGATAAAGCCATCCGGATAGGCATTGAACGCGATCTTGACCGTCGTGGGGTGCAGGTGCATGCCGTCCGAGATAACACCGTAGTATGGTCTCGGAAGGCTCTCAGCAGTACCCAGCACGCCGAAAATGCCTGGGTTTCGGTGGTGTAGAGGGCGCATGGCGTTGAAGAGATGAGTGATCATCGTCGCGCCGGCGGCTACAGCTTTAGATGCCTCCTCGTAGGTCGCTTCTGAATGACCGATAGAGTAAATGATACCGCGCGAGGTCAGCTCCGGGACAAGATCTGTCATGCGGCCACGCTCAGGAGCTGCAGTGACCATCCTGACGGGCAGCGGCCCTTTTGCCAGCTCAGGGTTGATGTTCTCCGCGCCATACATATCCTCGAGATCTTTCCAGGTTTCGGCTTCCCTGAGAATATTCACGTTGTGAACACCCTTCTTCGTTGGGCTCAAGAACGGCCCTTCGACGTGTGCTCCGAGTGATTCAGCACCGTCTTCCGGCTGTCTGTTGGCGCCAGATGGTCCAAGGTAGGGAAGAACGGCTTTGTACAAGTCGCTTGCCTGACTCGTAACAGTCGGAATGTAGGACGTAACACCGGTTTGAATCAACCTTCTGTTCAGGTCTCTTAACCGCTTGCCATATTGCGACATCTCTGGGAATACGGTCGAAAAGTTGAAGCCGAAGGCACCATTCAGTTGACACTCGATAAGACCGGGCGAGAGGATCCGCCCTCCCAGATTGATTGTCTCTTCCGGTAGGACCAAGTCATCGTAGAATGCGGTCTGGCTCTGGATGATTTTCCCCGTCACTGAGCTTACCCACAGATCCTCCCACACCAACGAGTTGCCCCTCACTAAGCGGCAGTTTGTAAACTTGGTGAGGCCATTTTTGGGTGTCTGCGTGACAAGGGACGGCATGATAAGGGGTTAGGTCGGGGGATAGGAGTGTCTGTGTTTGCGACGATGGAGTGGTTGGACGAATGTCCTTTTCTGATTCTTTGGCTGCTCCATAGGAACGACGGAAAGGAAGGGGAAAGCAGGATGACGGCAAGAGATTATACTTAACCTGGATAACGGAGTGACGATACCAAGCTTTGGCCGATGGTGTCCGAGTCTAGTGCTACCGGATCACCGATTTGGCCCAGTCACGGTCCGTTTTACGGTCGCGAATCGATGATGGAAAACTGTGGGAAAAGGTACCTACCTACTGTACACGAGAGGACCGGACCTACTCGTGGAAGTTGGATGCATCGTTCCCAAGGGTCTGGCCGCCACCGACCTGGTTCCAAGGCCCAGAGGTCTCTTCACAGTGCAGCACAGTGAGTGACTCAAGTGACTCGAGTGACAGTCGGCCTCGCCCCAGTCAAGTGTCCACATGCTGGGGCTATCGCCTCACATTCGTCCAGGCACTCCAGCTGCCTAGTAGGTGCTACAAGTGAGCGAGCGAGTGGCTCGAGTGGGTTGGGTTGGGTTGGGTTGGTTGGTTGGCGCATGATTCCGCATTGTCTTCGGATCGGCAAAACTTTATCGATCTGGCCGCCCGCCTTGATCCGTTTCACTGTCTCAGTGTGTGCGACGTTGAGTTTGGGGTGGGCGATAATACGTGTGCTACCCTAGCACGCCCGCCGGCTGCTGCGTGAGGTAAGGTTGGTAAGTAGGCTAGTGACTAGGTGTGTTAGACTCTTCATTCACCTGTTATCTTGGAGAATCACGCATTCCCTTACGTGAGGATCACCATCACCAGTTCTGTGAGTCTGTCTGGGACGGTGATGTAACGTTGCCGGATAGTTAGTTAGGTAGTGGGCATTTTGAGGTTGCTTCTTATCTGGGTTTAGCGTTTCCATTTGTTCTAGAACTAATCTGTGAATGTGCCGCCTTCTCATTAGCCAATAGTGAAGAGCCGCCGGTCTCACCATCACAACGGCCGGCGCATTGCATGCTGTCCTGTCAGCAACAGGCTCACCCAGTGCTTGTTGAAGCGTCTCCGCATTTCAATACCTAACGCTGCCGTTCCTGACGGGCGCCGCACTGAGACGAGCTGATCATATACGTTGTCGTTACACCTGGGCCCTGGGTATCCTAGTGATAGTGCCAATTATTTCCTATTCTCTCCAGCCACCAGCTGCCAGCATCGAACAGCAAGTCGGCCAGCCTCTCATCACTTGTCGTCTTCGTCTGCCCCCTCCCTCCATCAAGCTCTAGCCAGGCGATCTCCCGCATGGACGGAGGATGCCCGCCCCAACGTGACCACAGCCAGAAGCAACCACCGCCCTGCTAGAGCTGAACGAATGTACCTTTTCATAGCATAGCATAGCATAGCGGACATCTTGCCAATCCCCCAATCCACCCGTAATCACCTACGATGGCTAAGTTGAACGGTGACTTAGACCCACTATGGCAGGACTTGGACTGGTACGTACCTCTCGCTTCGATGCCCTCGCCTTGCTAGACAGTGGGCTTGCATGGTGTGTGCCCCGAGGATCCGGGTCCCTCAACGGCGGGCTCAGGCTTCCGATGCCTCGATGCCTGCCTGCGTGGATCGCCCGCCCGCCGGGGACCGGAAACGGAGTCCCCTTGCAGCAGTGGCTTGCTCGTGTTTGAGATGAGGATATGCGGCGCTGACATCGCGTGCTAGGGCTATTGGCCAGATGCTGTTAATGGGATGGGACGGCACAGAAGTAACGCCCCAGATACGGAACCTCATCGAGGAACATCATCTAGGTTCCATCATACTCACGGCTAAGAACTTAAAATGTAAGGCAGCGCCTCCGCGTTTCCCTTGCCCCTTTCTTGCCTTGCTTTCGACAGTTGGCCAACTCAATTGTTTCGGGATCTTGATACTGACTACTGATCCCCTTATAGCCGCTCATGAAACAGCAAAGTTGGTCCAAGAGCTACAGACTATTGCCCATCAGGCCGGTCATCCACATCCTTTGTTGATTGCTCTCGACCAAGAAAATGGCGGTGTCAACAGCCTCTTCGACGAGGACTACATCTGCCAGTTCCCCAGCTCCATGGGGACGGCCGCAGCCGGCAGTCCAGAGCTAGCGTATCAGATAGCCAAAGCCACAGCTACCGAGATCTCGGCTGTTGGAGTCAACCTTATGCTTGGTCCCGTCCTGGATGTCCTCACCAACGCCCGCTACCAACCCATCGGAGTCCGGGCCACGAGTGATGACCCACAAGAGGTCTCACAATATGGCATAGCCGCCATCAACGGCTACAAAGACGCGGGAGTTGCAACCTGCGGAAAGCACTTCCCTACATACGGCAACCTAGATTTTCTGGGCTCGAGCTTGGATGTGCCCATCATCACTCAGACACTGGAAGAGCTCAGCCTCAGTGCCCTTGTACCGTTTCGGAATGCAATCGCAACAGGGAACCTTGACGGCATCTTCGTGGGTGGCTGTGGCATTGCAAACCCATCTATGAATGTCTCACATGCTTGTCTCTCCGATCAAGTCGTCGATGACCTCCTAAGAAACGAACTTGGTTTCAAAGGCGTAGCTATATCAGAATGTCTCGAGATGGAGGCCTTATACCAAGAGATAGGAGTCAAGGGCGGCACCGTCATGGCTGTTGAAGCAGGATGTGATCTGATTCTGCTTTGCAAGGCATATGACATCCAGCTGGAAGGCATACAAGGTCTCAAGCTCGGTATTGAGAACGACATCATCACGAGGGAGAGAATCATGACCTCAATCAGGCGTGTTCTGCGCATGAAGTCGTCCTGCACGTCATGGGCGAAGGCCTTGAACCCTCCCGGCCTTTCCCTACTATCGAAAATCCACCCCAGCCACCTTGCCCTCTCTAGGAAGGCTTATGATAACTCAATCACTGTGATGAGAGACAAGGACAGACTGTTGCCTCTATCTCATTCAATGGACCAAGGTGAAGAGCTATTGCTGCTGACACCTCTGGTCAAACCACTTCCTGCATCAACAGCCACCCAGAAAATTTTAGAATCAAAAAGACAAAAGGACCAGCCGGGTGGCAATCACGACAAATGGGCACACAGAGACAGGGGCGCCATCATGAGCGGCGAAGGCGTGTTCAGAGAACTAGGCAGATCTCTCGCCCGCGCCAGAAATGGAAAGCTTCTACATACTTCATATACTGCAAACGGTGTTCGGCCAGGTATGGCTCTTCTCCTTATGTTGCCAATCAGATAAGCCTTTGTTAACGATGTTATAGTACACGAGAACCTTATCAACAGAGCATCGACTATTATCATCGTGACAGCAGATGCTAATCGCAATCTATATCAGTCGGGATTTACGAAACACGTGGCCATGATGTGTTCCATGCTACGTGCAAGCGGCCAAAAGAAGTCTTTGGTGGTCGTCGCTGTTAGCTCCCCTTATGACTTCGCCATGGACAAGTCAGTTGGCACATACATCTGTACCTTTGACTTTACGGAAACGGCAATGCACGCTCTGGTGAGAGCTCTGTTTGGGGAGTTCACGCCGCGAGGCAGTCTTCCAGGAACCCTCAGAAAGAGCAAGAAGGTGACGAAGTCAAGACAAAACTGGCTCGTAGAGAGCTACGATAGAGATCGGGATGCGCAGGGACTGGACGATTTGATCCACGCCGTCTCAAGAGCGAGTGCGCCGAACCTACAGTTTTTGAAAACCACTTCCTCACTTTCCTTCGAGCTCTACAACCCCAGTATCGAGGAGAATCACTTTGTCGTACGCAACAGCAGTACCAAAGCCCTTTATGGTTTCTGCGCCACATATTTTACCAAGGGGACGGGAATCGTCGGGGCGCTCTTTGTGGATCCGACGAAGCGAAACATCGCGATTGGACGATCTCTCCATCGACGTGCGCTACGAGGCTTGACACAGATTCGGGGAGTGAAGAAGGTGCAACTCGGAATGTCTTTGCCAGGCGTCTTCCTCGGCATACCGGTAGATGACACCACCGGGCTGAAGACATGGTTTACGAACAGTGGCTGGGATGTGTCCTTCCCCAAACGCCTTACGAACATGGCCATCAACGACCTTGGTAGCTGGTCCGCCCCCGAAGGCTTACTACAAAGCATTCAGAGAGCGAGCATTAGCTTTGACCTCATCCACGGCCTGGACAACGCCGAAAGCGTTCTCAGCCATGTTGCAACACACGCCAATCCGGAGGTATGGGAGCTCTACAAGTTCGCCCTTCAGGAGACCAAGACATGCGGCGTGGTGCGGGCCAAGAGCCCGGTCGACAGCCTCCTGGGTACAGTCATCATCTGCAGCCCAGGGAGTCATCTATCGACATACATTCCAGCCTTGCACGCATTGGGCGACGAACCCATCGGCGGCATCGTCGCGCCGGTCGTGCCGTCGACTGCGCAGGCAACACTCGTGCTCCAGGGATTGGCCCTGATGGGCGTTCGACAGAACAAGGCGCACAAGTCGGTCCGGAGTGTGCTGAGTTGGGTGCAGGACGAGTCGTATGAGCCGCTGCTGGCCATGGGATTCGATGTGCTGCAAGCGTTTGAGGAAATCACGAACTCTCCAGAGAATGTGAGCTTCTGACAATCTTCTTGCCTTTTTTCTCTCAATATCCCGGGTGTGAATTTCGCGCCCCCAAGACCGTGCTGACGGGACCTCTTTCAGTGGCCTGATCTCACTTGACGATTTTGACGAGGGCAAAATTATTCGTCTCGGTGTACGACGGACAATTCGAGGGGTTCGGCAACCTGTGCGGTTTTTGCTATCACGAGAGGGGGAATTGTATGTATGAAAGGTTTGCTCATGATGGTTCTGCGATCCTCATCCTCATCCTCATCCTGCGATGCGACTCTGTCTGGCGTTTGTGCTCCTTTGACGTGTGATTCGATCGATTCTGTAGCACTCTGCTCATACCATTTCAATTGAACAAGCTACCGCTTTGAGCCGTGCAAGGATGACATGCGTGCCGCATTTCTAGCTGCCTGCCCCTTTCAGAACCGAAACGACTACCGGGCTCTGGCAAGGCTGACGATTGAACCTGATTATCAGATGCTTCCAGATGCCGAAATGCTAAGATTGGAAAGCCTCGATCCCTCGCAGTGTAACCCGGGGGGGAAGATGTCCCTGTCAGGGGCAACAGTCCACCATCCGGAGATAAAGTCAGCATTCTAAGCAACCTACGCATCCTGCAAATAGAACTAAAGCATGAGATTTTCTGCATCTCGGGCACGGGAATATGAGATCTCCAGATCTTTGCCCGTCACAAGCCAAAACTCCTATTCGAAGACAAGGTTCGGACGAACATGCGCACTGGTGGCCCCCCCTGAGGACCACCCCCCCCGGCCACAGTTAGCACCCCACGAATGGCCTGTGGTGGATATTAAGGGCGCATTGGGGGCTGTTTGACTGGGTGCACAGGCGGTGGAGGGCTGGGATCTGCCCTACAACCAAACCTTGACCGGCGTGGCAGACCACAGACCACCCCCTACTTGAGCACCATTAGCACCCCTAGCACCCCTAGCTGGGCATTTTCCCCCCATTGATACCCCTAGCGCCTCCAACGGCCTCGGCGTTACTTCCCCTCCTTAGTGGTGTCGAGAGCCGGGCGGGCAGCCAATGGCGTGCACTCAGGTTCCTACTAGAGGTACCTAGGTAGGGTAGGACCCGGCTGATAGGAAAGGCCGCTGCTAACAGCGCCCAAGACAGGCAAGACAGGCTTGGGGCTTGGGACGGCACTGCTGTCTGGCCGCCTTCGTTAGTGCACTTTTGACGACACTTCCACTAACTACGCTGCAGCACTACAGCACTCCAGCACTCCAGCACGCAGCCAGAGTGCCATTGAAAGGATGGAAGGGGCCCACCTAACCCAGCCAGTCCAGCCAGTTCTGTGCAGGCCATTTCACCTCTCTCTCCGCACCTGGTCCCGAGTCGGGATGCTGCACCACTCACTGTACTCTAATACCTACCACGTTTTGATAATAGATTAAAATACCACGAAGCAACCCATTCACACTGCCGCTGCTCGCCTGCGCAGTCTCGCCGTCGTCGCCTCACAGGGCTGCTACCACTGTGTCCCTCTTGATCTTGACGATATCATCAAATCCTCTATTCAAGCAAGCAAGCAGCCAGACAAGACGACCGCATCCGTACCCCAGCGGACTGAACAATGAGATGGAAAGCTTCACTGCCATGCCGGCTCTATCATCGGGGGCCACAACCACCCCCGGCGATGCCCTCGGGCTGAATGCCGCCGGACAGTCGCTCGGCATGGACGCATTCGACCAGGACCTCAACTTTGACGATGCCTTGCTGTGAGCTCTTCTCTTTGACTACACTATCGTCCGAGAGCCGACACCCCCACGTGCCGCTGAGACATACCCAGCTGAAGATCTGCTTACTGACCGTGAACCTCTCGCAGTGATAGCGTCAACGGCGGACTACCGCCGCTACCCTTCACGCCCTCCTATGACTTTGAGAACTTCAATACCTTCGAGGACCCTTTCTCCTACTCTGCGCCGCGCCCATACGAGGCGGCGCCCGACGCCGAGCCCTTCAACGAGGAGTCGCCGTCGCAGGAGCTAGATAACAAGCTGCTCGGCTTCAGCGCCCCGATAGCGAAAGGCCCCGTGGTGGACGAGGCCGGGCAGTTCGCCGAGGTGGGCATGAGCGCCGAGCTGTATGGCATGTTCTTCGTGGCCGAGGACGTCTTCGGCGGCGAGAACAGCGGCCGCCCGCTCGAGCTGACCTGCTACCGCCGCAACCTGTGGCAGTGCTCCGGCCAGATCACCCTGCCGCGGCACATTGCCCACGTCCTCAACGAGCAGGGCCGCCAGGTCCCCGTCGCGGAGCTGGCCGCCAGCATCACCGCCATCGAGTCCATCGAGGGCAAGACCACAGAGATCATCTCCATCCCGTGGAAGAGCTCCAACCCCAATGTCGCCAACGGCGGCGAGGAGACCAAGGTCGCAAGTGCGCCACCCAACGTGCCGCTGGATCTGGCCTCCGGCCAGGAGCTCGACAATAACCTGATATCTGTCCCGGTATCGTGGAAGCGTCTACAGTTCAAGCACGCCACGGCCAATAACGGCCGAAGGAAGGGTCTACAACAGCACTATGTCGTACAGATAAACCTGCTAGGCAAGTCGAAGGCCGGCGAGTTCTTCAAGATCGCCGAGATCCAGTCCGGCCCCGTCATTGTGCGTGGCCGGAGTCCTCGTAATTTTGATAGTAGGAAAGATGTGCCTTTAACGGGCGACAAGAAGATGGAGAGGAGAAGTACTTCAACCAGCGAAGCGAGTGCTGCTCCTCAGAATCATAACCAGAATCAAAACCATACTCCAAATCACAAATCTGATAGGGGAGATCTCGCACAGAATATGCAGAGATATCATTCTCTGGGCAATATACAGGTGAGACTGACTTACATTACTACACGAACTATTATTAACAGCACAGCCGCAGCAACCTGGCGACTGGGCCCAAGTCTATGGCCAGCAAAGCCCGCATCCATCAAAGAAGCTCGCGATGTCTCCGAGCCTCACAAGGCCTCCAGTCCCGGCCTGGTCCTCTGAGTCGTCAATTGGTTCCAATAAACCAGTACCAGCGACGCCACGGAGCAATTCGACTACACAGCGCCCCGTGCCCATGACCCTACCTATCAACCTATCTTTATCCGAGGATGAGCGCAGTCCGAATCGCTCGAACTCAGACACTACCTCTCCTCAATTTGCAAAGGCAATGCCTGCCTCAGGTGGCGGGCAGAATGCCAATGGCAGCCCATTAGAAAGCGCAGACATGCTCTACGAGTATTTCCCCCTTAGTCTGGATGATTGGTGGGTGCTAGCAATTTCTTTGCGAATCTAGAACAGTTCTAATCTGAGACCCAAACAGGATGCCACCCGTGGACGCTGTCTACCGACCACATGTCGTCCACCACACCATTGTCCCGCCCGAGATCAAGGCCCAGCAGGTGCGCAGCAAGACGAAGCGGTACTTTGCAGCCGAATGAGCGAGCGAACCGTAAACTCTGGTCGCATTGATTAAAATCGGCCAGGCAGACGCATATCGCAAACCGTGGGAGAGGGCTTATCTGCTGCTCCTTCCCCTTACCGCACCTTATCAATCGATCAATCACCTCATACCCACCCACCTAAGGATTTTTCTTGCTATTTACAAACGTCTATCATTTTACCTGTCTATCTCACATGCATTCTGGACTACGTTGGGTTGCGCTGGGAAGGATTGATTTTCCCCACGAGACTACGAATCAGGCGTTCTTTTTCCATGCTCTTTCGTTATCAATCGTTATTGGCCTATCACTTCATTTTTTTTATTTTTTATTTCACTGGGTTGAACGCCCGCCTACCAATCCAATTGTACCATATCATCATATCATATCTCCGCAAGAGCGCACGGGATGGGAAATCGGGAAGGAAGCTACCTAACCTTGCCTTGTCAAAGTGCCGGGAAGGAGCAAAAGAGAGCTCAAGGTCAAGGGTTCTCTAGTTCGAAAGAAGAGGGGTGAACGGAACGGATGGCAAGGAAGGAAGGAACGAAGGAACGACGAAGTTACCCAAGCAAGGGCAAAAGCAACAATGTGGTGGACGGACGTGGTGCAGATGGACGACCACCTGCAGGAGAAAGGGCAGGCGCAACCGTACCGCGGTACCTAAACTACCCTCAGGGACCTTGACCCCTCTCTCTCACTCTAAAAAGGGCAGGCGCAGAGAAGAAAGTACCTTGCCTACCTTAAGTGGGGGTGGGTGCAGGTGGTCGAGGAACGGTACCTACAGTATCTCTCTATCTCCCAGCAGCATTTTTAGTGAGGTGGAGCGGGAAGCGGGAACGGCTTGGAGGAGTTGATTGATAGTTGAATATACCCGAATCGTTCTTGGCACACTGGAGAAGACGCAGCGATCAACCATCATGGCTTTACTGATATCATTACGCCGGCCATTTTTCCTACACTTACAGTAACTCCTGTCCGCGCCGCTCGTTATCGTCATAGCTACTGCATGGCCATGGAGACAAGAGATTATTTTTGTGGCTATAATGAGAATCCGGTGAGGCTGTGCAGCTGTCCTCCCTGTCGACTTGCCTTGCAAAGCAGGGGTGCCAGATGTGCAGCTGGCTGGCTGGCTAGTCGTCTACCTATCAATTGGCCCTGTGGTCAATGGTTTTGACATTTTTCTATTGCTACGCCAAGCCCGGCCGCGCAGCTTCGCAGCACATGCTTGCCGACATGCTTTGCTTGCTTCGCTCGCTAAAACCCTAGTATAGATGAAGACTGAAAATGACAATGATGATGATGATGATGATGATGTTGTGTATGTATACGGTATATATATATAGCCCTTTGCTTTCCAGTCAAATGCGTTCTTTCGTTAATAAAGAATAACGGTTTCGAGAAGTGGCCTAGACCCCCCCAAGGGGTGAAGAAAGTCTATGTACATTCGGGGGGATAGGAGGAGTTTCCGAGGCGGAGATTAGTGAGGTGATTGTGAGATGAGGTGAAGTAAGGCAAGGAGGTAGAAATGAGGTAGGTAGGTAGGTAGGTAGGTATATATGCTGGTTGATTTCATATGCCCTGGGGCTAGATCGTGGTTCGGTTCTCTCTCTCTCATCCCATTCCATGTCATGATGGTATGCAAAAAGGTTGGTATAGTTCTTTTGTGGCTGTTTTTCTTTGTTTTCCCCCCACGCCGCCTCCCTTTTCCACGTGTATCTCCGGAGAACCGGGGGGGCCGGCCATCGGGCTGGGCCTAGATTAATTGGCCTTCCCGTCCTCCAGGCACGCAAGCGCCACCGCCGCTCCGAGCAGCGAGCTCTCCTTGGCCGCGACGAGGTCGACCGTGCCCGGCGCCGCGCCCGCCTCGGCCGACACGAGGTCGTCGATGTACCGCTGGCAGTTGGCCAGGTAGTTCGGGTACTGCTCGATGACGGAGCCGTTGAAGGCGACGCGCGTGCGCGTCAGGTCGAGCTCGGCCTGGGTCTCGGCCGCGAAGGACTGCGGTCTGGAGGGGTCGCTGCCGCTGGTCAGGGACCGCAGGAAGTCGGCCTCGGCTTCGGCCTTGAAGTCCCAGAGCGCGAAGATGGCAGCCGCCACGATGGCGCTGGACCGCCGGGAGATGAGGGAGGCGAGCGTGCGGATCGCAGCGATGTCGGCTGGGCTGGCGTTCGTGGAGGATGGGTGGCGGGCGTTCCATGTGGAGGTGCCGGTCTCAAGTGATGCTGATGTGTCCCTGTCTGTCTGTTAGTCAGTGTTAACAGATTACGAGGGCGATGTCCACTTACGCTTCTATTATGGAAAGAGTCTCCGCGTCAAGGGTGTACGGACGCAATAACGACGGTGGCATCACACCGCCCAGCATGCCTGTTGATTCCACGGCCTCCTCCAGCGCGAGCCTGCACATCTCCCCCAAGTAGTAGCCGCTGACCAAGTGTTCAAGCGGCTGGAAGTCGGGTTTAGGATGTGAAGTATTCAGAGCCACATCCCAGCGTGTTACGGGCAAAATGCCATGGCCAAACATGCCTAGCTCGGTGTTCACAACCACATGGCTCGCCTTTTCGAACCAGTCAGCCGGTCTAACACCGAACTTATCCTTTCCAACGGTGGAGACGGGGAGGTGAACTGCGACATTAACGCCCGTACCAAGAATCAGGCTGAAGCGAGTTGTGGCTTTGGTGTATGCCTGTGATAATAATGCGGCTGTCGAGTCGTTCACGATGGCAGCCAGCTCGACGTGGAGCAGCTGCTTCTTGCACGCAAATTTGATGATCTCGCCCAGATCTTGGCCCATCAGGCCATTGGCTGCTGAGAAGCCTTTCCCCATGCCCTGCAACAAACCTCCCTTGAGAGATGTTTGCCTGTGTGATATCAGCATTTTCAGGCTCTGGGCGCTATTTCATCACGAAACATCGAGACTTACTCTATCGGGAAACTCCACGCCATACCCATGAGAATTGGGTTCTCGGGGCTGTTGTCCTGCTCTAATGAACTGGCGATGGTTTCTGAGACTCTTTGAGCCATCCAGTCGAAAAACGCCAGCCCCTCCAGGCTCTTGATCTCTGGGGTGATCTTGAAGGAGCTCTTGCGGATGATCCCGCTCTCGCTACCGTGAGCCTCACGACCCCTCAACTCCACCAACGCCACCCGCAACGTCGAGCCTCCGACATCGAGGGCGAGAAACTGGCCTCGCTCAATACCGTTTGGGAGCTGGTGGTTGTACGAGGGCAGCATGCAGGCGGGGTTGGTTAAAAGACGCTCCCTGAACTGCGCCTTGAGGCCGGCGGCGAGCTCTTTTAGGCGATCCCGCTCGATGGGCAGCAGAAAGAGCTCCTCGGCCTCCCTGAGGAAGTCTTGGACGCTCCGCCGGGCGCCATTTGCTTTTGTGTCGCTCTTGGTGTTGACCGCCGCCGCAGCATCGCCCCCCTTGAAGGCGGTGGGACTTATCCAGAAGGCGAGGATCGCCTGGATGATGGACTTCCCCCGCAGGAGGGACTTGACTGCGGCAGCGAAGACTTCTCGAAGGGTTGTCATTGCAGAAATGAGCGGCTGCATGACATCCAGAGGAGGGGGGAGAAAGAACGGGGGATGGCAAGACGGGTATATCAAGTCATTTAGACTGGTAGGGGTGGTTTGGGTGTACAGTATCAGAGTATCAACTAGGCTGTTGAGACATGATTCTTCCCACCGAGTGACGAAGCAGCAGCAAGAGGGCAGCAGCAGCAATACGGGGACTGGTGGCCAGGGAGAGAGAGGCTGGTGGCTCCACTGCACAGGTGAGCAGAGAGAAAAGAGAACGAGACGAGACGAGACAATAGTAGTATGGTCCAAGAGGGCTGACAGGACAAGCGGATGAGAATGAAACCTTCCGATGCCAATTAGACTCCAGCAGGGCCCGGCCTAACGCCCCAATGTTCCCTTTCGTATTTGCGGTCAGGTACGTTGGCAAGGCAGGTGGGAAAGGGAAGGGAAGGCAAGGCAAGGCAAGTCAAGACAGGTCAGGTCAAGTCTGATCTGGCTGGGCTGGACTGGCTGGCTACAACAACCAACACAGTGCCAAGGGCCCGAATAGGTTACCAGAAGCTGCAACAGTGGAGTGTGCGGCGGCACCGCTGAGAGGGTACGAGGGAACAGACGGGAAGGATGGCCGCAGAGAAGAGCACGCGTCCCCTTCCAAGTCCACTCTGAACTATCTCTGGCCCCGAGGAGAAGGAGTACAGTACTGCAATGCGAGGTGGGATATTGGATCGGGGAACGGCCCTAAAGGGAGACACCAACAAAGAGAGAGGTCCCGTCCGTCTGGGGGAGCAATGCAATGGATGGCCCGGGGCAAGGACAGCCAATGAAGGGGCAGGTGACCTCGTGTAACAAACGGGATCGATAGAGATAAGTTAACTAGATGGTAGACAAAAAGACAGTATTATGGTGTGCTATGGTATAATTGGAGCAACAGCAAGCAGTTGAAACGGAGGAGACAGCTCGTCTCAGAGTTCGTTTGTGGACTTCACGGCGGCCATTCGCCCGTTAATTGGCGGCAGAAGCATGACATTGGACTAGTATGCCTAGTATCGGTGCAGCAGGGGGACAGCATTGGAATCGGATGGCATGGCAGGGCAGGGCATGGCATGGTACAACCTGATGGAGCGAACATCTTTTTTGCCTGCCCTGCCTTACATTAGACCGCAAATGCTGGTGCTGATAGGTAGTGATAGGGCTGGATAGGAGCGTGTCCAAGGATGGATGGATGGATTAGGATAGGGGGGGGATTGGCAGGAAAGGAACATGCAAATTGCGGGCGGTTGTGGTGTGTTGCGAGGTAACTGTAACGTTGCCTCTCTTCTCGTCTCGATGTGGTGGCGGCGCACGCAACACAACAGACAGTGACTCTTGGTTACTGTTGAGAAGGGTGTTAAGAGAAGCCGCAGGGTTAGGTGAAGAACGTTAACCCATGAAGGGTTCCCAGAATCAACCTGGGCTAACCAATCCAGGCACAATGATGGAGAGCCTCTCTATCTTAGCTTGCTTAGCTTCAATGCAGCTGCAACTTGCTGCAACTTTGGTGGGAGGCAGCGTGCGGAGTGGATCTCCATTTTCTTCAAAGTTGCATCCGCCTCAATTCGATACAAGATGTTCAAGATGCTTGACCCGCCAGACCCAATCGCACGGCGTTGACTCGGCGCGGCAGTTTATCGCCAATTTGCAGTCTACCGCCAATTTGCAGTCTACCGTGCTTGATGTAGCACTCTGCCTGTACCCCTGCCGATGCTCCCTCGCTGTCGGGTTCGCTAGATGCCATTCTAAAGCAAGTCAGGAATAGACAAAGTCCTCGATCCCATCGCGTGCCGATCAAGCCACTGCACGCAATAATGCAGTTGACACCTTCGTAGATTGCAGGCCGGGTATGCGGCAGCAAGGGCAGGCTCGACTTCGCTGCGTCTTGACAAGACCAAAACCCCCCCCACGATGCAGTCTTGGACAAGCACCGAGCGGACGAGACGCGTCAACGACGGGCCGCGATATTGCATCGCCTGGGCTCGCCTGGGCTCGCCGGGGGCTCTACTATGTAGCAGAATCAGCCTCTTTTCTTGACTCCACGCGGCTATCTGCGGGGTCATCCTTCCTGTGACACCTCGAGGCACGGAAAGTGAGATAGTCATCTAATCAATCTGTGTGTCAATCTCGACAACGCTCGATGGATGCACGGCATCGTGGTCTTCCATCTTGCCGAAGGGAACGTCATCTCTGTCTGCGAGTCGCTCGGAACAACTGATAACACCTTCGTCATTCTTTGAGCTCGGGCTATATGAAGCTGCCATCATTCCCTCTTCACACGCCATTGCATGACGGACCGAATAGCCATGTTGCCTCGTGAATCTCTGCATCGCGTTCTGCCCTGTCCAGCGGGCCTGATACAGCTCGCATTATGCAAAGCTGAAAATCTTTCATTGCTCGCCTCGGACAGCACAGCAGCAGCCATAACGTTGTCGCGGCGCAGACATGTCGGCCTGGAGAGATTTTACCTTACCCAGCTTAGGTAACCTGGAACAGGAGACGCATGCATCTTGCTGTCCGATGTTTGGTTGGTTGGTAGGGAAGTGTCTGTTTGTCAGATGTCTGTCTGTATCTCTCTTTGTGTGGTGTTACTACAAGTGTGATGGTATGCATGTACGTACGTACTGTACAGTATGTATGTACGGCGGCGGCGGGGAGGCTTATCGTTACGTTCCGGGGTCGGCCTCGCAACGCCCTCACCGTCCACTCGCCAATCTCGTGCTCCGTAACCACCCCGTGATAACAAATAAACGGCGGCTACGGCCGGGGTGGCCATCCGTCTCTTACACTGACTCGCAGCCCATACCACACCACCACCACAACCACCGCAACAGGATAGGCTAACTGCCTTAACGTTAGCTGAAGTGGTATTCCTACCAGCCAGACAAGGTTTGTGCACAATCCAGAAGGTTTAAGATAAGACAGTGCCACAAATAAATCACTCAGACTGTGCTGCCATTGCCTGCAATTACACTGCCTCGACCCCCGAGTACAACGTTCAGCGAGTCTAGCCCACAAGACAGACACTCACACAGTGGGGATTACGAGTAAGACCACAGTGAACGTTCCATCAATCGCTCAGTCAGTCAGTCGGCCAATGCAGACTGCATCCTCGCTCACACTCACACACATGCGTGCGGCGTTTCCCTCCCTATCCGGACCCATGGGTCTCCCTCCGGCGCTGTCGCACGCGCATGGCTCCGGCTCAGGCCCAGCTACCTAGCTAACCTAGATACCTAGATACCCTACCAGTCATGATCTTTACTGGATCTGGTGGACTGAGGTCATCGTTGCCACAGGACATGCTCTCTTAATCAGCTCCTACTCTTCTTTATCTCTGTCCCTCTGCTTCCCTGATCTCCAGAAACCAGAGAGACTGAAGCCTGTCCACACCACTACAGCCATTCCCCTAACCTCATCCTGCCTCCCCCAACCCATATTCTAAGCCCCTTCGTGTTCCATTCGTACCATCTTAAGCTTCTCTCGCCTTATCACACTTGCCTCTTTTGGTGTTAGTCCACTATGAGGCTCATCATCCGTGATAACGCCGAGCACGCCAGCTCCTATGTGGCCAACTACATTGTCGATAGGATCAAGCACTTCAGCCCCACACCAGCCCATCCCTTCGTATTAGGTCTGCCTACCGGCTCAAGCCCCCTGGTTGTTTATAAGATCCTCGTAGAGAAGTACAAGGCTGGCGAGGTGAGTTCGAGGAGTAATGAGCGGTGATCAAAGTTTCCACTAACACCATCCCAGATCTCATTTGAAAATGTTGTCACATTCAACATGGTACGATAAGCCCAAATCATAGTCCAACGGCCTCCACGTAGTCTAGTTCTTGAGGCCCTGTGTAATTGAATTCCGTGTCTGATATGGCCCTGTAGGACGAGTACATCGGCATCCCTCGGGACCACCCGGAGAGCTACCACTCGTTCATGTGGAAGAACTTCTTCTCGCACGTGAACATCCACCCCAGCAACGTCAACATTCTGGACGGCAACGCGCCCAACCTCGAGGCCGAGTGCGTCGAGTACGAGGCCAAGATCAAGCGAGCCGGCGGCATCGACCTGTTCATGGCGGGCATCGGCGAGGACGGCCACATCGCCTTCAACGAGCCCGGCTCCAGCCTCGCCTCGCGCACCCGCGTCAAGACGCTCGCCTATGACACCATCCTCGCCAACAGCCGCTTCTTCGGCAACGACCTCGAGAAGGTCCCCAAGATGGCCCTCACCGTCGGCGTTCAGACCGTTCTTGAGGCTCGCGAGGTCGTCGCCATCATCCTTGGCGCGCGCAAGGCGCTTGCGCTGCAGCGGTGCATCGAGCAGGGCGTCAACCACATGTGGACGCTTTCCAGCTTGCAGCTGCATCCGCATCCCATGATTGTCTGTGACGAGGATGCCACCCTGGAGTTGCAGGTCAAGACCGTCAAGGTAAGCTCCCCTGTCCGGTGTGATACTTCCACACCCGTGCCCCGTTCAATGGACCCAGAGCTGACATGCAATGCAGTACTTCAAGAGCATTGAGAAGGTTGCCCGCGAGCAGGGCTTTGAGCAGATCCTGCCATCTAAGATCCGGACCGGCCCAGGCCCCATTCCCAAGACGGTCATCGACGAGGTGCAGTCACCCACCATCCTATCGCCACAGCCCACCACCTCAAGGTTGCTCCGTGCTACTCCGGCCGCTGAATATCCCGTGCGCTCGGTATCGCCGGAGCTCGTTCCCGACCGCATGGCCGACCGCCTGCCGGATCCGGGTTTTGCGGCCATGCGCCTCACGCCGCAGCCTGAGAAGCAGATCCTGAGGCAGACCAACTCCGTCGGTGCTTACTAGATTGGGCTGGGCGTTTCAAACGACCAATGCGTTTAATGTGACGGCAGAATGTCTGTAGGATGACATCGATTTTGATGTGCTGACACGATGCTTGCAAGAGTGTGGTGGAGGGTCAAAAGTTGATAATTCGTTAGTTCGATTGCGATGACACGCAGCTCGGTAGGCTCTGCAGGAGATGAGTCTCGGGTCGTAGGAATTAGGTGTTGGTACTAGGAATTCACCAGATTGGAGAGGGATTGTTCTTATGACACGTATGAACCTTGGGTAGCAGATAGCATGTATACAATTTTCTCTAGATATAGTTTGCAAAGACAGCATCGCATTGAGCACCTATAATCTTGAATTGTCATGGCGATTGATCGTCTAGTGGTCATTGCGCCCTGGCTTCTCCATTAAGCAGGCATATCTATGCTGACCTGCTATGGCAGTACTATATTCGAGGGAGGTTGGCCAGTAGTTTCGAGTGACTATTAGAAGGCCGAACCAAATCTCAGGCTTTATCGTCTCTTATACCAGGAGTCGCCAAATCCCATTGAGCCTCCTCGGAGCCATCATTGTGAACTATGAATTGACTCCAAGGCTCCGAAGCGCTTAGAGGTGGTACATGTACATATGCATATGTACAATATCAATTTATGACTGGTGGCGCTCTTGTTTGTGCGGGATAGGGCTGGTCAACCCAGCGCAGAGCGAGGCTGTAGCCAGGCATAAATTCCAAAGGCTTTGGTGCCTTGCGTGCCGCTGTGCTTACACTATCACATCGGTCACCGTATGCTAGGCAACATGAACAGATTGCATCGATACAACATGGCCAAAGACGAACCCTATCAGAGGTACTCTGAGAAGCCAGACGCAACAGGAGCATTTGGCAAAGTATACAAGGCCCGACGCAAGCCTGCCAACTTGTTACAAAGTGTCTGGTCTTCATTTTGGAATACAGAGGAACTTATCGCGATCAAAGACATCAAATATAGAACCTCCCAGCAGAAAGCTCAGATCGAACGGGAGATCAGGCTTCTCTCGAGTTGTGACCATCCTAACATCATTAAGCTTGTCGAAGCATACTGCATTGATGATTGGAAGTATCGGAACGTTATATGCCTCGCGACTGCCCCCATACGCCGAGCCGTCATTCCAGGACTTTCTCGATAATATCGACGGTCCAGATATTGTAAACCTTTGTCCTTGGTACAGCAAGGGAAAGCTGCTGCCATGGCCAAGTATCATGCTGGGCTGTCTGAGCGGACTCGACTATCTTCACACAAGGATCCCACCGATCCGTCACAGAGACCTTAAACCAGGGAATATCCTCTTCCATCGCGATCCCAAGCTCCGAAAGGTTGTTCCGATAATCATCGATTTTGGCATCAGTAAGCAATTCCTTGATAGTCAATGGACCACAGTCAGCGGGACAGAACAATACAAGGCTCCAGAGCAGATTTTGAGTATCTGCACATGGAACCAAGCTCATCTCTATCACCAACTATAAGTCATCATGAAGCCGGATATGCCATGCATCCTTCTGAACTCGAAAGGATAGAAGAAGACTACCGACATAGCTTTGACTTGATTCAGATTCGACGGCCTAGGTATGGAACCGGAGCATCACAGACAGGCAAGCCTCGAGATGTTCCACGACGAAGAAATAGGCAAGAGGAGATTAGGCGAATCAGATTGACTTGAACCACACGACGTGCTTAGAGAGTGTTCGCAAAACCATAGCAAATTTGTATTCATGGCTCTTGTTAGTTGAAAGTAGCAGAAATTTGACAAAATAGTGCAACGATCAGTTGTTTGACTACGAGCACAAGTCATTTCGTTTGCATAAGGCGCCGTGTCTTATCTCTTTACACTAGCGCTCTACAACGTGGCTTGCAACGTGAAATAGTCGTTGGATTTCTGCTAATATCAACAGGTACGTACAGAATTTAGGATAATATCGAACGAAAGTTATATGGGCTGGACGGCTCAATGCCCGCCATTATAGAGTTGAAGTAAAGCTTTTGTACAGACGACATAATCATCCATCATTCATCAATCCACCACCTCCTCACCCCTTCATCCCCTTCTAATACCGCAGCTGGATCTTAGACCCAATAGACTTCTTCGCCTTACCCTCTTCCAGCCAATCCTTGTCGCCGCCACGGGATTCACGCCTCTTGCGCTCTTCTCCCTGAGCACGACTCCACATGGGCTGCTCATTCATACCGTTGATGGACATTGGATCTGCGCCACCCTCAATGGCAGCAATCTGAGCCAGAATCTCAGCACGGCGTTGCTCCTTCTGAGATCGCGAGCGTGATCGCATCAGCTGCGACTCCGCATCGTCGCGGGGAGAGGCAAGTGCTGGTGCAGACGCCTCAACGATCTTGGGTGTCTGCTCGGGATCCCACATGGTAGAGTCCCTGGGTTGGGAGTTCGACACTTCAGATGGCTCCTCAGTTGGCTTGGTCCACAGTTGCTGCTGTTGAGGGAGCTCGGGAACAGGCTCAACCTCCATGATAGGAGTCGAGTACTCTGAGATCATGGACTTGCGCGCGAATTGCTCCGCGAAGAGACGTTCTTGTTCAAGAGCCTCGATCTGAGCCATGATCATGGCGTTCTGGCTGAAGTCTGAGCTAGGCTCAGCCATCGCAGCGGGGATAGCGGGCACCTCAGGGACAGCGTTCTCAATGGCCTGGATCTGCGCGAGAATCTCTTCTCTACGCTTGCCTCGGCTATCACTGCGGCTCAGACTGCGTTCCCGAGTTGGGGTGGGGATGCGGCTCTCCTTGTTGTCACGGGATCGCTGGCGGCGGAGCTTCTTAGAGGCGTATGATGACATGGCAGGGTGAACGGCCTCGACATCGCAAGTGATAGCAAGAGATCCGAAGAAGACAGGGTGCACGTTGGCAACGTTGTAAGTGTAACCTGTAGCGGCTGGGTGGAACCACTCAGACGTGGTGATCAGGGACGAAGCGCCAAAAACGGGATGAGCCTTGGAGACGTCGAATGGAGCACCGAAGCTCTTGGAGACTGCCTCCTGCAGAGCGGCGGTCCAGTCTGCTGAGCTTGCGACCTTGCGAACAAGTCGCTTGGAAGAGGAGGCTGAAATCGCTTGGTGAAGAGCCGCTTTCCATTGCGCTGGAGTTGCGCCGCGCTGGCTAGGGTAACTTGCAGCAATGGCTTCCCGAAGAGCGGCCTCCCAATCAGCTCGGAAAACAGTATTAGGACGATGCTGCTGACGTAGAGGTCTTGGCTTGGTCTCTGCTGCCTGCTTCATGTGTGACTTTGAAGATGGGACAGGAAGTCTAGATTGCTTTGCTTTCGGGCTAGAAGCAGGGCTGACAGAGATCCAATTGCGTTCAGTCTCCTCTTGGATCTCAACGGTCCACAAGTTTGTGGAGGTCAGTCTGTCCATAGGCTTGTGGTCCGCAGAGCGAGGCTTGCGGTTCATGCTAGCCGCAGCGGGAGCCTGAGAGGTGGTGCGGAAGTCTGACCGGCTGGACTTGGGGTTGAACATGCCCACTTCGGCAGTCTCCTTAGAAATAACGGGAGCATTCCAAAGATTGCTCTTGGTGTGTCCATGTGAGCTGCTCTTCTGCACAGTCAGACGAGGAATCTGAGATGAAGCAGGCGATTTCTTTGGTGACCATGTTCCGTTTGCAGGAGACTCGATCTCAGAGGCGGAGTGCTCCCATAGGTTGTCGCTCTCAATGACAGCTGGCTCAGCACTGCGAGGCTTGGCCCGAACAGTTGACTTGACGCTGTCGTAAGCTTCCCACATATCAGGGTGAGGAAGACCCTTGCCATGGCTACCCTTCTGCTTCTTCATCGCGCCAGAAGCCCAAAGGGCGGACTTGGGAGACCATAGCCCGGACTCGCTAGACCACATAGAAAGGGTCGCTGGTCGCCAAAGATTGACGCTCTCGATTGTAGCCACCTGAGCCTGGCGAGGCTTTGTGCGGATGGTCTCCTTCACATTGTCATAGGATGCCCAAATCTCCTCGTCATGAGGGAGACCCTTGCCATGTGCGCCACGCTTCTTCTCCCTCCTGCCGCTCCATAAAGCAGTCTTCAGTGCCCACATGCCCGACTTTCGGGTCTCTAGCTTGGCAGTAGATGGACGCCAGAGCTTCTCGCTCTCGATGGCAGCAGGCTGGGACTTTCGTGGCTTGGCACGAGCAGTCTCCTTCGTACCATTGTAGGACATCCATGTCTGCTCGTCGGGGTGTGGAAGACCCTTTCCATGCTGACTGCGCCTCTTTTGCCTTCTTGCTGTCCAGAGAGCTGGCTGAGACTTCTCTGGTGCAAGGGGTTCCGGCAGCTCATCGTCAAGGTTGATGATGAATGACTCACGATCAGCATCACCCTCTTCGCGGTCTGAGGGGACTTCATTGACGTAGTCCTCTACGAAAGAGCTAGAGCTAGCGAGGGGAGGCGGGAACAGGCTGTTCTTAGAAGGTACGCCATCGGTCTTTAGCAAGCTAGCGATTTCCCAAAGCGTGGTCTCGTCAAAGCCGTCATCGCTGTCAGAGCCCATCTCATCAGAATCTTCATTCGGATCCTCATCGTAGTCATCGAAGAATGAAGATGAGTACTCGGATGCCTCAATCTGAGAAGCCCTGGCCTCAAGAGCGGCTCTTACGGCTGAGCCACCGGTGGACATGGTACCAGGCATGGCCATGAACATCGCTGGCTTGGGTTGGATTGAAGCTGTGTCAGACTTCTCACCCCACGGGAATTGGAAGATACCAAGAGTGCCTCGCTTGTCAGGAAGAGGCTTGGGACTCTCAAGAATGTCCGGAAGCAGTGTCACTCGCTTTGGTCGTCTTGGAGGTCGTTGAGTCAGAGGACGGGGAGGCGGCGCTTTCTGAGATTGTTGCTGAGCTTCGCGTTGAGATGCTGAACGCGCAAGAGCCTGAGCTCGCAAGTAAGGCGGCTGCCACAGGCCAGTCAGACTATAAGAAGCAGTTGATGCAGGTTTCTGCCATAGGCGGTTGGTATAGATCTTGAGAGGAGCCGTCTCTTTCCGTTGCGCAGGGCGAACACTGAGCCCCGGGAGTTCGGGCTCGGCGACGGGCACGTAGTATGGCCTTTCGGGTCGTACCCACAACAAGGTCGTAGTGGATTGTGAAATCGGAGAAGAGGGCTTCCAGAGATACTCGGTCTTTGGCTTAGCGGGAGCCTGTGCAAGGATAGCTGCAAGGTCCCTGTTCATCTGGTCTTCCTGGTCCGAGTCGTCCGTGTGTGGTGGCGTAGGACTGCCGAGTTGTGCCTTCGGGACGGTAAAGAAATTCATGTTGCGCTTCACCAGGAGTTCAGCAGCATTGTCCATGTACTCCATCTGTGCTTCCTCAAGACGGTGCTTCCATAGGCTAGCCCGCGAGTTGCCGCTAGGGCTCTGAGAGTTGTCTGTGAACGAGCTGCCACTGCGAATGCGAGCACGTCGAGACGCACGGCGCTCAGCCAGGTCTTTCTTCACGGAAATATTGGCCTGAGTAGAAACTGCAGATGTACGGCGAGATTCAATGGTTGGCGAGGTTTGGATCGTAGAGATAGAATCTCTGCCCAAGTTGTGCTGCATCTCATGCCAGTGGTTTTCTTGCAGACCCATCTCCTGCTCAAGGTTCTCCAGAAGTGCCAGACGCTGGCCCTGGCTCTCGACTGAATCACGATTAGGCTGCTCATACTTCTTTAGTTGTGCCTGGATGATCTTAAGAGCGGCTTCAGGAGATTCAAGTGGAGACGGCTCGGCGGCCTGAATTAGGATGGCTTGCTTGGCTGCAGAGGGAGTAGAGCTCAGCAGTAGGGGGGCGGGTGGTGGGAACTTCCTCGAGCGAGTCTTCTCTTTGCGAGCAGAGAAGCTTGGGCACTCATCACCAACTCGGCGATGCCATTGACTGGAAGTAGGTCTCTCTGGCATCGGAATGTTCTCATCATCCATCAACCATGAGCCTCTTGGTTCGGACATCAAATGATGAGGCACGGATGTGTCCAGCATGATGGTCATTTCCTCACTGTTCGTGAAAGTAGAAACGGCCCGCTGGTTTGACTCTCTGCGCTCTGGCTCTCTACGATCGCCCTTTTGAATGTAAGTGGTGCGAGCTTGCTGCCCAATAACACCAAGTTGTTGGGCAATGACGGGAGAGTGAATTGAGCCCCAGTTCGTGGTATCATCATCGCGAGTAGTTGTGTCTGCTGTCATCGCAGATTGCCGGATAGGTGGAAGGACTGGTGAGGAAGCCCTCTTACCACCACCCATCGAAGCTTGCCGCTCGTCAAATGCGAAGTCAGGCAACCAAGACTTGCTCATGCCTTCGGTCAAATTCTGATATTCTCCAGGACTTAAACGAAAGTTTGAAGGCATATTTGAAACTTCTCTCGTCGGCAGCTCATCAACATCGAGAATATTCTCTGTCCTGGTGGAGGTCTTAGTTGTTCTGTTTGAGTTCCTTGTCCGTCGGCTACGAGCGTCGTCATCTGTCGTTGTCGGTGAATTTTCGAGGAATGAAGCAGGCAGCGGCGGCATCTCCGGGACCGAAGATCTTCGCTTATTTGTAGCGCCACCGCTTGGGGGTGCCGGGAAGAACAGAGTCATCTTCTCGTCAAAGGTCATGCTCTTGGTATCGTTAGGTAGTGGTCTCTCCGGCATGCCGGCAGTCTTTGGCGGTGGAGGCAGGGGAGGTAGCTGTGTAGGGCTGCCCGGATTGGACTGGAAGATGGACTTGCGACTGATGATGGAACCGCCAGATTTCGAGCGTCTGTGCCCATTGGGAGATGGTTCAGCCGGATAGAAGTTTGCACGATCCTTATCCGGGTTTCTCTTGATAGGCCTTGGTCGGTTTACAACCGAGTTCGAAGTGTTGGGAGTTTCAGGAATCGGGACAGCCTTTGATGTCATCTCAGATGCGCCATCCATGACGCTTTGGACAAAGTTTGGATCGTTGTAAACAATGTCGTTCACGAACATGACTGTCTGTTGCCGCTGGGCGCTAGGTGTCTTTAGCCCCATAGCCCTTGGATTACCTGGAAGACCGTTCGTGGGACGTCGCTGGAGAGGAGTCTTTGTTGGCTCTGGAGGTGGCGCTTCAGGAGAAGGAGGTAGTTGCCGTGAAGGTCGGATCTGAGGACGAGGTACAACTACTTCAGATTGAGGTGGAGTGGTAGACCGTATCGACGCAATTTCTTGGGGCGATGGAGGTCGCCTAGGGATAGCTGGTTGCATTTCACGGGGTAACTGGCGTGGTGATCTCCTGCGGACCTCTTCACCTCCAGGAGAAAGCTGGGCAGATGTTGTCGAAGCATTGGCGACCAGACTCATGCTTTGAGTTCCAGTACTTGGTCGAGAAGTCGGAGAAGCGACATCCTTTCGCTTGAAGCTAACTGCTCGCTTCAATGCCTCCTCAGCTGAGACATTTGGGGGTTGAGGAGCAGGCCGTTTGCCCATAAATGTTGACTCTCGTTGCGCAAGATCCGCTGCTCGCCTTTCCTTGTCGTTCCTAAGAGCCGTTTCCAAGTCTGTTGTAGCTATTTTCTCCAAAGGGTTGACTCCCTGGCCTTCTTGAAGGATAGGATTCGAGATGGCGAATTTTCCAACTGGCGTAGATGCAGCTGCACCACCCATCATACCAAATAGACCCTTTCCTGTCTTATTTTGCGGTCTGATGTCAACTCTTTTGGTTGTCGGAACCCCACCAGTCACTTCGGAGCGCAGCGGAGGGAAAAGCTGTCCCTGCACGGGAAGCCCATCGAAGCCCTGGACACCACTAATGGGCTGTGAAATGTTAGGGAGCCTGTTCCCACCCTGGATACGGACCGTAATGGTCTGCATCTGCTTCCTCTTCAAGTCCTCGTAGCGACTAGGTGGGTAATCAGTTGAATCAGATGAAGACAGGTCCCGGCTCGTTGGGATGTCTCTTGGCGATGGTGCCTCGGGCAGTCGACCTGGGTGTCTCTTCTCAACTTCCAGCGCGCCTGAACACCCTGTGACAATGACTATACACTGATTAGCTCATGCTCGTGAGAGGATAACAAACGTATAATCATACTGATCAAGATAGATAGACCAGCTGCAGGAATTGCACTTCTGAAGACATAATCAATACTGGTCACGCCCAAAAGCATTGTTACACTTGTCTGTGGAGAGTTAGCAAGAACACAAGAGATCAGAGCATCAGGCTACGAACCGCAGTCCAAATTGCCAGCCCAGTAAGTATCAAAAGGACCGACTTGCTTCGAGCAGAGCCCCGGCTGACATCGCGGACAAACCCACTTGAAAAGGCTCGCCAAGCTAGAGTTGCGATGATGACCGCATCCAATGTCACCGTTACTATTGCAACTGGCAAAACAGACGAGGTAGGCACGCAAACAGGGTTGAACTCAGGCCGAGACAGTCCAACAAATACGGCACCGAGGATGAACCGACCAAGCAGGAGCCCCTGCGGAACCATCTGACCCCATGATACTGCTGTGTTGGCGTTGATAGTCCAAAGAAGGAATTGCTCGATCGCAAACCGCGCCACCTGATCGAAAAGAGTCGTGAAAGCTATCCCAACCTGACATGATACCGATGCGTTCGTGTTTATAATCGTCGTGATAAATCCAATTTGTGCCCACAGGGCAGAACAGAGAAGGAATGTAATGAGGACCAGCCTCGGGCCGTCCCGAAATATCGATGAGCCATAGCCCTTAATGGTGAGAAAGAGAGCCGCTGAACCCGCGTTGACGACGATTCCACTACACCTATGTGTTAGCAACCTTTCAATCCACCTAGCTGAGTCCCACTAACAATGCGAAAGCCGCGATGAGGGCCTGCGTGGCCCCGGAAACTGCCATCGTGGCGGGCACCGGTCGACGGTTGACGGAAGGAGAGCGGCCGAGTTACGAAGAGAAACCCAGTCAATGGGGATATTAAAGAATGAGTGTAAACAAAGGAACTAATTCATACTGTTGGACTTCGTGAGGTTCACGACGATGAGGTTACAGGAGAACCATGTTGAGCCTCATGGCACTGCTTCGCCGCACGACAGACAAGAGTGTGAAAGAAAGAAGGTTTCCCGAAGCAGCGGGATCTCACAGATGGGCTGCAAGTACCAACCGCCTTGGAAGACTGACAGACAGACCCAATCCACTACTCAAAGACCTCAGCTCGAAACAGGAGGACCGACTACCGGCCCTCACTTGCACAGACTTTCCCACGCTCCCAAGAGGCTCTCGCAGTGGCACGCTCGTGTGCTGGCTGCATGCCTCGACCAGCACCGGCCAGATAGAGCGGGGTCTCAAACAGGTACGGGACAGGGTCATGTTCGAGATCCCTCGATTCGTAGTTCATGCCGATGGATGGCAGAGGGATTGATTGGTGTAGATGCAAGGCTGACAAGGCCTGGATTGGTGGCGTGCATCGACCCCCGTCCAGGGCTGTTTCACTTGAAACCTGAGACGTTACAACGGGCGACGCCAGTCTATATGAGGGACAGCCTCAGTGGCGCCATGGCCTACAGCGATCTTGGCAGCCATCAGAAGATGATCGTCGCTGGCAAAAAGGTAAACGTGCCTCGAAGAGGCGATTAAGGTATTACTGTGACAGCTGGACATAGAGCCGCATAGACTTGCAGTAGGGGCCAAGAGAAAGTTGAGCTTTCGGCAACCGGCAGCAACTATGATCGCGGTGCCGGAAGCAGCACGGAGATCAACGAAACGCCAGAAAGGGGAGGAAATGGTACGGTGATTTGCATGCAGAGTCAAAGGGTACCAAGTAATAGCGAGAAATCTGAGTTGCTCACCCTTCGAACGTGCGACACCGACGGAGGCCGCTGATACTGATGGCTGCAAGACTTCACACACATCAACAATGACCAGCCCTATCACAAGGTGAGATAAGAAAAGACACAATTCCACGACTGACGCAATGTGGATGATGGTGGGAAAGGTAAAGAGGCAACTGGCAGAGTCACACAGCAGCTATGTGGTGGGAGAAACCAGGGCAGGAAACAACACAACTCGTCGAAATGGGCCAGGATGATGGGATGTCAAGCTATTTTCAGACCAAGACGAGCGAGTGTGTTGGAGGTTAGGGATCATGTTTGAGAGGATTACCTAGGGCCAGGGGTCGAATGCAGCTCTGCAGGTAGGGGTTACGCTTTTCAGGGTGAACGGACCCTTCACTTTCGACCCGTGCGCACCCTGTCAAGTTACGTGGTAAGTCCGCAAGAAAGAGGCTCCTACAGGTAACATCAAGTGAAAAGACTTATCTTTATTCTCTACGGCCATTTCTACTGTAGTTACCCCCTGATCAATCTTGCATCCGAAGCCGAAGCTTCCTCTACACTTCGCTCACGAGGACAAGAATGGTAGATGCTATTTGGGATTGCAGGGCGAGATAAGCTTACCCGTCATCAGCCAGGCTAGTCGTCAATCAGCCTTATTGACGTCAAAACACTGGCTAAGACTATGATCTCCGCCAGCCGGGCGGGAATGGGCGTCTGCAACTGCAACGGAACGGCGATGCGGGAGCGGGAGGTTACAAAATTGACTCAGTCATGGAAGCAGTTTCGATCTGCCTTACATACAACCTGCAATTCAACCGCTAAGCGAGCCACGGCCTAGCTGTTGTCACCAAGCGCTCCTTCTCCGCTGTAAGTTTCCAGATGCATCTAGACTTCCATCTCTTGTCAAGCTGATATGAGAGTGCAATGGCCCCTTAAGTTGGTCTTCCCTAGATTCCCTGTGCTACATGCGGATGACCAAATGCTGTACTGCTATTGAGTCGTAGGTCGCGAGGACTTGCTGTGTGTGGTCTAGCGTGCCATCCAGCCAGAGGATCGCTGCAGCCGTCGACCCCAAGATTGACGGCCAGTGCGCTAGGTATGCTGAGTCGTCCAATAAGCCTCTGCCATAATGAGGAAGGGCTTCGCGATCGATTAGTTGTGACGGCACCGTTGTATAGTCGCCGCTTCTTGTCCGCGGTGTCTTGCTGCCCGCGGGGACCGTTGAGACTACCAACTCTTCAACAAGTGACTCATTAGACTCGACAGGCGTAAGAAGAGCAGTATAAGACGCCGTGGACCGACCGTAATATCCCATTTCTTTGTTTGCGTACTTGCGATATCTATTGTCGTCCTTACGTGCTTATCTAGCCATTGTAATACACGTAGATATAACGACATCGATTTTCAATATGCCTTCCTACGAGCTGGAGTACCCCAAAGAGAAGTACAGCACGGTCAACAGATACAATACCAGAGGCAAGTAATGCAAACAAGACCATGATAAGCCAATATTCTAATACTTTCGAAGCAACCTATGCTCTGGAGACAATTCATCATATAATCAACTCGGCCCAGATCCTACATGTCTCCTTCAACCCGCCCAACTCCCCCTTTCCGGTCATCATACCCATGCTGGGGCAAATGGGGTCCTTCGCTCGGCCGAGCGCCGACCTAGGGGATGTTCTCGATCTGTATTTGCATGGCTATGTCTCGTCACGCGTTATGAATCTATCTCGAGACCCCTCCTCCCCTGAAGAGAACAAGGGGCTACCCCTTTGCGTTGCTGCCAGCCACGTCGACGGACTGGTTCTAGCTCTGACACCAAACGCCCACAGCTACAACTACAGATCGGCAGTGCTGTTCGGCCACGCCACCGTGGTCGAAGACGTCGACGAGAAACTGTACGCCATGGAGCTCATCACTGACGGCGTAGTACCGCAGCGCTGGGCCAACACTCGTGTGCCGCCCAACAAAGCAGAGATGAGCAGCACCAGTGTGCTGCGCGTCCGAATCTCCAATGGTAGTGCAAAGATCCGATCGGGCCCTCCGAGCGATGATAAGGGTGACAAGGACGACCGTGATGTCGTGAGCAGCGTGTGGGCTGGTGTTGTCCCTGTCCATACTACCCTTGGGGAGCCGATCCCCGGCCCGTACAACGAGGTCGGCAAGGTGCCGGAGTATCTAGCAGAGTGGAGGAAAGGTTACAACCAGGCAGCACATGAAGAGGCTATCACTGCTGCGAACACGGTGATGCAACCAAAGAAGAGTAAGGACGATGATGAATAAATTAAATACCAATATTTGCTAGTTAAGGCCTCAGCATTAGTCATATTGATGAGACATTCAGTTTTGTCCTTCTGTCTTAAGTTGATCAGGTATGATAGACGCAGGCTGGATCGTCAGCTCATGTCTCGAGTCATTTTTGGACGTCCTTGCGCTCTGAGTAGAATGAGGCCTGGAGATACGAGTCTCCTCCCACCAAGCGGCCCTCCTCGCCACCCGCCTCTGCTTGGCGAAATGCAGAGAGATGACAGATATGTAGACAACAAACATCAAGACTGCAACACAGGAATATACGATCAATACTCCGAAGGTGTAGTTTGCGGCCAGCTGAAGTCCTAGCCCTCCGTTAATCATGCCAAGGATCATGATGGCTCTGCCGAACCATGTGTGCAATGTCCACCTGATTGTGCGATGCTTACTCTTCCGGTAGTGATGATTATGAATGAGCCCCAAGAGAGGCTGTACAGCTGCCATTCCCACGACCGCAGTCCCCAGCCTCTGGTGAGTACCTGTCCAGAACTAGAAAGATCAGTTACAAGATACGTATTCCAGATGATCAGGATCGCAAGGTTTGACTTACGCGGCCTGTGCCTACTGCCAACCAGCAGCCAGATACAAATCCAAGGAGAATGAGCACAAGTCCCGATAACTGAAAGAATACATGAAACGGAACTTTTGCCGAATCAGGGAAGCGAAAGTGTGAAGCCATAGATCCTATTGGAAAGACGACAAGGAATGTGATCGCCATCAGTGTTGCATGAACCGCGTGAACAGCAGTCGAGGTCCTAGTAGTCCATTGGGGATTTTCGACTGATGGTATCTCAATGTCAATAGAGCCGTTGTCGTCAAGCTGCCGTATAAGAAGATCCCTCTCGGATCCGGTCTTTTGAACCAGAGAGCTTACTTCATATTCGGTAAGTTTGGCTATGTCAGAATCAAAAGGCTGGCCATGGCATGTGGGAATAGCTTATAATGTTAGTGACACATGGTTTTCAATATCTACAGAGTTGGAGCTCGGTACCTAAGACGATGAGAGCTCTACAGACGAGTTGTAGGATCTGCATAATATGGCAATTGGGTTTGAACTTTTCGAGACTTTATCAACTGATCAAGAGGTAAGAAAGCCTGGCTTGCACCATACGAACATCATGGAGTAAATGACCTAATTATGACGAGGTATGATGGGATGAGAGCCTTGAATATATGATAGCAACCTCACATATTAAGCCTTTGGCAGAAACCTGGGTTACAGTGCCGGTCCATCCGCGACCTTTGCCTTGTCTGAGCCACAAGGGACACCTGTTTGATACTCCCCCGAAAACATGATTCTGGATGAGACAGTGGAGTTGTAACAGTCCAGGCATGGCTGCATTCTTTATGACCGCCTAACCCATTGTTGCTCGATCCAGGCATATTATATAGACGCCGCATATTGCTGGATATCCTTAGACTTATCTCTTATATTTCTATCGACACCAGGAGAAATTTGCCTAAATTTTGGTCTCGAAATTATCCAAAGGCACACATTTCCCTAACGCGTGGTTCAATACTCGGTTTTCACGTGAAAAGTATCCGAAGATTTGAGAACCAGTAACTGGGAATCTGGGACCGTTCGCGTCACCGTGAGAATCCTGCTACCTTGGAACCATACATCAAGGTGTCACTGTCTCGGAATTGTAAGACTACGATAGCTCGGTGACCTCGACTCGACTTCTCGATGAGAGAGCGGTGGCAACACCATCTATTTCAAACGGTCATGCGCTATTTTGATCATAGGCCCTACTGCTAAACATGATACAACTTCTTGGCTATTGAACCATATATATAAGAACATCAACTGCATATCTTACAAAATTTTCACCAATTATTCCATATCAGGTCAGGCAAGACAGTGCGCATCACCGCCCAGTGACCAACAGCGCTCTTTTGGTGATACTTCACCAACTTCTGGGTGTCATTTTGAGTCAGGATACCTTCGTCCTCACCCTCGTAGAAATCCGAGTCGAAGACCTCATGCTTGGGGAGGAGAAAGGCGTCTCTTGACGGACTCTCCAGCATGTCGGCCTTGGTTGGCTTGCGGAAAGTGACCTTGTCGCCGGTCTTGGTGCAGAAAATGACCATGTTGGTGAAGTCGCGCTTCTCTTTCTCAATGTTATCTTCGTCCCGTGGGTGTTCTCGGAAGATCCGGCACGCAGGAAAGACCTGTCTTATCGTCTGCACGACGATCTTCGGTGGTGGTAGCAGGAAGTCACCAGCATAGTTCTGCAGTTGCATTAGCTTTCGTGTCATGGCAACGGTATCCCCGGAATTCAGCACGGCAGTGGTTACGTACAATGGCTATGACTCCATTTGGTTTCAGCAGCGCATCAAGATTCTGTAGGAATTCCAGGGTGAAGAGTGCAATCGGCTCAGCGCCGCCTGTGAACACGTCGTGCACAATATAGTCGAATCTTTTCTCGTCGGGGTTGCTTGCAAGCCTGTCTGTGTAGCCTACCGCGTCCTCAATCACCGCCGTATGATTCGACGGCAGGGAGAAGTACTTGGACGCAAACTCGTGCACCACAGGGTCGATCTCTACCACGGTTGTATCGATGCCATGTGCGACCAACGCAGCCGGTGTAATACCTACTCCCAAGCCTCTGCAACTTCGTCAGTTCCAACATACATCTGCAGAGAGATCGCGATCAACTCACACAACAAGAGCGTTAGCATCGTGGTCCGCAACCCGATTGTCACCCTCGACCAGCCGCACGGCTTCGAGCATAGCGAAGACGCTGTAGATCGGCTCTGCAACCTTTGGGCCCTGGTACTTGATCCACTCGCCACCTAGCAGACTGTGGTCACACCTCAGTACGCGGAAGCCCTGCGCATGGCTATCGACTACCGAGATGTACCCGGTCAGAGACTCCTTCCGGTCTATTAACGACCAGCCCTCGAGATTGAGCGTTCTGTTCAGGGTAGCAGTTGCAATGGGAGAATAGACATGCGTGTTCAGGGCAGCCGTGTGGAGGATGCCGGGCATCGCATGAACGAGAAGCTTTGATGGTGCCAGAAGAGCAGAGGAAGCGCCGAGGATGATCTCCAGCCCCAAACGAGTCTGGAAGAAGGACTTCCCGATATGCTGCTCGACCAGACGCCCAGAGCCTGTTTCTACCAATTTGAAGAAGGCCCAGGAGATCAACCCTGGGGTTGCATCAGCCAACCACCGTGGCAATTTGGAGAAGTCTGCATTATCAAGGTAATTCGCTGTGCATGATGTCGTGATGACAAGCAACGGGAGCAATGTGAGAGCCTCTGTAATCAATGGGCCCCAATAGGCAGTCAGGGAGGTGCTGACTTTGTACAAATAGAACTGCACCAAGGGGATGTTGATGGCAATAATTGGTAGCAGGTAGATCAGCTTGACCGGGAGGAGCCTGCCCAGATGGAGGTTTGATGCCCATCCCACGAAGCAGCCAACCATGACAACATGTGGATGCCATATTGACGACGGTATTGAACCATATACGGGGGAGAGGGCAAGTTGTGAGACATTGGAGTAGACAGCTGCTACAGCCAGGAGAGCTGCTGCTCTGAAATAAGCGGAGGCCTGCTCCTTGAGGAACTTGCCCCACGTCTCATCTTTTGCTTTTGATGCTAGAGCCTTCAGCTCTTTCTCGAAAGCCTCTGGTGTAAATGAAGAATTTGGGTCAATCTTTGGCGTCTTTGGTTTCGCAGCTGACTTTCTCGAGGACTTTGGAGCCATGTTGATGATTGAGGACCCCTCCTCAAGCCGTCGTATGATGCGCCGCCCCCTTGATGAGATGCTCAGCTATCTCCTCAGATAGTTGGATCTAGCTTTTATCTTATGAGATTCGACGAGTAGTGCAATGAAAGAAAGATAATCAGAAAGCGGTAGCAATGTCAAAGGCATCAAATGTAAATACAGAATCTGCGACAAAATATCGAAATTTTGGCAGTAATGGCCAGATGTTGAAACCTCGCAGGGAATGTTTCGTCAACGAAGGCCTGGTCTGTGTTTTCTGTTTCAACTATGAGGCTGGAAGGTGATGGGCTGGCCCCGCTCCAATCAAGTATCCCTGCTCCTACCTAAATTAGAGGACAGTTGTTCCTCGCTGGCTTCGCAACTTGCCAAGATATCAATGCAGTCTAGCAATACCATCGCAAACATCCTGATTATGTCACATGAAGCAGTCTTGCACCGTCGAGGGAAGATGTATTCAAAATAAAGATGTAACTAATAGAGGTCGTTTTCGACTGCCAGCTAGCATTGATGATATGGTCAGTGGAGATGATCTACCTACAGTAGCTTGATAAGTGTAGCTTTTTATCACATGCAGTATGCAGCAACTTGTCCTGAGCTCTTCAAATCATATCAGCTCTAAAATATAGTGCTCGTGTCTCTGAATCAAACGAACAGTCTTCGAAGGGACTGAAGACATTAGTCTCGCCCTTAAAGAGCCCATAGAAGCTTTGGAACCTGATTTCTAGTTCCGTGTTGCTCGAATTGATTCAACAACATCCACTTAGGCGTGGCAGCCTCCCCGCCAAAGGATGGAGCTATCGGTCCCTGAGAAGCACCCGCTCCGTTGGGGTCTAGCGAGCCCCGCAGCTGTCTCAACGGAACAGCACGCCGATTAATGACGCTGGACCGACAGGGTAACGGCGTCATTCCCCCAGCACCTCCAAATTTTACGGGCAAGGACACTCGGCGATAGCTTCAACTCACGCAGCTTCCAGTTCTGTCTTCAAGCTTCTCATCATGGCCCCGGCGTACCCCCAACTAAGTCAATTGGTCGACTTTGACCAGAAGAGCTTGCTTAGTATGTTCTACGCCCAGCCTTGAGCTTGCTGGCCCCCTAAAGAGCTCCCCTGACCAGGCACCTAGTATCCGCATGCTCGATTGCCTTCAACCCGACGTTCTGGAAGTGAGTCTACGAATGCTCATCTACTTACGGCAGGAAAAGAGACTAACTAGTGAACTCCTTGCAGCATCGTCGCCCGAAGAGGTCAGCGCCTTCTACAGCCTGCCGGCCCGCCCCGGACATGCTAACGATAGATGCACAGAATACCGCACGCACTTCCTCACGCGCCTCTTCGGCGGCAACGCCCAGGCAGCCTGCTACTTCCTAGCAGCGACCATCTTCTCGATCGGCCTGCTCCGCGACTTCCTGTACGAGCGGGCGCTCCGCCAGCAGCCGTCGCACCCGCTCCTCGAGACCGACGCGGCGACGTACGCGGGCTACGCGCTGCTGGCGTGCGGCAACATCCTGGTCATCTCGTCGACGTGGGCGCTGGGCATCACGGGCACGTTTCTGGGCGACTACTTTGGCATCCTGATGGACGACATCGTGACGGGCTTCCCGTTCAACGTCACCGACGCACCCATGTACTATGGCTCGACGCTCAGCTTCCTGGGCAGCGCGCTCGTCTACGGCAAGCCCGCGGGCGTGCTGATCACCGGCTGGGTGCTGCTCGTGTACCTCGTCGCGCTGCGCTTCGAGAACCCCTTCACCGCGGGCATCTACGCCAAGCGAGACCGCGAGCGGGCTGCTGGGAAGGGGAAGGCCAAGGCTACGCCGAAGGGCAAGGGTAAGGGTAAGAAGGTGGATGGCAAGAAGGAGCTATAATTTGTCTCTTGTCGTGGATATCAGCCAGAAGAAGACCAGGGGAGGATGTCTCGGTGGTTCAGGAGGGTTAAGAGCGGGCGGAGTGTGGTGGGGGAGGCGGCCATGTGTTGCCAGGCAGTAATCACGATGGATGTGTAGAGCCGTGGACGATATGTGGATGTCGTGTGGAGACGATGGAAGTGGAGGTGGAGGTGGATGGTATAGACATTACGGAGGGTCGTCTGATTCGAGTTGTATTCAACAGCATTTGTCCGGGTTGGCGTTCAAAAGGGGGCGGTGTCCGGGCAGCCAGCACTGGCATCCCGGGGGGGTTCATGAGCATGGAAAAGGAGATACCTGGATGGCTTTCAACAATGCATCTTGCCTGCTTTTTGTATTTTGCCTTGACCAACTTACCTGGTTTTACGTTACCTTAAGCCTATTCTATAAATTGACTATAATTTGTCTTGAAAAGTCGTTTGGCAGAGATTCGTCACTACTGGCCACTTACCATGACTCGCCAGCATGGCCATGGCCATGGCCGCCGACGGGAGAGGCTTCGGCCGCTGGATGCCAAGGGGTGCTCACCGTCTTGTGCTGAGGTTAGATCGGTGAGCGGCCCCGATCAAATATAACCAAGGCGACGCTGCAGATGCAGGCCAAGTCTGCCGGCACGGTCAGCTTCCATCCCGGATGGTTGACACCCGGAGCACGATATCTAATTGCGGTAGGGGTCATGTCTAAGTAGCCCATGTACCGGTACTGCATAGTATCGTACGAGTAGTCGTCGTGGCAGTGCGGGCTGCGCTCTGACAAGAGCATGCGTAGTCACGGATCCAGGTTGTTCATTGAGCACGCAACTTGACTAGAGAAACATACAACAATCATTCAGGCAAACGAAGTCAATCGGTTGACGCAAGTCACGCTATAGCAGAAACAATAGTATGTGGTATGAGGAGTAGATAGAGTAGGAAGATATCTCGGCAATTGAAGCTCCCTTCGTCCCCAGATGTCCCGTCCACCAACCCGCATTCCCCCCCGGATTCCGATGCCGATAAACGTCTTATTGAGACCTAGACACCTACATGTAGAACATCGAGAGAAGTCGAGAAGAAGAGCCGTGATTTGCTGCGTTCCTCGGCTGCGGGCTTGCAGGTTGGTAGACTGGCAGGCTATGACGAAGACGAAAAGGAACCCAGACGCCTGGGGCCGGGTGAAACCGTGAGGGGCCAGGTGATCCTCGCCCGCCCTTTTACCTCATTTTCGTGACTTAGACTTTGCCAATGACAAGGCCATCCGGGTCCCCGCCCAGGCCAGAAGCTGCCAAGAACGACCCGCAAGGTACCGCTGACTCTGGCACTGCACACTATAATTATAGTGTCTTGGGTACTGTATCGAGGTACCTGCCCAGGAAAACCCAGTGGATGACCGAAGACGTGAACTACAAAACCATCGGCCGCCCCTTCACGTGGTTTTTCGGCTTTGCGCCTCTCTTCAACGGTCTCTATGCTGTCTCTTTCTGAACAGTGCAAATGCAATACTTTTAAGCAGGCCATACGACAAGCAGCGAATGCACTGATTCCATCTCGAAGCGCATATCCTCACGTTGCAAGCGGTTTGGTTCCAAGAAGGCGCACCGAGTCAGTCACACGACACACGCATAACCACCACCCACCTACGTAAGGGTACATTAGGTACAGCACAGCAGAGGGGCTTCTTCAAGATGAACTGCCCCTCCAGAACCGACGAGGTCCCTGAGGCCGATGGTCACAACCAGAACCCCAATGCTCTGTCCAACGACTTGACCACCAACCAGGACCTCAATGGCATCGCAAACTCCAGAGTCCTGCGTGGCGGGGACTCGCTATCGATACAGTCGGCCGGCCAAGCAGTCGAGGCCGACAGGGTTCCGCAATCGGTCGATCCACACAGCGACGAGAAGCACCAGAGGATCACGAATACGTCGGCTGCGATTGGCCAGCCTCCCACCGGGGGGGTTGCAGGTGGTGCATCACTGCCATTGCCGTTGCCATCACCATCGCGGGTCAACACTTCGTCGTCCTCTCCTTCACCGTCGAATGGGGGTCGGGGCGGCTCTCTCATTCATCGTCACGGTTCTCCCTTAGCCGCTCGCCTGAAGAAGGTCATTGTTACGTTTGGCAAGTTTGTCGGTCCTGGTTTCATGATTGCTGTTGCATACAGTGAGTAACAACCCCTTCTCCCTATCTTATTGTTTGTATTTGTGTGAGAGTCAATCAATTCTCTGACATCTTGCAGTCGATCCTGGAAACTACGCAACCGATATTGCAGCTGGAGCCTCGTACCGTTTCCGCCTTCTTTTCATTGTTCTATTGAGTAATCTCTTCGCCATCTTCCTGCAGAGTCTCTGCATCAAGCTCGGCACTGTCACGGGCCTCAACCTTGCAGAGGCTTGCCGTGCATTTCTTCCCCGATGGCTCAACTATGTACTCTATGCGATGGCAGAAGTTGCCATTATTGCCACGGACATAGCTGAGGTACGTAGATCACATACGCCGCCCACTCAACTCGCCGACTAATGTGATACAGGTCATTGGTACTGCCATTGCCATTAATTTGCTAATTCCTAAGATACCCCTGGTCGCTGGATGCGCCTTATCAATTCTTGATGTAATGGTCATCCTCTTCTTTTATCAACCCAACGGTGCCATGAGAGGTCTCAGAGCTTTCGAGTTCTTCGTCGTTCTCTTGGTCCTAGGCGTTGTCATATGCTTCTGTATTCAATTGTCTATGATTGACGACACCCCTGTTGGCGATGTATTCAAGGGGTACCTGCCATCGAGCGCCATTGTCGAACGGAAAGGTCTCTACCAAGCATGTGGTATTCTCGGTGCAACAGTCATGCCACATAGTCTCTACCTTGGCTCGGGCATTGTTCAACCCCGTCTGCGAGACTACGACGAGAAAAAGGGGCTGCTCCCTCCCGAGCCGCGCTCTTCAGCCTCTTCGACTCACGAGGACACTGACAAAGCGGCTTATATGCCCTCTCTATCCGCCATTCAGCATTCTATGAAATACTCCATTACAGAGCTGGCAATATCTCTCTTCACCTTCGCGCTGTTCGTCAACTCCGCTATCCTTATCGTCGCCGGCGCTTCCCTCTACCAGAACGAAGAGGCTCAGAGCGCCGACATCTTCGGCATCCACGATCTCCTCAGCAAGAGCCTATCCCCGGCGGCCGGCACCGTCTTCGCCCTCGCGCTGCTCCTGTCCGGCGTGTCGGCCGGCATCGTGTGCACCATCGCGGGACAAATGGTCAGCGAGGGCGCGCTGAACTGGTCGCTGCGCCCGTGGCTGCGCCGCCTCGTGACCCGCTCCATCAGCATCACGCCCAGCATCATCATCGCCGGCGCCGTGGGCCGCACCGGCCTCGACGCCGCGCTCAACGGCTCCCAGGTCGCCCTCAGCGTCGTCCTGCCCTTCGTCACCGCGCCCCTCATCTACTTCACCTGCCTCAACAAGTACATGACCGTGCTGCCCGGCAACGCGCGCCTCTACGTCCCCGGCGACCCCGAGGGCAACGGGCTGCGCGTCGGCATCGCTGCTGCGGTGGGGAGCGGCGGCGGCTCTGGTGCGACTAGTCTGCAGGGCGGCGTCCCTGGCTCGGTCAAGATGGCAAACTCTATCTGGGTTGCCGTCCTTGCTGTTATAATCTGGCTCATCATTGCTGCTATGAACGTGGCTAACTTGGTGCTGCTGGGCAAGGGCGACTAGAGGAGTTGCTTGACTTGTTCGGAAGAGGCAGTGTGGAGCCGGAGGGTGAGCGTCTGGCTCACACACCGCTTCTGATAACTTGTGTAAGTGGAGTAGACTTGAGAGGATTGGCTCCCGAAGAAAGATGAATTGTGGTTCATGGCTATTCATCGAGGACCGGTGTGATGTGGTTAATGAGTCTAAAGTGTTCGTGAAAATTAAACTTCAAGTGCCATAATTGGCAAGCTCAGGGTCATGATTTACATTCTGTGATGGGACAATGCCATTGTCTATATATTGAAGTGGATTGAGACAAGAGAGGTTGACGTCAGTAGGGAGATTTTATTCAAATATTTCGCTATGCCTTTAAATCATGTGTTGATCTCCCTGATATGTTTAATTTGATTCAATTTCAGTATATCCCGATAGAAAACCATTGTTGAGAACTACATGCACTGAAAAGGTTGCATACGCTATAATAAAATCACATTGAGAGTCAAAATTGAGATACACAATAACGCCAACACAACTGTAACAGTCACCGTTACCAATAAGCAAAAATACTCCATACTGAGTTATGCTAGGGGAATTAAGAGTGCGGATGCCCTGGTATAGACATATATGAGAAGTGCCTATACATTGAAGGTCGAATTCCGATAGCTTCATCAAAATTTGAACTAGAATCGCTTTCATTGAGGACAAGCTGAGAGGTCGTTGATTTAAGACACACAGAAGGGGCGTAAATAAAAGCTAACAATTGCGTTAAGCTTTCATTATTGTTACTAGACAATATGAAGCATTGTCTATTGTTCATTGTTTGAATGGGGCAGAATTTGAGTCACCTGCCGGACCCAGACTTTGAAACTCCGTTAACTTTCACTTATACCGAAACTTGCTCTACACGGCGAACTCGACCAGGAACCCCGTTCAACCTATCTCCGTTACCTCTTCATTGTCAGGTATAAAAGATCAACCTCCGGGTCAGATTTCAACACCCGGATTCCCTTTATCCTTCATAATCACATACCAGTTGTCTCCCCAGCAAGGCGACCAGCCTCACCAGATCTTGCACCGTTGAGCAATCCGCCCGATCCTACCCCTACACCAGATCACTCTAATTTTTATTCCCAATCTACAAGCTACAATACCAGTAGCAGAGAGACCAGTTGATCTTCGCCTGTGGCAGTCAACCACAATACAACTCATCAAGCCTCGGTCAAATCTTCACCTCCTCCATTTAACTCAATCACCATCCCACACCAGTCAATTGGCCACCACAATGACGGCTGAAAAGATTCTCGTCAACGAGGCGACCATCGCCAACCAAGAGCTTCTTGAGACATTCAAGCATCGCTCCGGTGAAGAGGAGGCCCACGAGGAGAGACTCCGCCTCAAGGCCAGAAAGGTGCGAATGCAGGGCTACAGACCGGCACACCCCGGCGGCCACTGCTGGCATTGCGCCCAGACGCACAAGATGCGCTCTTTGAACTTCGAAGAGGCCGGCACCAGAGTCCGTCGGGGCAGAGACAATGGTGTCCCCTGCTGGAAGCAGATGCAGACGGCGAGACATCTCATCACAGCCTACACCCGCCGGTACGCCGACGCACCCAATGGCACCAACTTCGTGGCCCCGCCGTGGTTCCGTGGCCCAAGGGTTTGGCGCAAGGACGACAAGACGGGCGTGTTTCGCCCGCGACGCATGATGGATGACCTGTTGGACAAGAAGAAGGCCGACAAGCAGGAGAGAATCGCTCGCGGCCTCGAGGTGGAGGAGGAGGAGGAGCAGGAGGAGGAGGCTGAGGCTGAGGACAGCGAGGTTGAGTCCGATGAGGACGAGGACAACGAGTAGAGAGCGGCTTCTCTACAAACACGAACATGAGAGTAGATGCAGGTATGACACGAACAATGAGGGCATTGCGGGCATAACGTTACTGTTAATGATCAATTGAAACTCTTCCTTCCACCAATTACAGGACTCTCTGAGACTTTGTGAAGACTTGCGGACATACAATTATTATGTTGATTCGAATTCAATGTGAGAATGCTCGTGTTAAACTCGTGTAAGTGGTTGAATGTGGGGCAATTCTGTCTTAATGGTCCCTGGGGTCTCGGGCGATAAGTGCGATAAGACGTCGGTGGCGGTCTGTCGCTGGGGCAACGTCTGCCCACCTTAACCAGACAACAAGACCCAGACCTCACCCATTGCCCGGAAACTCAGCCGGCCGCCCCAAACCTCCAGCTTTTCGATCCCTCCACTTCGATTCCATTCCAGTTGCATTCCATTCCATTCACAGCTTGGGCTTTAGGTGCATGGTAGACTTAACTTTTTTACTCTTTATGACGGTTATGGCTTGAGGTAATCATCTGGCATCTCTGGTACGCACCGCAGCATACCACAGCTGTCAATCGGACACTGTATTCCCTTCCCGCTCCCATTGTCTCATCTAGTCCATTGTTCTTTGCTCAGCAACAGAGCCATTGAATCAGACATGGCTGCAGTGAGCGACTCCCACAACAGCTTGCCCGGTGGCCCGCGGCACCATCAGCGGTCTAAGTCTGCGGTTCTTCGATCCTTCATCCACAAACGAGACAACTCGGATGGCGCTGTACTTCCTCCCGCAGACCTAACAGCAGTTAACGTCAATGGTGTCATTACTTCTACTTCAGGAGCTATTGACTATACAGATAGCTCCAACATGGGTTTCCCCAAATTTGGCCGGCTTGGCGGGGGCGTGTTAGGAGAGATGCAGCAGAATCGACAGGACTCGGCTTCACGGTCTCCCAAGAAACTCCCAGAAGATCGAGCGGGGAGAACCAACACCGAGAACCAACGCTCACCACAGAAAAGCGGCTTCGCTACCGTTTCTCTAAAGTCGCTGGGAAGCAAGGACACTACGAAGTTGGCCAAGACGAAGGAGCCCAAGGAAGACTCTCCAACCAAGCCCAAGAAGACCAAATCAACGACGAACCTGGTCGGCTTCCTCTCGCGACCGAAATCGTCGAAGGACTTGAATAAACTTGTCGAGGAAGAGACGAGACAAACAAAGGACAAGGAGAATAGGACGCCTCCTAGCTCGCTGAGCGACCCGTCCCCGCCGCCTCCAATCTACGCTCAATTCTGCAGCCAGGGACTTGGGAGCAGTTCAAATTTATCGTCACCTTTTGATACTGGCAGTGACCCGTTCTTGCGAATGAATTCATACACTGGTCGAAACGACCAACCGAGCCCTAGCGAAGGGGTCGTGAAGAAACAGAGACCAATGTCTTTCCAACCGCAGTCTACTCCGAGGCCCGATGCCGATAGAAGGGAGGAGAGAGGCAGGTCAAGGACTAAGGATGCCAGCACAAGCCAGAAATCATCAACATGGCGCAAGGCGCGGTCCGCGTCCCGCCCTAGAATTTTCGGTGCTTTCGCAGGCTCTGGCCAGAAGACGAAGCCATCGGCTCAAGAGCCAACCGAACCATTAATAGACCCTAAAGACATTGATAAGCATCTCGAGGCAATGTTAGATCGTCGCAACATTCCAGAAAATCAGCGGTACAAGATGCGCAATCTAAACTGTACAATCAAGATGGAGTTTATCCGTCAGGACTGGGCGGAGGCAGAAGCGAAGAAGCTGGAGCGTCCGCGCACCAATGATAGTGATACGTCAATGGAAGGCGCTGGTGGCGACTCTGGGCATCAGGATGACAAAAAGAAGACCAGCCGAGGCAGAAGCCTGACTTTGTCCAAGTCTCGACCTAAGCCATCAGTGTCCCCTACCAAAAAGGGGAAGAAGGAAGGGACTCTAGGTCGGCACTTCAGGAGTAAGTCTACAGACAGTGTCGCTAGTGACAGACCGGAGTCAGCCGGTTCATCTTCTAGCAATGGTTTACTTGCGAAGGTTACTGGGGCACACAACCCGGGCGACTTTGTTGCTTACCTCCGCAAAGTTCAGAAGCCGGAGCTTGTCGAAGTTGGAAAGCTCCACAAGCTTCGGCTGCTACTGCGGAATGAGAGGGTGGCATGGGCGGAAGACTTTATTCGCCAGGGCGGCATGAAGGAGATTGTTGGATTACTGCACCGCATCATGGAGGTCGAATGGAGGTGAGTGAATGGGCCCAGTTTACGTGGTTGAGATGTCGCCGGACACGTCGCTAACCCCCTTTACAGAGAGGAGCATGAAGATGCCCTCCTTCACGAGAACCTTCTTTGCCTGAAGGCGTTATGCACGACGGCGTTGGCATTGCAGTACCTACACTCCATCCAGCCATCCCTCTTCCCAGCCCTGATCCATATGATCTTCGATCCGGAGAAGAAAGGTCCCAGTGACTTTACGACTCGCAACATCATCACATCTGTACTACTTACCTACATTGAGAGCTCCACTCCACAAGAGCGCATGTCGCGGGCCCAGACGGTTCTCTCCTATCTCCGTGACCCCGAAGCCAAGGAGGAAGAACGCCCAGTGAGCTTCGTCCTGGAGATGAGGCGGGAGCGGCCTTACCGAGTGTGGTGTAAGGAGGTGGTCAGTGTCACCAAGGAGGTCTTTTGGATCTTCCTGCACAACCTGAACGTCGTGTCCTTGCCAGCTGGCGACAAGCCTTCCAAGGGAGGTCAGACGCCAACAGGCAGCAGCGATTCGTCCGCATCGTCGACGTCCCAGGCGCTAGCCACGGGCCACCACGAGGACGTAGCGTCGAATGAACCTTATGCTTACATGGCCCGCCACTTCCCACAGGAGCGACCACCAGTGCCAGCCGCTCCCTACGTCGGCGGAGTCGAGTGGGACGCAACAAACTACCTGGCCTCTCACCTGGACCTGATGAACGCCATCATTGCTTGCACCCCCACGGCCGCCGAGCGCAACAGACTCAGAGAGCACCTGCGCATCTCCGGGCTCGAGCGCTGCCTGGGCGGCAGCCTACGGTTGTGCAAGGAGAAGTTCTATCCGGGCGTCCACGACGGCCTCAGGACGTGGGTGGCTGCCGCGGCTGAGGACGGCTGGGACGTCAAGGACGTGCGCTTTGGGCCGCCCCCGGAGACGCGTAGTTCGCCGAGGAAAGCCGGCGGCGGCGGCGCCGCGGGCAAGAAGAAGGCTGAAGAGGCGCCGCCCAAGCTCGACATGCCCAAGCTGGACTTTGCACTGGACGGCCCCCTCGCGGGCGGCAAGTCCTCTGCCTAGTTGGGGAGCGATATGTCGTGGCTCCTGTAACATGCACTGGTTCACATCCTCGCAAGGAGTGTAGAACGCCTATACCGTTGCTGGCCGTTACGAATCTCAGCAGCTTTCCTCCTCGGTCCCTACTACAGTACACTAAGTGGTTACGTTGCGATCAAGCTCAGATCACTCGTGGGTTTTACATCATTGGAGTTTGGAGATAAAATTGCATGACTGTCAACGTGTATTCTTGAACTTGGTTGTTTTCCTCTTCCCGGACTCCATTGGGTAGCACTATGGTCTACGGCGGGGAAAACGGCAAGTGTTTTCTTATTATGTGGTAATTATGGTTGGACATAGGGGTTACCGGTTCTTTCATGTTGTTTATGATGGCATGGTTAATGAAATGAAATCAACGAATTCCATGACGGCGATCTGGGCTGCAGGTGCGAAAGAGCCAGTGAGTTGTGATCAGTGCTGTCGTATTTACCTATCTGTCATCTCTCTGCGCGTCAGCTGCGAGAACTCTAGTCCGACATGTGAGAGGGATCCTTCGAAAATGGCGCCTTAATCTTGGTAGCAGCTGCCTCTGGACGATGCGAGGGAGTACCCCTGATTCGCTAGGGAGTACTCATCTTCACAACCAGTAGACGTCAGAGTCTGGATAGGTGAGCAGTCATATCGTGGTCCCGTGTAGCCTAAGCGGCTTGTGAGCCTCTCACCTCCCTCGTCTGGCGTCGGCAGTCGTCACTTATGCCTGAAGCTCAAGATGACGGCTCCCGCGCAGTCATCTGCCGGGAGTGATGGACAGCCACGGTCTTTATTGGATCGCTCTGCACAGTGTTCGTCGGAAGGCATTGGCACGGGGTTTCGGTGGCCGTCGGCGAGGCCCAGCGTGCGGCCATCTGCATGATCAGAGTTGCAGCGCGCAGCGCGCAGTAATCGTCTCTTGCCTGGCGTTCTGGTCGCTGTACCCGCTCCAACCGTCGATAACCCTCTGGCTCATCCAGATCTGCAAGTATGACGAGCCGTCATGCTGGAGCGATAACCCGTCTTTCAGAAGAACAGAGGAAGTGACAGATCATCTACCTACATAGACTTACATGTAAAGCCCGTGCTGGTTGATGTGCATGCTGGTGACGTCGACAACTCAGCAGAGCATGACAGCACTGCATATCGTCCTCCCTTGTCCCCGAGGTCCGCCATCCTGGCCGGCTATCTGCTTCCCCCACATGCTGCATTCGCCTGCTTTGGGCAATGCCCACTGCCCCAGGCGGTGTGAGATGAGTTCGCTGCAGCATGTGCTTGGTATTGTCCAAGGGGAGAGTGCAGGATCGTAGGGATAAGTACATGGGCGATTGGATGTCGGGCCGATGGAATATGGCCGCGCTGTCGTTCCGGACGACAAGTATCTCATGAACGTCAAGTTCGGTAATCAGAGAGTAGCCTTGAAGCACACTGGGTTCATAGTCGACGAGATCATGTAAAGGACGATTGTGTGGCCAAAAAAATCTCACTTAGACTCATAGTGGCTGCCTTTTCAGGAACCAGCTAGGCTATCTTTGGACAACAGTTTGTGCTACTTGCCTTGAACGGTGCCATATTTTTTCACAATCCTAGTGTGAGATCAAAATGACAATGAGCAGACACTAGGACATTCAGAGCGCAGGTCTCTGGGCTGAGAGTCGTTAGGATTTCCTGACAGTAGGCCATGGGCGCGGAAAGGCACCAATGGCGTGTAGTTGGAACACTGAGGTTGGGGAAGTGTGGGATATCCGCTCCTACACGGACGCTACCCTTTGAACCTATCGGGAGCTGCCGTGCAGGGTGAACCAATCAGTAGCGAATCCAAATATGCCGTCAACCCGGATTCTGCAACGGAAGCAGCACCACTTGCACTCGAAATAACGACACAATTTTCTCGCGGGGCTTGAACCCTGACGACACAGCTCCACCGCCAGGCATGAGGATGCCTTGGCACTTGCATGTCAACGACGTATAAATACGCTTGACTTCGAGATACCCCATCCATGGCGCAGGAGCCCGGTATCTTAAGGGACAGCCAGTGGCCCCGGCGGTCCCCAGATAGAGTGGAGAAGTGTGACGATACTGCAAGCAGATTGCGATACCGGAAAGTCAACAATGCTGGGATTGGGCAACGACACTCATCGGTGGTGCGTACGGAGAGACAAAATTGGCCTTGACCGAATGTCAACATCATATGTGGAGGTGGTGAGATGGCAGTCAGGCTAAGGGTACAGATGCAATGCGGCTCTCCTCGCGTCCTGAACAGACCAAGTCCAAAAATGGATATGTTGTCCGGTAAATCGAAACACAAGGAAAGATCCCGGACAGACCGAAGCAAGGAAAAAAAAAAGAAAAAGAAAAGCGAGCTGGAGTAACATACGATCTTGGGAGCGGAGACCTCATTGATTTCGAACATGTACACCGAGGTCTTTCCAGGTCATGGTGTTCATGATCGGTAATCGATACTCTTCAAAGGCACTGCATATCATATGCCGAGAGACACCGAGCAAACGGGAGCCTGGGAATGGTCGACCAAGAGAAACAAGTTGCATAATGTTTGTCTCATTTGCGACCATTGGGACAGGACTATGATGCAGCCCCGGTGTGGGCATTCAACCCAATCATGACTTTGATTCGGTCAACTCACAGCGGGTGACGAGGTACCTTAGGCTGACTCTTTCGGGCAAGGCCGGACGAGTGGTTTAAATGGAGTCCTCGATGGATTTTGATCAGGAGGGGTTTTAGGAGGATGCAAGGCCATCCCATCCCCCTTCCATACATGCGTGGGTAAGCAGCAGTCTCGCAATATTACCTGGTAAACAGGGCTGGAGCCGATTGAATAGCAGCTCTTGGAGAAAGACAGTCGGACATGCAGTCCGTGCCACAAGGTCCCCCCAACATGTCATAAGACGCGACCAGTCCAGACTCTAGACCGCAAGTAGGGCTGGCCAGGCACGGCATAACAAACGCAAGTCTGTGAGAGAGGGATGGAGAATTTGAGAGAGGCTCCAAGCCCGCCGTCTCTGGTCTCACATAGGGGCTAGAGATTCACGTGGAGGCAGTTTGACGCAGATACCCACACTACCTTTGCTTGCCTTGCAGGGGGTTTAGCCGATCAGGCTCGATGGAAGGCTTCAGGATTTCCGGAGTAGCCTGTAAGTCAGCCTCTCCGCTGGCACCTGGAAGGAAGAAGGTCCGAAGAAAGGGCCAGGTCTAGTCTTCCAGAAGAAGCAGTCCAATGCAACCCGAACGAGGGGCTCGCACAGTGGGAAAAAGGCATTGTTTTTGCCCCTCGTTCTGTTGAATCGAGCCGGCTATGGCAGATCGATACATGACCCCTCTGTATAGTCGTTTGTTGGCAAGTAAAAAACAACAGCGAGCCGCGCTGCACTGTGCTTTAGTGCGTCAGAAATCATCCGAATATGATCCAGGGTCCAGGCCTAGATTCAGGTCTGAGGCGATGCCGAGATACATATATAGAATCGAAAGCCGGGATGTACCTGAGATGGCAGATGGTAAAGTAAGGAGGTAAAGTTTCCGTTGATTGGGAAGCGAGAGGTACAAGATTATACGACCCCCCTTGGCTAGGCCCATCGTCGTCCCATGCCTGCGTGATGGGATGCGATGGGATAGGATGGGATTGTGCAGTGCTTGCTTTTCCGCACGACACGAAACCAGCATCAACCGCGCTCGCCGGCGGCGGCTACGCTCAATGATTGATTCATCAAAGGGAAAAAAGGGGGGGCCAGAGAGGCTACTGTACGTCGAATAATTTGCAGTTAAGCAGCTCCGCCTAGCTGGAGCCTTGCAGGTGTAGTACAAAAGTTAGGATGTAGATATTAGATGAAGAGTGCAGGAGAGGCAGACAAAGAGAGGAAAGTGAAGCACCACCGGAGGCACTTACGCAGGCTTGGGGCTATTTGGGCCTGTAGTCGGCAGGTGCGAACGGTGCTAGCAAAGGGTCCGCTCTTGCTTTCTTCAGCGGAGCTTCACAACAACGCAGTCCCTAGGTAGCGACTCGCTAAGGAGCTTGCACTGGCTCCACATGGCTCAAGCCGAGGGGTTCAGTTATTGGACAGTGTCGACCCAGACGATCTTCCGCCCAAAACGCCTCACCTATGGCTCTCTAGCTTAGTTTGGTGACCCCTCCACAACTCATATGTCATAGCAAGCGTCAATCTGGTGGACACAGTCATTGGGCTCTTCACGCATCGCAAATCCCCGACAACCACAACCCATTCGCTCAACCAGCCCTCCAGTCATCCATCCACCCATCCATCCATCCATCCATTCACCCATCCAACCATCTAACCATTCCGATCCTAGCAAGCAGTCTCTTGGTAATTGTACCGAGTTTACATACATACCTTAGAGGGCCTCGTCTTTGCTAGCTAGACCTTGCCCAGCCGATGCAGCCCCGGTCAAGGCGTACCTCCTCCTGGCCTATCTTACGAGCTTAGCTACAATCAACCAATCGACCTGCATGCACATTTGCTGGACAGAGATCCTCGAAACGAAACATTCGCCCAAGTAGGGTACATCAGCGAACACCACCCGCATGCATCCCTGCCATCCCTGTCATCCTACATCGCCTGCACCTTCGACCTGGATGTCTTAAGACTCACTCACATACATACATACGTTCATACATACATTCACATACATAGACTTCGAGACAGCCTTAGCTGGTCTTCTCATGCTTCCTTGCAGCTCTGTTCCCCACCAATAGCTGTGTCTGCATCCGATTCTCGCCGCCACGTTCGCTCGCAGTTCGCACGAAGAGTATCCTTAGAGAGCAGCCGACACAGACGCCCTGGGACACTTCACTCGAGGCAGCAAGCGTCGGCCCACTTCTACATGCGTTAGAACACAGGCTATTGTTACCAGATCTCCGTCCTCCTGCAAGCCGTGCCGCTCCGTGAGCGAGCTATACCGTCTGTGTGTACCTCAGCTTCCGAGCGAATAGTTGGTAGCTGCGCAGGAGCTTCGTTGTATCTCTGTCATCGGCTTGCTTCAAAATGTCGATAAAGTTAGTCACCTCTACTACTCCTCCTATATCCCCTCTCACTTCTTACATCACACTCCTCCCTCCTTCTCCCACTCATTCATCATTTCCCTTCCCCGCTTCACATAAGCTCATGACCTTCCCGGTCATGTGAGCCTTTTCTTTGCTTCCCCAGCATCCGCAGCTTATGCTGTCATATCCCTCGCCCCATGGATACCTACCAGGGCAGTCTCCAACACACAAGCATTCTAGCCCAGAATACCTCACGCGAGAATGAAGCTATTGAGGGGCGAGATGTTGACCAGGACGCTAGCTGGGTGATGTTGAAGGAGAACGGCAAGGACATTGAGCGGCTCCCGGATGAGCAGATCCTTCTTATAACGCCACCTCGAGTGAGCTTGGAGCTCTCGGTTCCCAAGCCCTTGCAGGCGAGCCACCCTTTTTCCATCAACTGCCTAGATGGAAAGGCCTACGTCACGAATAAACGAGTGAGCCCTTAACGAGCTTCATCTTGGCCGGCTTCTAACTGACGGGATTTAGGTGATCTATCTTGCAGCACGACCGACAGAGCAATTCAAGTCCTTCGCGGCCCCCATCCTAAATATCAACGATACCCATCCCTCGTCGGGAGGCTTCCTGGGTTTCGGAGCCTGGCGTTGGCATGGCACGGTGACACCGACTGTAAACGGTGGAATCCCTGCGGAGATTCCCCTACTAGAATTGACACTTACCTTCAACGAGGGCGGGATGGACAGTTTCAACAGGAAGTATAGTTTGATACGGGACCGTTTGCAACAATTTGCTCAAGCTACAGGCCAATCGGTCCGCGACGCCGTCGTTCACGACGAAGACCTGCCGCCGTACGACCCGAATGACCACAGTCAGGCTGCTGCGGCTCCTATGCCAAGTATCACACAGCCTGCCGCTGAGCCAGTACAAGGACGGCCAAATCAACAGACGCCGGACGAGCCTCCTCCCGATTACGACGAGGCCCAAGCCCAAGCTGTCAGCGGAAGATTCGAAGAACGAATTCGCCAAGAAGCAGAGCGGGGTGAGTGATTCTGTATTATCCAGGAGGTTCTCCTTGCCAAGTGTACCTGGGTGTGTTTGCGTAATGAGAGAATGAGTTTCGAGGCTCGCCAAGGCTTTGCAGCATGTCATGGAATGATAAAATGATACCCGACGCTGCTACCTTATCCATAACATTCTTTTAGAAAAGACGGACGGTCCATCTGCTTTGGTTTCAAGGTTTGGGTCTGAATTTGGCATGGGCAATTCTTTTCGTGTGTGTTAAGAAAGCGAGATCTAGGCTGCGCTATAGGTGAGCATAAGCGACTCTGTATTGACTCGGAAGAAAGTTGTAGATCTTCTATTCATGACAATTCATTACAAGCAAAGGATTTTATTTATCCCCCAAGAAATGTGTAGCTGAAAAGTGCAAGGCTATTCCAAGCTAAAGCTGTTCGCGATGACGATATCGTGATGTACCACGTGATCTCGGGAACAGCCGGACCAGTCGCAGGTAGCCAATCAAATTCGCTCAATTCACGGTTACCGGTCGATTTTCGCTACCTGATTTTCCGGGTCCCAGAAGCTCTTCTCACGCCAACATTCTGTTCGGACCACCCATCAAAACACCGCAAATCCGTCCACAGCAGCAGCCATTGACCACAGCGGCCACGCCGGTTGATCGCAATGGGTATCTGGGAAGCTATCACCGACCTTGTCGAGGCCGCCGCGCCATGGAGCGTGGCCGAGGCTGAGGCGCCTGCCGAGGAGCCGCAAGAGGTACGAACGAATGAGCTCAAGCTCTTCCTCCACCCTGCTCCGTCCGTCCGCTCGAGCTCTGGGAACCATCTAGGATGCTCTGTGTGGGCGGATAGCATCATGAGAGGGATCTCGCTGCCCGATTGAGCTTCTACGGACGTTGCACGAATGATGTTGAACGAATGACTAACATCACGGTTGCAGGAGTCCAGCGACGACAGCAAGGACGAGGAGGCCACCGAGCAATCCGACGATGCTGAGGATGCCGAGGAGGGCGGCGATGATGAGGAAGAGGAGGAGGAAGACGAGGACGAAGAGGAGATTGTCGACCCCAAGGAGAAGCTTGAAGAGGGTGAGTGCCTACGAAACCAGCGATCACGATATACCATCAATGTCAGGTGATGGCATGAGTTATATGAGGACGCGCAGCGTTGCTCCTCTGTTATGATTGCGCTCCAGACATTGCTTCGGCCTTACATGAGCAAGGGACTGGATGCCCGACATTGAATGATGGCTGACGACGACTGGTTACAGAATGCAAGGAGTCCAAGCAATGCGCTCCGGCCAAGCACCATTTTGATGAGTGCGTTGAGCGAGTCACCAACGCCGAGGGCGAGGATGGCCCCAAGGAGGATTGTGTCGAAGAGTGTATGTCAAGCAACGTCCCCTATCACTTACTCGGATGCGTTCTGTGGCTTGCGGTCTTGACATTTTGGATTGCCGCTGCGATAACTGCTGAGGAGTTCATCATGAAGTGTTATGGCTAACAAGCATGCTGCAGTCTTCCACCTCGCCCACTGCGCCACCCAATGCGCCGCTCCCAAGCTGTGGTCTCAGCTCAAATAAATCAAGAACACACGATAGGCTCAGCCACGGTATCGATCGACGCAATCCCATGTCGAAGGAGTGCTTCTGGAAAGAAGGAGACTGACTTACGATACGATGCCTGGGGGGCCTTTTTGAAGGCGGTCGATGGGGACCCTTAACCCTGTACGATGTTGTGGTATGGTCTGTAACAGGCGAGGTTCAGAATGGACTGCTGTCTGAAACAGGTCCATGCTCACCTTGTCCCTGTGTATGATAAATTCCTGCATAACCCGAATTAGAATTTTCTCACACAACAACGCATCATCTCGTGAATTTCAGGTTCGCTATTTTTTTATGGCACAAGGAGGATATTGCAGTCACTCTCCAAACGCTCACCGTCTAGACGGAGTACAGTGTTGGACAACCCAATTTGAAACTGAACAAACTCCGTAAATCACATGCGAGACTTGAACGTTTCGGCATCGCTTGAGTTGCTCTGTCTCCAAAAAGCTGAAAGAGGGGTTCATTCAAGCCACAGGTGAAGGTATGTTATCTCTACGAGAGGCCGCGGGCGCCGACATGCCCGCATGATCTCCAAGGCATATCGCCAACCCCTCACTTGGAGCGAGACATGTTAGTCTCTATTGGTTATCTACAGCTGCAACTCAGTAACAGGTGAAAAACGCCATGCGGTAGGCTGTAGATCTCTTTTTGAAGCATTGCCTTGGAATCCATAGTGAAGAGTTGTCGAAAAAGCCCCTTAGATCGGGTCGGTTGCCAGGATGCGCACGGGGGCATGGGTTACACAACTCGGCAGTATGGCCAAAAGGAGACTCGGCGCCTCGCTTGCGCTTCAATAAGTGGTATTCTTAGTAATTTCCCTACACGTTCAAAGCCTTGCAAACCGTCCCATCCTGCCGAATCAACCGTTAGAAGATTCCCTTCAAGAGGATCAGTTCCTTCTGCTTGGTATTGCCTTCATCCAATTGAGCACCTTGTAGAGCAGAATTCCACTGCTGATTTGGCATCTCAAGGTATAACGGTTCCAGTGTATTTAACGAATACGCCCCTTTCGACTCCCCTATTTTTGAATCACAGGAAATGGTCTCGTGCTTCGCAACGCTAAGTGACATGCGAGACGGCACTACAGTAGTGGTAAAAAGTTGAAATCCATGCAGTCAATCAGTTGAATTTACTAGAGTACCTAGGTAGGTGGTTCAGTTCACGAAACGGAATAGCATTGTCGGATGCTGGGTTTGGCCCTGGAGCACATTGCTGAAAGGGGAAGACGGTGCCTCTGTGACCACAGCAAAACGACGGCGCCAGAGTTCAAAGATAACATTAGAGTACCTAGTAGATCCGAGGTTGATGCAGCCGGGCGGCGGCCAGACCCCATGCTCGTCAATGGGCCGTTGCGACCCTCTTCCTCTGGCCATGTCCATTCGAGACGGCCGGCAGCACGCCGGCAGGACAGCCAGGGCGCCTTATCCGTCTGGGGCTGGTCCTTCGCTAATCTTGTCTGTCTTGTTGGTTTCTTCTTGTGTGAACTGCTCCCAACATCCTTCTTTTCTCTCTTGCTTTGCTTCTCCGCGGTCAAAGGTGTCATTTCTACATCTCTTCTACAAACCGAGCGAGACTTTGACTTTCGGGAAGCATTCGAGAGCCGGACTCCTTCGCTCCAGGGGCAATTGACAGGCAATCTCAGCTCGCCCACCCTATCGATCCTGCCCACCAGCGCTAGGCCAGAGGCGGCAATAGCAGACCAGACAGCGCCGGACGCCTGCAGTTTGGCACCAGACAGTGGTGTGGTTCTCAGCGAAACTCTTTTGTTGGCGCGTGTGCGTGCGTGCGTACTATAGTAGAAGGGGCGCCTCCGATTCCCAGCTCGCAGCCACAAGGTGATGGCCGCAGCTGAACACACGGACGGCGACGACTTGGCGCAGCGCCGAAGCAACGAACAGCACCAGGACCAGCACCAGCAGTACGGCTACGACAGGCCGCCCATGGGGTCATCGTCCAGCGATCGAGGCGGCGACGACCTATCGTGGAAGAAGGGCGGCCACGTACGGCTCGGGAGCACCGACCCGGCGCTGAGCCCCACGAAGAGCGACGACACCACCACCATCATGATGAAGCCCGACTCGGTGCGCGATGTCGAGCTCGACGACCGCACCGGCGCCGGTGCCCGCACGCGATCCGCAGACGACTACCCACACTTCGGTGTCGATGCGCTCATCCACGAGGGACGGCCCCGTGCAGACGGCACCGGTGTCACATATAAAGTCTATAAGCGACGGTGGTTTGGTCTCGTGCAGCTCACGTTGCTGAATATCATTGTCAGCTGGGATGTAAGCACTCTGTTTTCCTCCGGTGCCGCCCTTATTCGTCGACTCGGAAGCGCATGTATGATCACCTCACTTTTCCAATCGTGGAAGAGGGTGTGTTTGGGCTAATTGGCAATCCGTTGTTACCGCCGATCGACTGATTGACCTTCTCGCGCGTACCTGACGAGGCTGACCTTTCTGCTTAGTGGTTGACATTTGCGCCTGTTGCGTCGAGCTCTGCCGAGTATTTCAACACGAGCGAGTCCATTGTGAACTGGCTGAGCACAGCCTTCATGTTCTCATTTTGCGCCGCCACTCCAGTAGTCATCTACGTGCTCCATTGGGGTCCTCGCCCGTCAATTGTGACCGCGGCAGTTCTCGTTCTCATCGGTAATTGGGTCCGGTATGGAGGTACTCGTGGGGGCACGAACGGTACCTATGGCGTGGTCATGTTCGGCCAGATCTTGACGGGGCTGGCGCAACCGTTCGTGCTGGCTGCCCCGACGCGATACTCTGATCTGTGGTTCACAAACCGCGGGCGTGTGGCCGCTACGGCTCTTATGAGTCTTGCCAACCCCTTTGGCGCAGCTCTTGGCCAGTTGATTGTCCCCTTCTGGGTAACCAAGGCCAGTGAGGTTCCCAATGGCGTCCTCTATGTTTCCATCATTGTGAGTTATGCCCCTTTGTTGTCTCGTTCTTCTTCACTGGACATACGCTCACACCATGAAAATAGTCCTCTATCTGCGCTATCCCCTCATTTTTTATCCCAGCAAAACCACCAACCCCAGCCGCCCCTTCCAGCGAGACGCCAAAGATGAGCCTCCATGCTTCAGTCAAGGTGCTCACAGGCTCCCTCGAGTTCTGGCTCATCTTCATCCCTTTTGCCGTATACGTCGGCTTCTTCAACTCCATCACCTCTCTCCTTAACCAATTTATGGAGCCTTACGGCTTCAATGACACCGACTCCGGTATCGCAGGTGCGCTCTTGATCGTTGTCGGCCTCGTGGCCTCAGCCATCACATCACCCATCCTCGACCGCACCAAAGCATTCTTGCTCGCAATCAAGATCGCCGTGCCCATCATCGCTATCACCTATCTCATCTTCATCTGGATGCCAGGGACCCGCGACATCGCAGGCCCCTACGTAGTGCTCTCCATTCTCGGCGCTGCCTCATTCGCTCTCGTCCCCGTGGCCGTCGAGTACCTCGTCGAGCTGACCCATCCCGTCAGTCCTGAGGTGACCTCCACGCTGGGCTGGGGCGGCGGACAGCTCCTCGGCGGCATCTTCATCGTCGTCTCAGACGCCCTGCGCTCCGGGGAGGATGCGAACCCGCCCAAGAACATGCACAAGGCGCTCATCTTCCAGGCCGTCGTCGCCCTGGCCATCATGCCGTTGCCGATGTTCCTCGGCTTGTTTGGCAGGAAAGACAAGGTCCGGCTCAGGAGAGTCCGGTCGGATGACCTGGTCCTAGGGCCGGGGGCGGCAGCGGCAGCGTGATAATATGTGCGTGTTCATATATGCGCTGCATGTTTGATAGGATAGGTGGCAGGCCACTCACTCACTCACCCGCCGGTATATATATGACATGTGCTCCATGTGTGGGATATTGAATGCATGGAGGGTATATATATGTACTGCGTTGTATTTTGCGTATAGAGATTACAATTACTTAATTAGCCTTCGCTAAATACCCGAATCGCTCTGGCTCTTTATCTATGTATATATGACCGGTCTTGTCCATGACCATTCATATATGTGCGTGATCGTGTATACCATGATTCGTGTCGGGAGGCGGTGATATGCTGATGTTGTGTCCCCCTTTTTTCAGGCCTCATCAGTGCGCCTTGCCGTTCCTCGCTGCACCACCGCCAACACCCACTCGTGCCTCCCACTCACTGCGCAGCCTCTCCATCTCCTTCCAGCACTCCGCGCCCACCGCCTCGAACTCTTGCCTCCTCTCCTCGGTGAGGTACTTGGCGCCAGACTTGCGGCCCACCATCTTGCGCAGGACGCCCGTTGCCTCGTCGTTCGCGAGGGCGTCCTCGTCTTCCACCTTGCCCTCCCAGCCCCAGCCCTCGACCTCTGTCTTCTTGACGTAGCTGCGTCCCAGGCGGTCCGTGGCCGACCCCCACTTGATGCGCTCGGCGTGCTGCGCGTCCAGCGCCTCCTGCGACGCCAGGGTGAGCCACACCATCGAGACTGCGCCGAGGTAAGCGGTGACGGGGTGCCAGGGCGAGCCGATCCAGCGACTGATGTACATGGCGAGCTTGTACAGGTGGAAGAGGATGAAGTTGAGAGGGAAGATGGTCGTGACAACTACGCCGGGGTGGCTGACGTACGTCCTCGGCTTGATGGGCTGCGCATCCGACTTGTGGTTCTGGAAGAATGCGTCGGAGTACGGCCTGACGCCGGGCAGGTCAGTGGTGAGTGCCAGCACATCGGTCAGGCGCTTTGTGCTCTCGTACGCAGCGGTCGTTCCTAGAGCCTGGAAGTCAGATAGCGAGAGGTGGTCCCAGCACGCCTCGATGCTGCTCTCCCAGATGAGTCGGCCGTGAGGGATGTTGCTCGAGGCCTGGCGGCTCAGAAGTGGAATGAGCTCATGTGCGAAGAGATAATGCCCGAAGATGTTCGCGCAAAAGACCTGGCCCATAGTTGGCGGGTCCTCGGTAGCCTTTGACGGCACTGGGTTCACGAGGTATCCGCCCGTGCCCATCTTGAATATAGGGAAGGTGGTCGCCTGTCTCCAGCCCTTGGTAACGAAGTTATAAGCAAGTCTTGGCCAGTCAAGGCCCGTCCACCCCCCAATGCCGGCATTGAAGATGACAACGTCAAGACGTGGGATTTTGATGTCATGCAGTGCCTCGAAATCGCCGTCATCTGCAGGGCTGCTAATTGTGTCATACAGGAGCTGGTTGGCGGCGTTGTATATCGTTGGCAAATTACATAGGTCCAGCTGCACACTGAGTATATGAACTCTACTAATCGCCTCTCGTGGATTCCTCGACTTCAGCACCTTCGATGTCTTGGCCGCATTTTTGAGGTATTTCTGTAAAGAGATAATTGTCTCCGCAGATTTTGTCGAGCTTCGCGTGGTAGGTATCAGGACAAGGTGGGAGGACGGAGAGCGCGAGGCGAAGAACTCGTCGATGAGGCGCTGGCAGATTCCGAGACCAATACCGCTAGATGATGTTAGAGAACTCTACTAATTGGCACACTTTGAAGAGCCGATTGGCATCGCTCGACATGCGCAATATCGCAATGGGAAGACGCTGTCTACGTACCTATTTGCCCCAGTAACCAGCACGAAGAGACTGTTTTCCGGCGGGACTGCGTCCCATGGCGCTGGTGCCATTTTCAAGAGAATTGCAATGACAAAATCAAAGGATCGACGGTTTCTCAACGGAATATTACGCAAATGAAGTCGGCTGGGGTCAATTTGCAAGCTACCGGTATGCAAAGATAGTCGGTGAAGGCGCAAGTCTAAGTCGAAGAGGCGCAAGTGTCGATCCAATTACTGCCAGCCAGGATCAGTAAAAGCCCGTTCAATTGCGATCCGAGAAATGCGAAATGCAGTAAAATAGTCGCTGGGCGTTTAGCTTAGGGGAACGCAACGCTGGGGCCCGGAACAGGCGATTTATTCATCATGATGGAAAGTTCCGTCGAGGCAACAAAATCGCCCAATCGAGACAAACATCGTCGGCGTGGACCGGCACCGCCTCCCCGGCACCCTATCCACACGTGACGGATCATCAGTCCACGGAGCTCAGCCTAGTCATTGGGTGTCGTACAAGGCGATATCGATATGCCTCAGAGTTATTCGTGCAAACGAAGAAGAATGATGTTTTTTGTTCTGGGAAAGGAGAGCAGACATGTGCAAATGCCGTTGATAAATATGGTCTAGGTGTCGGGCATGTTTCCAAATGGATGGCACAGCTCCAACTGGGGGCCGGCATTGTCAGCAAGCAGCAGACCTGCCTGCCCGTGCCTGGCGATCATACCTAGTTATGCAGTGGGGTTTACCAATCAGCTGGGTACTGAGGGCTGCTAAGCTTCAGCAACCGCCCCGCGCTGGCAGGTCTAGCGCCGTATATAGAACCTATCACCTCAGCATCGTCTGCCTTTTCTGGTAGGTGGTTGCCCTGGGTATCACATGGAAATGGTTGCCTGTGCAAGACAGAACAATGACGCGAACTATACAGCATCGTACTTTTGGCCTGTCAAGACCAAATATTTCCAAATGCAGCTGAAACAGTCTCGGATACTTTAATCAAAAGCTGCATATGTGCCTCAATTGAGCATGTCTGGGAAGGTCTTGATCTTCACGGGGGCTCCAGAGAACGACACCATTGACTGGACCTCTACAACGCTTCTGGCCGACTTCAACCCACAGATTGCTCAGTTCCTTCGATTACCTCATCAGGAAGAGCCTACAATTGCGCCATGTCCAAGCTACGAATCCAGCTTACAGCATGCCGTCTGGCGATCGCTTCCATTGAAGCGGTCTCATGTGCCCACCGGCTTCTCTCAGCAGCATGACATGCAACTTGTCGAGCATTATCCAAGCAGTGCCGACTTCTTGAATACGACGAACGTATCTTTCGAGACATCCTTTGGATCAGAGGAGAGCATTCAAGCACCAGAAGACATCCTCTCCCAATTCTACGAGCACTCACTTGCCGTCTACGATGAGATCCCTTCGTCACAGTTAGTTCCCAGCTCCAACGAAGGTGACACCTCCTTCGCCAGCGACGAATCGTACTCTCGCTATAGCGGTGAGGCCACTACCAGCTTCATCCGGCCTCCTTTGGGTAACCACGGAGGAGAGCATCTCAGCGACCTGGAGGACATCCCCAATGCCGCATACTTGAAAAGCATCGAGCCAGCAACCATGACTGTTAATCTCATCGTAGGCATCATCTCGATCGCAGCTCCCCGTACGGTCAAGACACGATGGGGCTCGACCAAGACGCTCGTTGAAGTTCTGGTCGGCGACGAGACCAAGTCTGGCTTCTCAGTCACCTTCTGGCTGCCCTCCGAATCGGTGGCTCAAAGCGTGCTGGCTGGACTTCGCACACAGGATGTGGTCTTAATGCAGAATGTCGCCTTGAATGTATTCATGAAGAAGGTTTACGGGCATAGTCTTCGCAAGGATATGACAAAAGTGAATTTGCTTTATCGGAAGAAGCTCGATTCGAAAGACATTGCGGGCCACTATTCGACATCTGATATGCAGTCGTCAAAGCGTGCCCATCCCCAACTAGTAAAGACGCAAAAAGTTAGAGAATGGGTCCTTAGGTTTGTCGGAATTGAGAGTGCTCCGCAACAGAAAACTTCACGATTGCGGGCTTGGGACAGGCCGCCAGACGATACTCAGTAAAAAGTTGAGACAACCCTCTGTTTTACAACAGATTAGTCTACTAACATATGACCGGAGCATATGGGCTTTTCCATGTGCCCATTGGGCACAAAAAAAAATTTTTATCAAAAAAAACCTTTGAGGAGCGCGTACGATGTGCTCCCCGAGACCACATATTACCTCCGTAGTCTATCCTAAGTTATTCAAACTTTACTATCAAACATCAATCACCGAGCTCTGCCTCATATTTCACCAAATTTAACTCATGGGAGCTTTCGAAACACCTCTTCCCTGCTTCATAACACTCAAGACAGATATCGAAATCATGCCCGTCGCATATCTCGCACTCATAACGGTCTCTTGGCCCAATAAATAAGGCACAGATGTTACAACAGATTTTAAAATCATCCATATATCTGGTTCCTGCGGCAGGAGTGACATCATCGCTGGTCTCAGATACCCCCTTTTCTTTCATGGCGTCAAGTAGAAGTTGGACTGTCTCATCATCATTGTATCTTCTGGCATACCACAGCGGCGTTCGTCCAAAACAGTCTTGACTGTTGAGCACAGGTTTCCCGCTTGCGAGAAGAAGCTTTGCAGCTTTGACGTTTCCTCGTCTCACTGCGACTGACAATGGCGTGATGCCATGGCAATCCTTTGCATCAGGGTCAACTCTTTGATCCAAGCAAAGTAGTTCCACTACCTCCTCTTCACCTGACCATGCTGCATAGAATATTGGGGTCCGTCCAGCACTGTCTCTGGCAACTAAATCGACATCTTCATGTGCGAGAAGTAATTTGAGTAAAGCTGCATTTCTCTTCCACGCAGCATATATAAGTGCTGAGTTTCCATTCTCGGTCTGTCTCTGGTTGATGTCGGCGCCAAATTCAAGAAGAAGCGACACGCAGTCTACATGGCCTTCATCAGCGGCACTTAAGAGTGGCACCCAACCATTAATGCTTGAAATCGTAAGGTCAGCACCTCTTTCGAGAAGCAACTTGACTATATCAGTATGGCCGTTATCAGCTGCGGTATTGAGTGGTGTCCACCCCATTTTATTTGTAACTGTGATATCAGCCCCCCTTTCAAGGAGGGCCTTGACCACTTCAGTATGCCCTTCAGCAGTTGCACTGAGGAGCGGTGTCCAACCCTTCTTGCTTGCAGCTGTGAAATCAGCACCTTTTTCGAGTAGTAATTTGACTGTTTCGATATGACCTTCATCAGCTGCAATATGGAGTGGTGTCCATCCCGCATTATTGGGAGTTTTAGCATCTGCCCCCTTTTCCAGGAGGAGCCTGACTATTTCAGTATAGCCTTCACAAGCTGCACTATTAAGAGGTGTCAACCCTTTACAGTCTGCAACTGCAACGTCAGCTCCGTTTTCTAGGAGAAGTCTTACTATTTCAGTATGACCCTCAGTCGCTGCAATCCCGATTGGTGTTATGCCAGCATCATCAGATCGTGTGATATCGGCACCTTGTTCAAGGAGCAGTTCAACAATCGAAAGGTGGCCAGCACTCGAAGCAATCCATAACGGCGAGCGGCCAAATTCATCAAGAGATACCACTGCGGTAGTATCCTTCTCGAGTAGCAATCTGACGATATCATGCTGACCACTGTGCGCTGCAGCCCAAGTTGGGGACCGTTTATAGCAATCAGTGACGGCTACATCGGCGCCTCGGTTCAGTAATATTTGTACCACCGCCAAATGTCCCTTCCAGGCTGCAGCCCATAATGGCGTCCATAAACATTCGTTTGTGTCCTCTAAATCAGCCCCCTGGTCAAGAAGTAATTCGACAACATCGAGAAAGCCGTTTTTGGAAGCTAACAACAATGGAGTGCCACAAAGCCCGCTGGCGTTTATGCAAGCTCCTTCCTTAAGAAGGAGCTTTACTACTTCATAGTGGCCATATTCTGAGGAGCAGTGAAGAGCTCTCCTTCCATTTGCGATGAAAGTTGTTTCTATTCCTGCCCCATGGTCCAAGAGCAGCTTAACAATTTCAGGATGGCCACGCTCTGAGGCTGTGATCAGTGGTGTACGTCCTGTCTCGGAGGCAACCTTCACGACATCAGCGTTGTCGAGAAGCAACCGAACCATGTCATAGTGGCCAACTGAACAGGCTTTCCAAAGAGGCGTCTGGCCATAGTGATCACGGGCTGTCACATCCGCTCCATGTGTGATGAGAAGCTCTGCTATTCTCATAGAACCCCTAAGCGCTGCGACGTGAAGTGGAGTAATCTTGAGGTCGTCATGAGAATTCACATCGCAGATGTGTTCATTTACCAGATATTGAGCTATGGCTAGATGACCAAGTAGCACGATGTACAGTAGCTGGTCGGCCGTTGAGGGTCTGGAAGGGTCGATTTTCCGTCTGTTGATGTCGAACCACCTTGCCCATGAACGCCAGTTCTCGGTCCTTGATTGACTGTTTGGGTGGAGAAATGACCACAACAAATCGACGAGTCTGTTGGTGGAGTTCGAACCCAGCAATCGAAGATGTTGATGCCAGAAATCGGCAGCGTAATCTTTGAAACGGTACGCGATCTCGTCGTTTTTTGAGTGAGGCACTTCTACCCAAACTCTGTCGGTATTAATGTAGTTTAGGCAAGTTTGGGCCAATATGTCATGGTGATATCCCAGATTTGACTCAGAGAGTCGTCCGTTAACAAGAAGCCCATAAAATGGTAAATTGTGCAAGATATGTTGGCGGGCTGAAAAATGGATGGGTTGTAATATCATTGATGCTAGTGGCTGATCCGTCTCTGTTTGTCTGAGCTCTACAAGAGATCCACAGAGGTCGAGAATTTCTTCATCGACATATACTTGGTCGATTACGTCTGGGAAATTGTCCAATGAAATTTCACCATCATCCTCGACACAGAGTGCTTCAGTCAGCTCTTCGATTGTAAGCGGTCTTAAAGCAAAAGTAGTCCAACGCAATATCGAGAATGCGCGAGTTCGATCGTCTTCGGGCAGTTTGCAAATCTTGTCCCAGTTCCTATCGTAAAGGCGATCAAGAGCAGTCGGGGTGCCGCTGACAATCTTCTGGAGGGACCTCTCACTCTTGCCACCACGTAATTCGTCTCCCAACATCTTCACCCAAATGAACATTCCATGGCATCGGAAGGCAATCTGGTCAGACAAATCGTCACGGAACACTCCGCTTTTATTACCCAACTTGCTGTTCACGACATTCTTAGAGAATGAAGTGATGTCAGCTTTCACGTCGTCAGTTGTTATCTTGTACTCGTGTGGTGTAACCATGACTCCGACGATTGGTGAGTAAAATCCACGTCGAATTTCAGCTTCGTCCCGACTAACAACAAGGAGTCTTGTAGGAGTGTGGGCGATCGACTGCCTGATTGCTTTCAACAATGACGCCGGCGAGGTATCTCGATCCATGTCAGCTCCTTCTGATACCCACGCACACTCGTCAAGGCCATCAACAACAAATGTACAGTTTGGTATGGATTCTGCAATAGCCTGGAAGAGGGCCAAGATTTCCTTCCGTGTTGCTGACTGAGACGTGGTTACGCTCGCATCCAGCTCTCCGTATGCCAGATTGCGCGCTTCTTGGCTCTGTGATGCAATCTGAGCTATCCAGGACCGTATAACAACGTATGGATCTTCGCGGCTCTTGCTTTCAGAGGACATGAAGTAATATGCAATTGACCGAGACTCCGTCGATAAATATTCAACAAGGCTGGCGCACAGGATCGTCTTGCCTGATCCCGGCATTCCGTTTATCCACAGCATCTTGGCTGTATTGCCAGGGAAATCGGCGGAAGTCCAATTGCAAAAGTCGTCCCTGCCCAAGATCCAGTCACAGGTTCCAGTAAGTCTTCTTCGAACAAAGTTATCGTATAGATCAGTAGTCCATGATGCATCCAACCACTGATCTAGCTGCCTTCGCTTTTGTTCTGCCTTCCAATCAGTGAATATTCAAAAGTATGGAATCTTGCTTACCCTCAATCTGGCTCACTACCTCGGCCAGCACTCGCTCAATATCTGAGAAGCAAAAGGCTTTGTTTTGGAGATCAACTATGAGATAGTTAATATGTCTTAAGAAATACTCTTTGAAATTAATTTGCACGTGCTGTAAAGTTCCTGTTCTGCTTTGCTGCTCGAATTGAAGCCATCGCCTCCATGCAGTGGTACTAAGCTGTGGAGAGTTTGGACAAGAGTCCCAAATTGCTGCACACGCGCAAGAAATGTCGCTTTTCCCTTGATAGCCCATCTCAATTTTCCCGTTTTTGATGTAGTTTGGGAATGTTGTTGTTCTTCCCACCCGCCAAGGAGTGACTTGTTCTGAGTTGACGCTCCGTGAGGTGAGCGCATTTCAGGGAATGTCGTTTCAGTCTTGTCAAAGACCGCCTGGATGCTCAAGAGAATCTTCTTGACAACTGTGGCAGTCTCCTCGTCGTCGAGAGCGCTGTGATGATTTGTCTGTAACTCGCCGTTGCGAATGCCCACCTGTCTACCCCATTGGGTGAACATGAGTCTGAAGGCCTCATACTGAGTGAACAGAGCCTGCGAGTCAGCTCCGAAATCCTTGAACGCCTCTATCTTGTCAATCACATCAAGACAAGTACTAAACAGATCGGCTAGGCCCACGACACCGACCGCCAAGCCGATGGGTTCCATATCTCGGGTGTAGCGTAAATGCCGGAAACAAAAAAGTGATGATCGAGAAAGATGGATCTAACATTTTCAACATATGGTGACAAAATGGGCGATGCCAACATGTTGCGGTACTGAAGGCCGATCCATCATAACTACCTGTAGGTAGACAACTGCACTGCCACGTCGGTGTAACCCACCAAGATGTAGGCGCCACATGTACGTTGTGCTTATATAACTACAATCTAATCCGAATACAATAGGATTCGTTTTCATTACTTGGGGATTATATAGTGCGGAGGCGACAATAAAGATTGGGCTAGATTTGATGTTTTCCCCAGATTCTCCCTCTATACCGATGCCCGATTGAATGCGGTCGAGACACTATAGATAGCCTCTTCACCTGACAATGCAGAGGAACAGTCATATACAAACCGAGACTTGATACCTACTGCCTTTCTGGGTGACATTAATCGGCATGATATAGTTGAGGACTCTCAAATTCGGTCCTAAATCTCAATTGCATGGCGTTCTCTGATATACTGGACTAATATACCTACCACCAACTTCAGCAATCTTAAGGCCTGTCTCCTCAAATATAACCTGAGAGAGCTCTAACCTTCTTAGCCATCAACAACGAGCTGTTCGAGGTTTAGAGTTGCTCATTGGTCATGTCGAAAAAGCAAAAGAAGATGCAGCTTATGCAGTATCTAAAATCTATGTATTCCTGTGTATCACATAGTAAATATCTGCTACACTACTCCATGTTCACGCGCAAAGGCAACCCTAGCCATTCTCTTTCTAGTGCACAAATATTACCTTAGTTACTCCTCCTTTGACCAGTTCGGCTCATATAGAACATCCGTACCCTGCGACATTCTGTGGCCATCTATCTACAATATTTGGGTAACGAGATGTGTGCATCAGATGCCGAACATGCCTGTGCGAGAGCCAATTCATACTGCTTAATTCCGTAAAGCATGGAGACAACGGAGAAGGGGAGACTTAGAATTGTCAGAATCCCCACAGCCGTTGCGACCCAGAACGTCAAGAATGGCAACAAATTTCTCCCGCTCTTCTCCAACGCCAGTTGCTTCAAACCTCTCGGTTCTTCATTCATGATTTCCATGAGTTTCGCCATTCGATCCCTCCAGAAGTTGAATCTCCCCAGATCAAGAGACTCATCTCTTGGTCTCGAGCAATATCCTAGTCCATAAAAGACCTTCTCATTCCATTCCAGCAAGTCTTTGGTAGGTGTGTCCGCGAGAGGAAATAGAACATTCAGGCTATCGATGGCTTCTTCGAGAATGAATGAAGGGATTATAGAGTGTGTTGGATTCCGTAAATGATTCCAGAGGAAGATCTTGTGTTCATAGACAGTAACAATCCGTGACTTCCAGTCGACAGACAAGTGTTCCGCAAGATTAGATGTCCACAAGACTCTCACTCCTCTTTCATTACAGAGGTAGGCCATGGACATGGCAGGATCGATTCTGCCCGTCTTCATGTCGGTCGTGACGCTCCCATGATCAGTGAAGAATGAGCGAATTGACTGAGCAAGGGATGAAGTATCATCCCACTGGACAGTTGTCGGTGAAGGAGAGCGTTTAAGTCCATTCTTCCCAAAAGACGATTGTATGTCCAACGTCAGCACCATGCGCAGCGCAACGTCTACGCAGTTTGAAACAATATCGTCCAGTACTGGGTTACGGAATAGATTCAACCTCTTGAGGATTGCCAACGCGCTTTTCCTCGACGTGAGGGCATCCGGCTCAACTGCGAGTTGTTGAATGGCAGAGATGATATCCTTGCCACTGATGGCACCAAATGAATTTGGTCGACTTGCAATTGATGCAGCCTGAAACTTGCAGAACTGCTTGAACCCTACGTAATTCTTATTCTGAAATTCATTGGTATGTAGGTGTGGCCATATTATCTGACACAGCTTTGCAAAGCTGTCTTCGTCCATTGCATATATGCTGATTGGGTGCCCCAGAGACGAGAGATACCAAGAAATATGTATCTAATTGTCGCGATTTGAAATGGACAAGGTGAAGCGCACATAGGCAGTATTTGGGACGTGTAAGCTGCCTGGGTTTTTTCAACATCAACTCCAACCCATTGTCATTGTAATCGTAGATCTAGACTTCCCTAAGCGCCCTGGGAGAAAGGCTACGAGTTTCGCTTGAAGTACATTGGGGTGCGCCAGCTTTGCGAGCCTGAGAAGTGCGCATTCCGCCTTGACCAGGCATGAGGCAGCCAGCTGGGCTGCCTCATCCGTTTCAGCTTGGGCAATGCCATGGCAGCCACCGCCATCGTAGCCCAATCGTATGCCCGCGGCGCCTGATCTATTGAACTTTCCAAGCTGTTGAGGGGCATCTTCTTTATGTGGCTGCAATTGTAATTGCGAGCCCTTATGCGCGACTATATGGCCGAAAAGCAGTTCCTTCGCGTTCCGCACTGTGGTATTTTTCGTTGTTTCCCATACTCGTTGTTTGAAAAGTACGTTTAATTGAGAAGGTCGCTATTCTTGTCGGTCACTTTCATTGAGTTACAAGATAATGCTCTGATGATCATCTTTCCAAGACACAGCCCAGCAGATAATGAGCAACTCATGCTGAGCCAGTTGAGAAGGGCCATTGGTCTCGGACGGGGGGGATTCCCGTCTGTCCCTACGCATTTGCCTGGTCAAGAGCCATTTCAAGATCACCAAGATCATATCGACTCCAATCATGCTCCCGCAAGTCCCAGCAGACCCCAGGACCTTCGATCCGCGGGTGATTCAAATGCACAAGATGTCGAAGCCACAAATACAGACGTCAACCAGGATTCCGGTAACCCATGCGGCACAAATGCAACCCGAGTCGTATCGTCCGTCAGCGACGATGGCCTCACCGCAGATATGCCTGCTTCTCTCCAATCGACAATCCCATCGTCTATCGGTAGCAGAGTAACGGACCTCGCCGTATATAATACACAGAGTACGGCGACGTCGACCAGTGGACCCTCACCTATTCATGAGGTGGCTCGTCGGACAGATTCAGCTGATGTCGAACTTTTCAAACGGATTAAAGCACAGTGCTTATACATGTCAAAGGAGAGCGCCATCCGTGTTCCGAAAGAGCACGAAGAGAAATGGGAGAATGAGGATTTTGGTCGACTCAAAGCTGATCTTAAAGAAGCGATGATGCTAATTTATCGCAAAGGCGTGCGCAACCAAGCCAAGAGACTGAAGGATACCCAGAAAGTTCAACCAAGGGTCAAGGAGCATGACATCTTTTTCGAACTTCGTATGTCAGGCCGATCTCCTCGTGGAGCAGAACAGGTTACCCTCAGTCCCTGCATATGGATTCTGTGTGGTAGCAGCTGGGCCTGCAGAGCCATGACCAACGCAATGAATGGCATCACATGGCCCGAGCTACCTGTTGAGATCCATGAAGGCCGCTCGACTCAATCCATCCCGGTGCTATCATCCACACAAGACGTGATTGATATCACAAAGCTAGATCTTACAAATGGGATTGAACTAGCCGAAGAGTTGATGCTTTTCATCAATGTTGAGGATCCTGTCGAGTCTTCCTCTGCGTGCGGTCTCCTTTGCTGTGCTACTATCAAGCATGGCAATACCTTCTCGCATGAATTTAGCCGCATTGGAGGTCTTGTAACAACGGACGCTCAATCCTCAATATTCGGCATATCTACGGCCCATGGAATATTGAACAATGAATGGTGGCAGCAGACAAGGGCCACCCGGACACTATCGAGCCCTATCTCTTCCACTACAACTCATGTCGGAGATCTCGAGGGTGATGGACCTGACGATAAAATCTTCAACGGGACATACGAAGACCCAGATGATGAGGATGATGATACCGCATATGAAGAAAGTCAAAATGCCGGTGATAAAATAGCGCTCGATGACTATCCGCCCGATAAACGCCTTGGTTTTCGGGATCCTGGTCACGTTTCACGTTGGAGAAATGTTACGAGGAAGGGAAGATTCAACTTCTTGCGAGATTCTTTGTCAACGATGAGCGAACTAGAGCACATTATTCGACAGTCTGATTCATCTGCGCCCACTGATCATGCCATTATAGATTTAAGCAACAGCGGTGGTAAAGATGCTCCAAAGTTGTCGAACAGCTACCAGTTACCAGAAGCTCAGGCACATCAATCCCAAACTGTTCATCTACAAGATCTAGCAAAGAACCGCAACCTAGAAACAGCTTCTGTCAGTATCCTCTGCACGGTTTGCAGTGCCCAGGAAGGCGAGCTACTCCCCGGCCCAACCTGCCTAAGTGTTGACGGACAACTGTTCACATTGCGCAAGATAAAAACACGTGCACCGTTGGGTATGTCATGAACCATTTAGGCCGAATGGGCTCCATAGTGACTTTTTTTAGCTCTCGGGACTTCAGGATCGTGGGTCGTCCGAGGAACTGCTGTTTACGGCATGATTCTTGCGGTTTCTCCTGTCGAGCCTTACGCTTTCATGATAACAGCCGAACAGCTTGTCTCAGATATCAAGACGCAGTGGCCAACAATCGCCCTAGTTGATTTAATTAGACCTACCAAGGTCGGCGATGACCAACTTCTGATAGGTCCCAAACCGGACTTTGCGACCACAGCAAATGTGGCTTCCAAAGCGACTTCCCCGGCTGCCACGAACTCATTAATAGGAGAGACCATGAACCAGCCTTCCTTGCAAACAGGGCTTCCAACGTTGCTCGAAGATATTTCAACTCTTGCCGGCACTTCTTCAGCTGGTTTCCAAGGCTCTCCATTAAGTAATCGGCACTCGAAACCCCTTGTCACGGGTGTCCATGCACAAGCAGCATCGCCACCTAACTCATCACGACGATACCGTGCCATCTTTGAGCGCTTTCCGCCCCGAAACCCACCTTTTACCTCAACCAGAACCAGTCCACTAGCAAGTCCATCACTAGACTCGCAATGGCCGCATGAAACCCGTCCAGCGAGATCCGTTGAGCTTCGGTAAGATCGTCCTGCCCCAATCTTCATAGCGGCTAGAAAATTGACTCGTACTAGTCGACAACTACGGAGCTACCAGATATTCGTAAGTCTCTTTTATGGATCTTCTCTGCGAGTATAGCCTACTAAGGAGTTCCCTAGTTCATTGTGTTTAGCTGTGTCATTGGCACCGGCGTGTACACCACTAATAGTCAGGCTCTGGAGCTTGCAGGGCCTCTAGGTCTGCTTGTTGCGGTACTACTCTTTGGTGTTATTGCAATCGCGGTTTTTGAGACGATGGGAGAGTTCGCGCAGATATTTCCTGTACCAAATGCCTTCGTTTCCTATATCCGAGCTTTTGTCGATGAGGACTTGGCCTGGATAGTTGGAATATCATACTGGTATGATGAGTATCTCTGACAAGCGTTGCAGAATCGTCAAGTGCTAATGAACTTCGCAGGTTTGCGTATTCCACGGCGGTTTCTATTGAATTAATGTTTGTATTTGAGCTGCTACAGTACTGGAACCTCACTTCGTCTCAAGCGGCATTCATCCTGCTGGCGGGTTTTGCAATAGTGATAGTCATCAACTTGTTCAACATCAGTGTAAGTGATCCATCGAGACTGTGCGACAAGCAGATGATTAACTTTCCTAGGTGTTCGGAATGGTTCAAAGTATCATCGGTGTTCTCAAGATGGCCTTATGTCTCGGTGTGGCCGCTGCACTCTTCACTGTAGTCGCAAAAGGTAAGCATCCTCCTATACTTACCGTGAATATATATTCTTCATTCTTCACGGCTTGTTACTTTGATATTAACTCCTCGGCAGAAAACACAGCTGGAAGTAAGTGGTCGACACTCACCTATGACCGAATACCGCTAAACATCTGTAGATCTTGGTGATGGCTTCACCAACAATGCCCAATTTGCTTCAAGTCCTATCAGAGCTTTCTGGTACGAAAGGATAAATTCTAAGTGCGCATACTTGTGTTTAGCTAATCACAAATATAGTTATGCTTTTCCTATGGTAGGATTCAGTTACATGGGGGTCGAGAGCATAGCAGTCACTTTACCTGAAGCGAGAGATGTCAAATCCGTCATGAAGGCTCAACCATTTCACTGGGTAACATCAGCACTCTATCTCCTCGTCAGCTTGGGAGTTACCCTCGTCGTCTCTTGGAATGATCCCGGACTACTTTCGATCTATGACCAGCCAATCATCACTCGCGACGTCGACAATATCTCGCTTCTGACCAGAAGCGTGCCAGCTTCTATCAGTGCTGCCGTTCTTGGTATATCTGGGCTTAATACTGATCTCACAGGATTCGTCAACGGGGGTATCATCTTCAGCGCGATTGGGGCCGCAAGCACCAACTTGTATATTGCTAGTCGAACGCTTCATGGACTAGCAAACAGCCTCCATGGTAACAACTCGTTCAGTAGACCGTTTCGCAAATTCATTGGCCGAGTACAACCGGGGACGAGCGTGCCGCTCAGAGCTGTCATTGTCAGCGCCATAGCCTTCTGCTGGTTGCCATTCCTCGACTTCGGCAGCGAGACATCGACGTCCAATAGAGTAAGTTATCTAGATCCGAAATAGCCTTTGTTGCTGAAAATCGTGCTAACTTTGGTTGTAGATTCAAACAATCTTCATGACATTTGCCGAAGTCTCTGTGATAATGGTTTGGGCATTCACATGCGTGGCCTTTATCCGTTACTACATGTGGTACGTCTCTTAGCCAATGCCTGGGAACGCTTGTTCACATCCTACCTTATAGGACGAAATCCTGTGCTGAAGATCTCAATCACCGGGGATTAGAGCACTATAGCCGGGCTTCAAAAAATGCTTCCCGGAAGCAACTAGATTTGCGCAGAGGACTGTCCGCAACGATCGCCAGGTTCCAACCGCTGGTAGCGTGGATAGGGCTTGCAGGCTGTGTGTTCACCCTGGTGTCTATGTCTGCATCTTGGTGGGACACTCCTGCATCTGCGACAAAGGTGATTTCTGCGTATGGTGTTGTATGTGTTGCTCCAATCCCTTGCCACACTAAAATCAAGTCTCGCTGACGCATTGGTACCAGGTCATCATATTTTTCTGCGTCTGGATCACGTTGAAGTTATGGAAGCGCAAATGGCACCGAAGCGGCTGGTGGATCTCTACAACTGCAGAGCCTCGCGTGGAATACTTGATCAAGAGCCTACAATATCTGGAGGCTCTGTCGAATGGAGACGCGGTTGATGTGCAACGGCAAACTCTTTACACGACAGAGTTCGTTCATGAAATGTCTCAGATATCTCTCAGGGAGTAAAGCAAAATGTTTTGTTCACATTCACAATGTCAGAACTGAGTATGTGTATAGAAGTCTCTCGAGAGGCTTGCTGATACATATTTGAAAGAAGGTACTCTTCTGAAAATGTCTATAGAATTGCCATTGGCAGGACATTTTCCAAATCAACATTAGGAAATTATGCCCAAGCAATGTGCCATATATTATATTATAGGGGTGGCCGTGTTGCTCTTGCACTAGATATAAAAATGTTTAGAAAAGTTGTGCACTGCCCTAGGATACCAGTAGCATCGTCTTTCGCTTGTGAAACGGAGAGTTTTTCCTGAATGAATGAGCATGCACGCGGCATATGTATCGGTAGTGCATCGGCGTGTGTTAAATTTTGAAGAAGAATCCGCATACCGTTGTAGGATACAGTACTTCCAGTTAGTTACCTCACTTTGCCCTCCCTTCTCTGCCGCCATTGTGTTTACTTCCATCAGCATTGTTCTTCAATCAATCTCTGATTGAGATGACCGTCATGTAAAGCTGAGTGCGTCTACGACGAAAGCCTCCTGCAGGATGCAGACCACGTGTTTTACGGAGCAATTGGTCACACAAAGTGATAAAGCTCCGGGTTCCGTCCTCCGTGACACGGCGGTATCCACCGACCGGAAGGGCCTGTGGACCCATCCGGTTCCAACAGAAGTCGAAAACATTAGCAAAAGTTGCGGTTAACAGATACGAGTGGAATTGCCAGGCAATATGCTAGAATGAGATAACAAAAAAAAAAATAAGAAAAAAATTCACGCAATACTTCATTTGACGGCACGCTGTCTACATCTCTTGAGTTTGGAGGATTATATAACAACAAGGGCGTTTGAAGGTCGAAAACGTCGATAATGTCACCCACTTGCCGGATCTTAGACCCCACCCCCATCATGCGAATCCACTTCGTTACCGCGAAGACTGAACTCCTCTTCATATAAAAGGACGGGTAATCATGACTCTTCTCGCCGATATAAACATACGACAATCAAAGGATCTTCGTGTGTTGAGGCCATTACAGTACCATCTCGGACATCATGCCGTTCCGAGGGCCGAGTTGAGGCGCTCTCGGCAGTCGACAAAAGGTTGCCCCGATCATGACGCCTCGATGTCTATTAGACGAGATCGACCAATAAGAGTCGCCGCCCACGGCCTTGTTCTCGACTCCCTTGTCTCGGGCTGGGATATTAGGATTTTTCAAAGAGCACTTCGGGCACCGCACGAAACACGATACCTACCGTGTGCCGACGCAAATTGAGACGCGGCAACCATTTTGGCTGATCTTGAGTACGTGGTCTCTCACGACATTGTACACGAAAGCATCCTGTTGCGCCGTGTATTACGTGCTTGGTTGGGCCGGTGGCTTGCTGGGAGACTACTGCTATTTGATCCCAGCACATATCACCCGCCCAAGCGCGCCTTGTCGGGCTGAGCGTGGCTGAATAGTCTCAAGAGCAAATTTGCACCCCAAATCAATTAAGGGCAACCTTTGAAATCAAGTTAGAAGGAAAAGTCAGGAATAAACGCTCGTGGTCATTTGCGCCAAGGGCCCCAAAGAGCTTCTAGAGAAATCAAGCTGTCAAGCAGCATGACCGCAACTACAGAAGCAGAGGACGTAAAGACTCCTCCCGCTCAGGCAGGGGACCTTACTGATTCAGAAAAGACCATCGTGGCAGAAAAGGAGGCTGCCGGACCAACAACCCCTGGAGTTGATCCCGATGCCGAATATCCCAAAGGACTGAAGCTATTCCTCATCATCGGCGCCCTCCTGCTGTCTGTGTTCCTCGTCGCCTTGGACCAGACCATCATCGCTCCTGCGCTGGGAGCCATCACCGATGACTACAAGACCGTCAAAGACATTGGGTGGTATGGAGCCTCGTACATGTTGACTACGACGGCTCTGCAGCCGACGTTCGGCACCATCTACCGGCTGTTCAGCGTCAAGTTTACTTTTCTCACAGCTGTGGCAATCTTTGAACTTGGTAGTCTGATCACTGCTGTTGCTCCAACATCAACGGCCTTCATCATCGGCAGAGCTATTGCGGGACTTGGTACGGCAGGTCTTTTCTCAGGATGTGTCGTCATCTTGTCTTACACGCTCCCCCTAAGGCAACGTCCCATGGCCTTTGGAATGATTGGAGGTGTATGGGGTGTGGCTGGTGTTGCTGGCCCTCTGCTGGGAGGTGCTTTTACTGAGCACGCTACGTGGAGATGGTGTTTTTATATTAGTAAGTCGATGAGTCCGGTTATTCGGACTGATACTGAGCTGACATATCGTAGATCTGCCTATAGGTGGAGCAGCCATGGTCGCCATCTTGCTATTCCTGCACATCAAGAGCAATAAGACGCACCAGGGTACCATCCTAGAACGAATCAAGGAGCTCGATCTTCTTGGAACAGCCATTCTCATCCCGGCAATCGTCTGCCTTATTCTAGCCTTGCAATGGGGAGGGGCTGAGTACCCCTGGAAGAGTGCCAAAATCATTGGTTTGTTTGTAGGTTTTGGAGGGATGGCGATCGTTTTTATTGCCATCCAGTTGTGGAAGGGCGACAAGGCAACATTGCCCCCGAGGTTCTTCACCAACAGGAATGTCCTGTGCGCTATGCTCTTTGCCATGTTCTTTGGTGCTGCATTCTTCCCCCTGATTTACTATTGTGAGTTGTTCTCAGGTTGATAATACACCCTTTCGATGAATAATCTTACTGATCGTGCCGATAGATGCGCTATATTTCCAGGCCGTTCACGGTGACAGTGCTGTGGAGGCTGGTATCAAGCTCCTGCCGCTTCTCATTTCAACTGTTTTGATGTCAGTCGTTACCGGCGGTCTGATTACTACCGTGGGATATTATAATCCCTTTGTCATACCCAGTATGGTGCTCTTCACTGTTGGGGCGGGGATGCTCACAACTCTGGGTCTTCATCCTCCGTTGCGAGAGTGGTTCGGCTACCAAGTGTTGACAGGTGAGTTTCCCTGCTACTCTCGTCTTTCCATCTTCAATCACTGACATATCCAGGTCTTGGAATCGGAGTTGGCTTCCAAGTAGGCGTCCTCGTCGTGCAAGCCGTTCTTCCCCACGAGGACATCCCCGTCGCCTCCGCCTGCATCCAATTCTTCCAGTCCCTCGGCGGGGCGATTTTCATTGCCGTATCGCAGACGGTCTTCCAGAACGGACTGATCGACGGCATATCGCGGGACGCACCAGGCCTGGATGCGCAGATATTCATCAACTCGGGCGCATCGCAGGTCCGCGGCATCCTCAAGTCGATGCACATGGAGCAGTACACCACCGCCGTGCTCAATGCCTACTGGCAGGGCTTGCGCCATTCGTTTTTCATCACTGTGGGATGTGCCGCTGCGGCGTTTCTGGCGTGTCTGGGCCTGAGCTGGATCAATATTAAGCAGAAGCAGGGCGGAGAGGCTAATTCAGGGGCTGAGGAGAAGCCGGCAGCAATCGCTGTGTGAAGAAGGGATGAGTTGTGTACGATAGCAACTTGACTTGTGTCACATCTTGGAATAAGATGATCATTAGATGAGCCTCCATTCATAGATAGCTATGTTCACCAGATCTGAATGTTATCACGTATCTGCCCCAAGTTCCAAGATCCATGCAGATAAGCATATTTATCACACTTCACTTCCTATCAGCTTATGCAGGCGCCATCCCGCAATTCTACATCAGCACCATATCACCTAGACACGACACAATAATGTGGTAACATTTCTATTGAGCAAACGAATTCTATAATCTACCAACTTAGCAAGCCTTTCGATCTATCAAAGCCTCCTCTAAGCTGCGTCTCCGGCTTGATCAGCTTGCCCTGCAGGAGCGTGTACTTGACAATGCCCTCAATGTCCTCGGGCTTCACCCTCGCCAGCCACATGCACTGCGCGGCGCCCACGTCGTCGGCGCTGCCCTCGGCGACGTCGTGCGTGGGGTCCGCGCGCCTCGGCAGCGGCGCCGCCTCGCCGGGGCCCAGCTTGGCGCGCTCCACGCCGTCGAGCCCGAACGCGTCCGGCCGCCGGTAGATCATCATGTTGGCCGAGTACTTGTGCCCGCCGACGTGCGAGATGAAGTAGATGCCCACGCCGCCGGGCCGCTCGTCGTCCAGGTCGCGGTACAGGCCCAGCGGCCGCAGGTGCCGCTCCAGCTCCTTGCGCAGCAGCGGCGCCGACTGGCCGCAGCGGGCGTCGCGCGTCTTCTGCGAGCACAGCAGGATGAGCGCGCGGTGCGGGCAGGGGCGGCTCAGGAGCGGCTCGATCCTGGCTGCGGGCTCGGGCACGTCGGGTGCGCGCAGGCTCTTGGGCAGGGCGATGTGGTCGAGGGGCGAGGCGTTGGTGGGCGCGTGGTTGATGTATTCTGATATGAGCGTGGGCACGGTGGCCGGCGTGACGTTCTCAATGATAGTAAAGGCAGGGAGGAGCAGGACGGTCGTAGGCTCGGCGTAGTCGCTTGTGCCATGTGGTGTTGGGATGTTGGAGGCGGAGAGCATGAGTTTCTAGAGTCGTGGATGGTCAGCAAGTCTGTTTCTCCGGTCCCGATGACTCCTCAAGACACCAGACGGCGCATTGAGTCCCTGCATGAGATTCTTATGCCAGACCGTCACTCAAGACACAAACTCACCCCATTGCTCGGCTTGTCCGCCTTCTCGATAGCCTGCATCACGCTCCCCTTCTCGTCGGCGACATCGCGCACCCAGTCCGCCTTGCCCGTCGCCACGAGGATGTGCGTGCTCCAGCCCTTGACGTGGCCATACAGCACGTCCGCCTCGTCAATCTTGAACTTCTTGGGGTAGTGCACGACGCAGCTGTCGCAGTCGCGCAGGCAGTCCTCGCCGTCGACCGCGGGGTCGACCTTTGCGAAGAGCTGCTCGAGGCTCGCGGGCTGGTGCCCCTCGCCATTCCCGTCGTCGTCTCCGCCGCCGAGCGCGAGCTTCCGCGCCCCGTCCAGTAGTGACTTGAAGCTCATCGGGATCCTCTGCTTCAAGGGCATGCCATGGCCGGCGACGTCTTGACTGCCAGCAGCAGGAACCGGCCCGCTGCTGCCCCGCCGAGGCGCCATTGCAGCCCCTTCTTATGGGAACGCAGCTGGGGAGCGGACGGGACCCAGTAATTTTTTTTGCCCCAGAAAGGCGAAATGCGTAGTGCGTTTGACGTCGAAGACGGCTTCGGAGCTCGGCGATGCAGGGGACTTTGCAGCGGCCTACAGAGGGCCTACGGCCTCTCTAATCGGCAAGTGGGTGGGTGTAGGTGGGGTAGGATTTGGGCGCTGAGCGCGTGTAAGCTCAGTTCTCCGAATCGTGATAAGTGGTAGACGATCAGGCTAGGCACTTAGAAACTGCCATCAACTAGGGGAAAGAGATAGCAAAAGTGGTCGAGAAAGTGGATTTGGGCAGCTTCTCGTGTCTGGGGAATAGGGGCGAGGGTATTATCAAATTCGAGGAAATCAAAACGACTGCCATTGGCGCCGCCAGGCTGCGGCACGCTGCTTGACGACGACGCCTGTTGCTCTTATATACGTATTATCTCCTTGACTTCGGCTCCGCCCCCTGAAAATGCCTTTTTCACCGACCTTCTCTCGGTCTAAAGAACGAATATAGCGAGCAACGAGGATGGCCCGCGCGGGCTGCAGTCTGCGGCGGCGGGCGCTGCCTCGCTGATCTCCGCCGTAAGAAATGATCATACTGTCAAGCAGGACACTGCATGCAAGTGACCGTGTGGTGCACTATCAAGCGTAGGTAGCCAGGTAGCCAACCGCCAGCCCGCTAATGTGATCCTCTGGCGTCTCTGCGCTTCGTAACCCCGAGCCTAGTGCCGGGCGAAAGCTTGAGTCGAGGCCGTCAGGGGTCTCAACAAGGGGATGATGTATGTACTGTACTGTACTGTACACCAACTACAGGTCAGGGGTTACGTGTACTGCGACTGTCCATATCTCGTTTTAAGAGCGACTGTATCACTCTGACAGGCAAGTGAGCATGTGAGATACGACATGATGGCCAAATGCATGCATGTATTGTACTTGTATATGGGTAGAACGACACTCAAGATCGTTCAGAGAAGGTAGTGGTTTGCGAGGTGGCCGGTGGGGCGGCTCTGAGTAAGTCGAGTCTGTCAGTCACCCTCCATCACCAGGGAGAGGCTCGACAAGGTGGGGGAACAAGGTTATCAGATCAAGCACGCCGTGAGGCCTGCTCGCCTCCTTCGGGACAGGCGTTTCGGACTTTATGCAGTCGAGCGATTCGCAAGCACTGCCGCTCGCTAATGGCTGCATCCCGAATGCATGTCTACGAGTCCATTACGAATCACGTACAAAAAACGACAAGCCAGACATCAAGGACCACTCAACTGCCAAGGCAAGGTCTGCCTTGCCGCATATCAGAATGGCAACCCGTGGGTAATGCTTTTTCTATTCCGTACTCGACACATCTATGCTGATGTAAAAGGCTGCGACGGCAATAGACGTTTCTCTCGCCCATCGACTGACTGCCCTCGACATGGGAAATGCCTCTCAGCCATATGCTGTCGGTCTGCACAAAGTTCCCTAAAAGCATGCGTTAGGCAAGCTTGCAGTGGCCCCCTCTCTGGAGAGGGAGACAAGAACAAATAAGGTGGGTAGCATCAATGGTCCCTTCGCAACCGCAGAAAATGCTTCCAATGCTTCCTCAAAAATCAATGAAAAAAGAGACCCTAGACCGCAGATGCCATTTCACCATTTTTTGTGTATGTGATTCCGTCATTCCCTCTCTGAGCTCGTGAAAAATCAATAAATGCCGTGAACATGACAACACTAGGGCGAACCCCTTTCTGAAAGTCTAGAAGAAGCACAACAAGCTGCAACTCTCATTCGATATGGGCAAACAGTGCTGCCGAATCTGACGCCGGGCCATTCCGAAACAGAAGTAATGTCAATGGTGGTGGTAGTCGAAGCTCCCTGCAAAACAACTGAAGGAAGAAGAGCGGAGGGGTGTTGCGAGACCGTGCAGAATTAAGATGCAAGTACAGAAAGTTGGTGTTAAAAAGGTATATGTATCGGGAGTTGAGGCTCTTGGCCATGAGAGAGAGCCAAGGTCGCCATTGTAAACCGAGAAGATGGTGGGTTTACATGATGATGGCGGGGACGTCGACGTTGGCCTTGATGGACTTGTGCGGCAGAATGCTTCCGCCGTTGACATAGATCTCATCGCCGATTGTGACGTCGTCGCCGAGGACAGACACGTTCTCGAGACGCGCCCACTTGCCGACGGTGCTGTTCCAGCCCACAATGGTGCTCTTAACCCAGGCGTGATCCTTGACCTTGGAGCCCGACAGCAGGACGCAGCGCTGCAGACGAACACCGTCACCGACAACGACATTGGGGCCGATGGTCACGTTGGGGCCTATTCTGCAGTTCTTGCCGATCTTGGCGGAGGGGTCAATCAGAACGTTGCCGCCATGGACGTAGGGCTCTGAAGGCTTGCAGAGCGCCTTGGATCCCTTGCGGGTCAGGGAGGTCAGGTACAGGCAAGTGCCGGACAGGAAGTCCTTGGGCTGGCCAACGTCCATCCAGTAGCTCTCCAGGTCAAAGGAGTGCAGCCCGCCGTCCTTGACGATGGCGGGGAAGGTCTCCTGCTCGATGGAGGTGGGGCGCAGCTCAATGCGGTCCAGCACAGACACGTTCAGGATGTAGATACCAGCGTTGATGCGGTTGCCGACGAACTCGACGGGCTTCTCGACGAAGCGGTCGATGCGGGAGGGGTGGTTTGGCTTGTGGACAATCACACCATACTTGGAGGGCTCCTCGACCTTGGTGACGACGATTGTGCCCTCGTCACCGTGCGCCTTGTGGAAGGCAGCGAGCTCCTTGAAGGGATAGTCGCAGATGACGTCGGAGTTGAGGACGAAGAAGGGGCTGTCGTCCTTGGCCAGGATCTTCTCGGCGAGCTTCAGGGGGCCGGCGGTGCCCAGGGGCTCAGTCTCGATAGAAAACTCGATGTTGATGCCGAATTTCTTGGCATACTGCAGGAGACAAATACAAATTTTGTGAGTCAATTACGTCGAGATGTAGAGGTGAGTATGGAATGATGAAAAACAGCCCACTGACCTCTCCCAATGCCTTCTCCATAATCTCAGGGCGGTAGTTGACAGCAAGGACGACATCGGTGACACCAGCTTCGGCGAGGGCCTCGATCTGGTGCAGGATCATGGGCTTGTTGGCAAACTCGACCAATGGCTTCGGCAGGGTCAAGGTCTGTGATGAAGATGCTTGTTAGCTCATCCTACTCGATTCTGCTGCAGAATCCCGGGTATAGGGCAGAGGGCAGAGGGCAGACGCGATGCAATGCGATGCGATGCGACGCGCCGCACAGGCTAAATGGGGGGTGATCGTACCAGAGGTCGTAGGCGAGTGCCAAAGCCGCCGACAAGAATAAGGGCTGCAGTAAGGCGGCAAGTTAGCAATAGAACCAGGTAAAGAAAGACAAGCCCATCGTGTAGAGCTGCTTTTCAGAATGCGCCTGTAGCAATCACTTACCCTTCATCTTTGCGGTTGGTGGCTTGTTTGGTAGGTGGTGAACGAGTGAATCAAAGATGAAAAGGGCGGTTTAACGAGCGTGAGAAAGAGTAGTCAGGATTTGCAAAAAGGGCTGGACGTGCTCAATATATCGTGAGTGAGTGAGCGCGAATGAGGTGACTTCTCAAGTGACTATATCCGTCAGATGAACAGCACAAGAAGAGAATACGATCTTGCGGCAAGAGAGAGACGGAAGGGGTATCAAAGGTGTCAAAGTCAGTCAGGTTTTTGATGGGATGAGGTGCAGGTGCAGGTGGTGGTGGTGGCAAGCAAGCAAGCTGAAGGCCGTTAACGTTAGAGGACACCTTTGGATCTTTTTTCGGATTCACGAGCCAGCCCTGCCAATGCCAATGCACGAGTCCCCCCCTGTGCCCCTAAGCCGAACCTAACACGAGGTCCCCCAGACGGTGCAATCGAATTGGCGGCAGGTGCCACTCACTGAAAGGAGACGGGAGTGGACCAGTTGAGCCAACCAGCGCCCACTAAGCCCCCCACGAGTGACAATTTCACTGGCGAAATTGGCTTCCCGCAGCGTTCCCTGGTCTGTCACCTACTACGCAGTAGAGCAGAGGTTATTTATTTATTTATTACGGTACTGATGCTGCACTTGCTTTCAATGTTTCGACTCCTGAACTGGGTGCAGTACCGGTATGGTTTTCAAGACTAAGCGCAGAGAGATCACGATACTGAGCACTTCATGCCCCTGGAATGGAGGAGCCGACGCGCGGTCAGTGGTCACAAACACTATATTCACATGCCGGTTGTTTGTCTAGAATCGTTAACGTTAGTTGGCCAGAGCTTCGAGGGCAACGTGGTGCCTTGCATCCAGACCTCCCTCTCCTAGTTGCCCCTGAATCCAATTCAATTCAATTCATTCAATCAGCTTGCAAATTTGGTGACCCTGCGTCATTTGATTGATGGTTTGATTTATGGTCACAGGGCCATTTCCGTTCTACCACAAACGCCACCAATCCGTTGCTTGACCTTTTCCCCGCTTGCGCCGTCCAGCCAAACGCCTCCTCCACGTCTCACGTCTCACAGCCCCATCTCAGGTACTATATACCGTGCGAGGTCACCGTTTTACATTTTGCATCAGCCACTGCCGGCCCGGCTCAACCTGCCGTATTCCTGGTGTGACTCGAGAATGCTGCTAAGATCCTAGGAAGCTCTCAATGTGTTCTCTGAATGGCATCACGAGTCTTCACGATGCGAAGAATCTTCATTGTTCTTCGAATGAAGGGATGAAAGGGTAGCCCCAGCAATGACGTAACTGGTCCCGAAATTTGGGTTAAAATTCGCTACTGGCCCATCCCATTACAAGAGCCCGTCTTTATTAGTGCACAATACGAATGTCCAGGGGGGAACAGGAACGAGACGGCTCCCGGCCGGCATCGGCTTTTTATTACCCATCCCCCATCGTAGCACGACCATCGGCACAAAGGGGTCCCCATTGTTTCCCCTTCGGCAATCTGTAGTTATGGCAAGCTGCTGATCACCGTGATCAGCACGCCGACTTCCTGGCAATTGTGCCAGTCCACTCGGGCATCTATATACACTGTATTTCCATGTAAGCGACGTGATCCCGGAGTGCATGTGCGAATAGAGAGGTAGACTTAGGGAGGAAGAAGGGCTGAGGGGAGCTCTGGGGAGCTTTATTCCCGGTCCCGTTTATATCCAGCCCGTTCTTCAGATCGGATGAATGAGGCGCGAGCATCGAAGAAAAACCACCCCAAGCCTTTTATTCTTTTTTTTAGAACACAACATCAGACGTGGCCCTCCATCCGCCAACGCTTGGATCGTAGAGCAAACCATGCAGTTTGGAATTGAAACGCTTACAAAAGTCTCGAGATCGGAAGTTCTTCATAGTTAATTGGGTGTATTGAGTTCACAATTTGGGTAGCCAGACAGCATAGAGACACTGATTCAATTGAGGAGAGGCGAGAAATCGATTGTCATTATCGTTAACTCCTGAGAGTCTTGAGGTCATTATATCGTGATCTTGCTAGCGTAACGCGGAGAGAGAGGGAGAGAGAGAGAAATATGAGAGCGGAAGATTAGAAGACGAGGAAGCAGAAACAAAGTTGATGAAAAAGCAGATGTTCCTCCCTCCAATCCCATTCTTTGGTCCAACGGCTTTCCGATCTTCAACAAGGAGAAAGGCTCCCTCCAATGTCAGTCATGGGAAATCACAAGTCATTACCAGGAAAAAGAGCTCGTTTCCCATTCCCCATATCCATTTTCGCAATCAAGTAAGATGGCCAACCACGCTTGCTAATAATGCAACGAGGGGTGTGTGTGTGTGTGTGTGTGTGTGTGTGTGTGTGTAAGTTTGTATGAGGCGGATGCTTTTGAGAGACAGACATCTCTCGCTTTTGTGTGGAGCTGCTGGAAAACAGAATAATATCAAGTCTAGCCTCCCATAAAAAGTAGCAGTGATTTTGAGAGTAAAAGGATGTCCTCCATGGAAGAAATGTGTTCCCCCTGTGGGAAGTCTAAACAAAAGTAGGCAGGGTACGGTACGGTCCAGTCCAAAACAGAGTTGCCTCCGGCTATGGCGCTGATAACAGGTGGGAACGAAGAAAAACAGGAGGCATGGTCCACGGCTGGTTCTGTGAGTCCCAGCAAAAGGAGAGATCCCGGGCCACTGGTATCGTGTCTTGACCAATCCAATGAGCGGGATATATCGTGGGGTCCAAAGTTGGCTAGAATGTGAAGATAGAAAATGAAAATCAGTAGAATAAGAGCCAGAACGTCGTTAAAGTCGGTCGTGAAATCGAGTATTCGTGTCTATGTCGTAAGCTTCATAAGATTCATGTCGTGCCATGCAATTTTTTGGTGTCTCTCTCTTTCTCTCATATCGGGGCATTGACTGGCAATGCCAAAACGGGGTATCCCTGGGGATATATGCTGTGAAGCCTTCATCAAGTTTATATCAAAGATCTCCAGCGCCTGCGGTCTGGTTTGCTCCTCTCCAATTGGGTCGATCTGGCTCTCCAAGATATGCGGCAAGGGGGCACGTCTCGCTCTCTCACTCTCCAACCAACAAACAGGGGGGTCCTTAAGCCCGCGAGTAAAAGTCCGCCAGGAATTGCGGCTCCTCTTCAGTCAAAGGAGGCGGTCGAGCTGCTGCTCGAATGGTGGCCAGATCGTCGACTGTGGCTGTGTCCGTGATTGGAGGACGACGTATGACGACCCTTCCGGTGCTTGCGGTTGGTCTCGTCTGCCGGGAGGCCTTGGACGATCCCGTTTCTGGCCAGCATGCCTCCATTAACGGAAAAGTTGCGGCAGACCATGAACGCACGCATGGCCGCGTTCTCCTGGGCAAGGACATCCGATTCGTAGGCGAGATCGGTCTGATACTCGCGGCCATTCACAAGGACGAGGCACGTATAGCCATTGGGGTCGCGGTAGCACTCGTACATAGGATCCCGCCACCCACGGCGCCGGCAGAGGCCTGGTAAAACCTGAGTTAGCCCCATTGATCTCCCGGAATGCCCAATTCGTTACCAATTGGGCTTCCCCTTGCATGCATGCACGCAAGCAACGCAGTGCGGATGACGCGAGGGTATCTGCATGACAGCCCAACAACGCGGACGGAAAGCCGCTAGCCCTACAATTGCAGTGGGTGGGCAGGAACGACGTTGGATCGGCAAGTAACAAGATGGGGCTTAAAATCCAGTCCAGGATCTTTGTGGTTGAGGAAGCAGGAACGGTCGTGCCATCCACGTTGTCAAGGGGTGCAGGGGTTGCCACACTGAATATGAACAACATGCTCCTCACAGAGAAAAATAAAAAGCTGACCCCCACGAACACACAAGGTTGTGAAAGGGAAAGACGGTGTTGTGTTGCCGGTCAGGGCCATCTGCACGACTCAATTGACAACTTACTTTCCAGGTATTGCATGTAGAAACCGCCCATTGTGAATGACAAAGTCCTCCTCCAAGCGAATTGAGGTGTGAGTGAGGTCCGGCAGGCCCAAAAGTGGAACAGGGGACAGAACGCCTGTGATGCCCAGGGTGCTGATGATGAAGTGAGGCAACAAGAAAAAAAAAAGAAGCAACAAGGCCACGGGACCTGATCCGGACTCCGTAAGATGCAATTGAGCCCAACCTAAGGAGCAGGGTGGTAGAGTAAGCACACCGAGGTAGGGCAGTGAGGGTGAAGTCGAGTTTGTCCTACTTTAGACGAAGGTGTAGTGTAGGTCGAGGGGTGGTGTTGAAAAGTTAAGGCTGATATGCTACGTATTCCAAGGCTCTCTGGTGCAGAAAATCTGAGCCATCAACGGCGAGACATGTGTGATTTATTGCAGAAATCTGGTGTTAGTGCGGGGCAGGGATGTCTAGATACAGACCCAAGGAGAAAATGACGGAGAGCTAGCGGGATAGGGTGAAGGGTTCGACAGATGCAAGTCGAAATGCGGCTCTCAAAGTGTGACCCATCTTGATGTGTTGGCGTGTGTCGTTGCCAGTTGATAAAACTGCTGAGACTAGAGGAACTCCACCACGACACATGGGGGGGATGCACCAGCTTGGCGAAGATCTCTTTGATAAGTCTCGGGGTATCGAATTGGCAGAGGCACAAACGCGGTACGGCTGCTGGTACGCCGATATTGTTACTTTTTGGCGTCTTATTGTCCGACAAAGGGGCGGTGGTCCTGCTGGGTAAAAGGCGCTGGTATATGCAGACCTAGGCATAGTGAAGTGGCAAAATGGAACCATTCGACCTGGCCAATCTGCGCGTCTGCAGAGATGCCAATCCACGACAGAAGAACGGGGGCTCGACAGGTCCATCTTCCGGGCCTGCCAGTCAGATCCTACATCTGAAGGGGTGTTCGAGCAGGAGCCAGCAGGGAAGGATGTTCCTGGCTGGCTCGCCTGGTGGTCTGGGGGGCAGGATGGGAGAGACAGCGATACGCAGGCCAGATGGAGCAGCCTAGTGCTCTCTGGCTGAAGCTAAGACGCCAACAAC